ACCCTCCCACCACCCAGCCAGAGCACCCACCCAGCCAGCCAGCCGGCCAGCCGCCCAGCAACCTTTCAGTACCCACAAACCCGTCCCTCTCATCGCCCTTGGCCGGTCGGGCGCTGGCCTTCGTTCCATTCTTTCTCTTTCACCATCTCTTCTCACCTTCCTTTCCATCCCTCCCCCTTACTCCCTCTTCTTCTTTTCCGATTCTTCACCTCGTCTCCGTCTTCGCCATCGCGCTGCACGTCCTCCGACAACAGTGAAGCGAGTCGGCGCTGCTCGACCCTTAACGTCTCCACTGTAGCTTTTGTTACCCCAAACGATCATACGTGTTCGCATCCCGAAGCCGATATTTGTTTGTAAACCTCGCCGCGAAAGCGCGCGCCGTCGCCCACCATGCTGTGTACGTTATCGCCGCGTTACTTGACGGGGTGATCGCTGACCTATCACAGACTTGACCGCGGACAAGTTTCCGGTTTGTGCGTACTTAGGAACCTTCGTCGAAGATGATGCTGACCCCATGAAGTCGTGCCAATTGGTCTTATCGGGTACGTACGCATATGATCCGTTCGTCGTGGCAGAGTGCTTCTGCTTCGTGACGACGGCTGCTCCTGCGCATGCGCTCAAAGATGCGTCGGTCCCATCCGGCTGGGTGTGGAATGTGTGCTAATCCCTGCGCAGCTTCTACCGATACCTATGGTACATCTTCCGTCTTATCGCGCGATTCGTGTACCGCCCCATCCCCCTCCCCGAAACTCCCACTTGTGCGTACCAGAGACCCTCGAGTCTTGAGCGATAGCTAATTGTTCAGACCGCGCTTCTGAGGATGTGACCATCATTGTCCCGACCATCGACGCCGGCGAGGAGTTCAGAGAGGCCGCCTTCTCGTGGCTCCAAGGTAGCCCCAAGGAGATCATCATCGTCACGGAGGAGAAGATGCAGGGTCCGCTCCAGGAGCTCGCCAACAGTGTCGACCCCAGCCGCATCCGTGTCCTGACTGTGCCGTTTGCCAACAAGCGTCTGCAGATGGCCCACGGCGTCCGGAACACAGAGACCGACATCATCGTGTTCGCCGATGACGATGCGATCTGGCCGCCTCTGCTCCTCCCCTACGTTCTGGCCTGTTTCGAGGACCAGCAAGTTGGCGGGGTTGGGACGTCGCAGCGTGTGAAGCCCTGTGGTGCCAGGATGACGGTCTGGGAAGTCCTGGCCGCTTTCCGCCTCACCATCCGCAACATCGAGATTGCCTCCTCTACCCATATCGACGGAGGTATCCCCTGTCTTTCGGGCCGAACCGCCGCGTACCGCACTGTTATTCTCAAGGACCCCGATTTCCTCCACGGTTTCACTAACGACCTTTGGCTTGGCAAGTACCACCTGAATTCCGGCGACGACAAGTTCCTCACGCGGTGGATGGTCTCGCACGGGTGGAACACCTACGTCCAGGTCTGCAAGGAGGCAGAGCTGCTGTCGACCATGAAGCCCAACTGGCGTTTCCTAAAGCAGGTGCTTCGATGGACGCGAAACACCTGGCGATCCGACTTCCGTTCTGTCTTCACCGAACGTTACGTCTGGACCAAGCATCCGTATGTCTGCTACACCATGCTCGACAAGTTTATCAATCCCCTCACTCTTCTTGTGGGCCCTTGTCTGGTCTGCGTGCTGCTGTGGAAGTCGACCAAGCCGATTGAGGATGGAGGATACCACCTGCCCGCTTGGAACATTGTGGTTTCATATCTCGTCTGGCTCCTGGCGACTCGTACCCTCAAGCTCCTTCCCCACCTCTGGGAACGCCCGCAGGACATCATCTACGTGCCGGTGTTCATTCTCTTCGGCTACTACTTTGCGATCATGAAGCTTTACGCCCTCTTCACCCTGCACAAGACTGGATGGGGAACCCGTTCGGGTATCGGAGACCCTGCGACCGCCACCACGGCGGCCCAGGAGAAGCTCGCCGACCAGTCGGGCGCCGGCCCCGACCACGGCGAGGCTCATCACGGCGTCTACGACGTCGAGATGGCCTCGCGTCCCAACAACAACAACCCGTACCGCGCCTAGAGCACTTCCCCCTTCCCTTCCTGACTATCCTTCTCTCTTGCACTCCCCTCTGCCGATCGATCGGCACCATGACATTGCACGCATTCACAGGCCTTCGTAGCCTACATTCCCCCTCCATAGCTCGGACTAGCTAGGTCCCGAAAATTCAACGCACATATGAACGGACTGTTACGTAGGCTTACATGTCAGCCCCTTATACCCAGATACAATTACTGCCCGTACCGCATGCAGCACTCTCCCTGTTGATCTTCTATAGAACAGGTTACGCGCCTCGATACCCTGCTGCTGGCTACTTGGGTCCAGGCCACGCGGCAACCATGTTCGCGATGCAACCAAATCGTTCACGCTCCGCTTCGTCAACTGCCTCCACCTTTCTCTTCGCCAGCGTCAGGCCCACGATGACGTTTCTTCTCGTGGCATGCGAAAGCTGTAGACTCCACCAAATGAGAGTCGCAATCTGGGACACGTAGAGGTCGTGCAGAGCGGTGTCGACCGGAGAACCGAGCAACGGGGTCAGGTGGATCGACGACGGCGGAGGAGGGAGGGCAGATAATCCAGTCGGAGTCTCTTCCGACGGCGGCGGCTGGAGTTCGACGACAGGAGGCAGCGAGGCCTGCGTCTGTCTGTCAGAATGGAGAGCGAGTTAGCGTCTGCTCACCAGAGGTCCAACTTTGCCATTCTGCGTAATGAGGACAAGTATCCGATCGTCAAACGTTTGAACGAGTAGCTCAGTGTCCACGCCCGCAATGTTGCGACGTAACTGAAAGGTGTCGATGGGGCATTTAGGCTCTGGTTCTCGAGGCCGCTGGGTCGAGTGCTCGTCCGCCAGGAGCGAAGACATGTTGGTGGATTGTGTGGAAGTCTCAATAAATGTCGAAAACAACTCGGCCATCAACGAAGCTCAGCAGTATCAGATTCCGCTAACCCGACTCCGACCTCCACCGGTGACGTCTGGAGAATGTTCTGTCACCTCTCAACGTCAACATTTCCGACCTACCGACTCCGAAAGCGATGGACGATCCGGCTGAAGCACTGAAGGGATTGCGCGACTCGCTGCGCTCAGGTATCGGTGATGCGGACGAGTACACTTTCCAGCTGTCTTCCGTTCTCGACGCCATCGGCCTGGGACCCATGAGTGCACCCTCCTCTGACAACGACAGGACGATCCAGCGCTTCCTCCCTACTGTGCAACAGAGGCTACTGAGCACGATTCCAACATTTTTGCCTGCTCTTGATCAGCGAGGCCGAAAGCTTCTTGACAGCTTCTTTTGCCCGACCCCATCTGCTTCGACAGCACCATTAGCGCGACAGGTCGCTCTGGCGGCTTATCTAACATTGACGGCAGCGCTGGCGCCGGCGCCCCCAACACCGCTGCCGATGGAGGCTAGAGAGTTTGTGCTCGACACACTAGCTAGTTTGGCGCAGGCGTACAGCATCGATGCGCTATACTGGGCCACACACGGGAGGGACCCTACCCCGCTGCTTTGGGAAGATGGTGTGCGGGTATCAACGTCGTTGCCGTCGAAGGTGGCGAACGCTGTCGGACGGTGGAAAGAAGGTGGCTGGGCAGGCGACGTTCCAGCTGTCCTCGTTCCCCGTGCATACTTCGACAATTACGTTCGCCGCCTTGAAGGGTTGCTGTGGGAGGTATCGCAGAACAGCCTCGACCTCGCCTCTCTTCGCGAAGTCCTTGAGAAACTCGGTCGTCTTGGGCTCTTCTCAATAGCGCCGGCAACAGAGATCGACACCCCGACGCCGTCTTTCTTCCCCGCCTTCCTACCCTCGGCACTTGAACATCTTCACCCGCCTCCAGGTTCGCCGCTACCGCCATATCCGGACAGCTTCTTCCCCGACCTTCTACTGCCGCTGTCGGATGCGAATTTAAAGGCGTTTGTTGCTGGGCTGCTCGTGCACCTTGCCTCGAGGATCTCACCACCGTTCACAACCCCCATGGCGGCGGATAGGCCGAGTGAGAGCGTCAAGCGCGCTGCCCTTGTGATGAACCAAATCATTGGCAAGCCAGATACTGGATCGGATGCCTGGAGAGCAGTCGTCGGTGCGTTGCTCTCCAAATCCGTCAGCGCAGAGGGTACGATGGACGTTATGCGGCGTATTGCTGCCGCATGGGCTGGAAGTGGGTCCATTGCCGCGAAGCATGCGTTCCTTGATGCCATCCTTGAAGCTTGGTGCGACCCAAAGCACATCAAATACGCTTCATACGCTTCGCAGTACAGTGAGTTCTTTCCGAGTCACCTTGACTGACGACAAGACTACACGCATCTCGTCATTCTGGCTCTGTCGCTGCTGCCCCCGATGGACCCTCATGTTATTGGCCTCTCGCATCGCTCCCGCTTCGTTCAGGCGATTCAAGCGTATCTTTTCCATCCCGAACCGAAGATTCGACGGCTTGGTATGCTAATTGCGGAAATCATGAGCGAACGCACTATCGAGGAGGGGTGCGATGATGCGCCAGGCCCGTCAGAGGAAGACCAGATGAAGGAGCTGCAGGACAAGTTGATGGGAGAGCAAGATCCAAGTAAGGCTGCACCTAAAGCGCCTGGTGGCCCGAAGCGACTCAAGTTCGGGTTCAAGGGCGCGTGGGATGGAGATGGTGAGGGCAAGGAGGAGGCTAGAGTGCTGAGGAGCGGCGTCGGAATAAGGGACGATGATGCCAGCCTCAGTGACGCAGGAGACTGGCAGCTCGGCTGGCGCGATGGGCAGCAGGCTGCTGACAAGCGGCAGGGGACTGAGCAAGCTGTGCCGAAGCTGAAAGCAAAGGCGGAGCGCCAGGGTCGAAGTACGGACAAGAAGCCGCGCCCGAAGGTTGTCATGCTGGACCCAGACCAGGAGGCAGACCCGCTGCAGGGGTACGATAGTGACGGTACCGGCTCGTCGCGATCCCGCTCCCCTTCGCCTTCGTATCTCGCCGAGGTCACTGCCGACCCAACACTCGCACTTGACGCCGCCAAGAAGAAGAAGCTCAAGCGACCGGTGTATGTCCGTCAGCTCGCCGAGCTCCTGCGAGACAAGGACAGCCCAGAATCCATAGAGCTCGCTCTGACCTACGGCGAGCCTCTCATCAGAGCGAAGCGGAACTTTGGTGGCGAGGTGGTCGAGAACGCGGTGTCCGTGGCGGGGGCGGCAATCGCACTGGCAAATCCATTTCACCTAGACGACTTCGAGAACAAACGGCAAAGGCTGATCACGGCACTAGTAGCTTGTTCACCGACAAATGTCCCGCCTTTCCTCGCCCAGCAGTATTTCTCCCAGTCATACTCCCTGCTGCAGAAGGGCGTCATGCTCACTGCGTTGGCAATGGGCGCCCGAGAACTGGCCGGCCTCAGTGCGCCCGAAACACGCACGAAGAAGGTCGACTTTCCGTCCAAGATGCTCCCTTCACACCTGCACGAGAAATACATCACCTCGACGGACGTGCAAAATTCGGGACAGGGGCAGCTCGAGGGTGCAATCAGCGGTATGCGCAATCTGCTTCTGTCGAAAGGGGCGGCGGCAGGGGAGGCGCACCCCGACATTGCTCGGCAGAAGCGCTTGACCGTGGGCCAAACGAAGCGGCGAAAAGTTGCAGAGGAAGGGTCCTTGGCTTCTCGCCAGATGTCCCAATCTACGCCCTCGCAGCAAACCGCCGTCATCCCATACGCCCAGGTGGCGGGAGAGTACTTCATCCTACCCCTCGTGAACCGCTTTTGGGAGTACTTTCAAAACGCGAGTGTGCGTTCTCGTACTCTGGGTGACCGTTACCGTGGCGCGGGCACTGGAATGGTGCTCAGTCCATCGGCACTGGAGAAGTTCCTCCTCACACTTGCGCTTCTCACGCATGCGGCGAGGCATGCACCGAGTTTCCTCTCCGTGCTCGCCCCGGCAGTGCTTGAGCTCTCTGTGACGGTTGGAGCGCGACACCGGCCGGCCGCTCAAACTCTGATCGCTGCCGATTCTTCGGCACACCCCGCGTCCGCCGGCCAAGCGGCGTCATCGCAGGACGGGGACGGCGGGGATGCACAAGTCGTCGGCTCTGCGCTGGAGTTAGCTCTTGCGGCTCTAGACGCGAGCGTAGAGCTAGACGCAGGTCGCACGCTCGCGCTGGACCACGCAGAGCTGGTCTTGGCCGTCGGTGAATGGGCGCATGGGGCATTCGAGCGCGAGCAGGCTGGGCTGAAGAACGCTGGCGCCGGCGGAAGCCGCGAGGGCCGAGTTAGGGCGGACGCGGCTGGTGTCGTTGTAAAGATCGCTGAGATCGGAGAGAAGTGGGGCGCGATGCGGTGACCCGCGGTTGTTTCTAGTTTGTACGATATATACTGCAGCACACTGCCATTCGAGACCATACTTAGCGCTGCGCCAGAAACGGCTGCCGCGAGTGAATGCGACCAGCGACGGTGACGAGGTTTTCTAGCGCAGCTAATGCTGTTCGGGCACGGCTCACGGTAAAGCTCTGTCATCGGGCTACTTTTCCATCTAGGGGTGAGGCCCTGCTGGCGCTGCCACACAATCTGATCGAATGCCAATTTTCAACGCTTCTCCATGTCATCGCTGCCCAAACAATCTGTCCGTTCCATCTGCACACTTCCTGCTCCACCCGAGTACTGCTATTCAAATTCATTCGAATTTTACGAGGTCACTAATAACACCTATGAATTTGGACCACTTTTTACTGCTCGGAGAGAAGAGCAGGGGGCTGGAGGCCCTTGGCAAGGCCACGACCGCCGGCGTACTCAGCGTTGGAGCCGAGCTCCTCCTCAATACGCAGCAGCTGATTGTATTTGGCGAGGCGCTCCGAACGGGCCGGAGCTCCGGTCTTAATCTGTCTTCGGCGAAGTCAGCAAACGTTTGTGGAGAGAAAAGAGAGTTGTGGAAGACAAGTGACGGCGTAGAAGTGCGGAGTGTGGCACTGGTGGAGGTGGAGGTGGAGGTAAAGTGGAGGTGGCGTCGAATTCGGAGGCGACGTAACTGCTTCCGTGAAACACGTGACTTACCCGGTGCGGAGACCAATGGAAAGGTCGGCAATGAAAGTCGACTCGGTCTCACCAGAGCGGTGCGAGGTCATGACACCCCAGCCGTTGGACTGCGAGAGCTGAACGGCCTGGATGGACTCGGAGATGGTGCCGATCTGGTTGATCTTGAGGAGAAGGGCGTTGCAAGCCTTCTTCTCGATGGCGGTCTTGATGCGGAGGGGGTTGGTGACGAGGAGGTCGTCGCCGACAATCTGGATCTTGGCCGTCTTGTTGTAGGCGGTCCAGGCATCGAAGTCATCCTCCTGGAAGGGGTCCTCGATGGAGCAGATGTCGTACTTCTCGCAGTACGAGTGGTAAAGGTCACCAAGCTGCTCACCAGTGAGGTACTTGGAGGGGTCCGAGTTGGGGTTCTTGAAGTCAAGGTCGTACTTGCCGTCCTTGTAGAACTCGGACGACGCAACATCGAGACCAATCTGGATCTTGCCAGTGTAGCCGGCAGCCTTGATGGCCTCGGTGAGGAGCTCAAGGGCCTCCTCGGCACCGGAAACGTTGGGGGCGAAGCCACCCTCGTCTCCGACGTTGACAGCGTCAATGCCGTACTTCTTGACGATGACCTTCTTGAGGACGTGGTAGGTCTCGGAGCCGATCTTCATGGCCTCAGTGAAGCTGGAAGCGCCGGTGGGGAGGAGCATGAACTCCTGGAAGGCAAGGGCGTTACCAGCGTGCGAGCCGCCGTTGATGACGTTGAAGGAGGGGCAGGGGAGGATGTAAGGCTCCTTGACGCCGGCAAGCGAGGCAATGTAAGCGTACAGGGGAAGGCCCTTGTCGGCGGCACCGGCCTCGGTAACAGCCATGGAGACACCCAGGATAGCGTTAGCACCAAGCTTGCCCTTGTTGGGAGTGCCGTCAAGCTTGATCATGAGGTCGTCGATCTCCTTCTGCGAGGTGACAGGGATCTTGGCCTCGATAAGGGCGGGGCCGATGACGTTGTTGACGTTCTCAACGGCCTTGGTGACACCCTTGCCGACGTAAGCGTCACCACCGTCACGGAGCTCAACGGCCTCGTGGGCGCCAGTCGAAGCACCGGAGGGGACCTGGGCGCGGAAGCGGCCTGCATGTTAGTGAGAACTGCCGCGACTCTGATCGCATTGGATCAATGATGCTCACCCTTCTCAGTGAAGAGGTCGACCTCGACAGTGGGGTTGCGTATAGCGGTCAATCACACAGTAACAGCATGGAGAAGAGTGTCAATTGATGGCCAAGCGAGTAAAACGGGATTGATGTCAGCACAGTGTACGTGTACGTCATTTTCCACGCTGGAGAGAACACCGCAGTGTGCCCTCCACCAGGTTATGGTTTGATACTCATCACGAGAGTCGAAGATCTAGGCGTCAGCGCTGCACAGTAGGGGTGCGATGACGGGGAGAGCATCGTGGCTCAACTCTGAGCGTTCCGCAATGTTACGATGGTTGAACGCAGGGCGAGCCGAGCGACGTCGGAATATATCGGACCGGATACGATGCGCAGAAGATGCAAAGGAGTACTAACCTGGCGAGCGTGAACCTTGGTAATGACGGACATCGTGAACGAAGGTGAAAGGAGGTGGGGTAAGATGGGATGGATGGTTGAGAAACGGCAAGTTGATATATAGAAAGAGAGAGAAGGTGAGAAACAGGGTACCGGTGAGGCGAGCGAGTGAACGGGGCGGGGGTTCCGGTTACGAGGCCCGTGAGTGACTTGTGTGTACTTGGGCGGTGGCCCGGTGGAGGGATGACACGCGGCTCTCCGAGTTCAGGACGCGTTGCGGCGCACTGCGGCAGTGGACGCCAAATGCGCACGGTCACAAGGTCACACGTCATTATTTGGGGGTCCCATCAGAATGGGGCTCCCCACGTCTTCGGTCCTGACGATGGTTGGACCGCCCTTTCTGTGCGGGGCAGTTGGTAGAGCGAAAGCTTCGGATCATCACGCGGCAAGTCCACCCGTACATCCGTGTCCGTCGACCAGCTCCGGCGTCGTCCTCTGGCTCTCGCCGACAGACAAGCCTTCGGGGTTGTCGAGCTGTCCGTAATTGACGCATGGGCTTGGAAGTGTGAGCTGAAGTTCAGACCTACATTGTACTGGCAGGCCGACGTGTAACCCGCCCCCACCTGTTTGATTCACCAATCAGCTCCGACTTGCTATCTTGCCGGCGGCACCCTGATATCACGAGTACAACACCCGCTCGATGATCTGAGAGCGGAGCGATCTAGTGCGGTGAATGCAAATCGACCGCTGGGTCTGTGTACTCGAGAAGGCTCGAGTCCACCTTTTAAGAGTCCGTGACACCCTGGCTAACTGGTAAGCGGATGTTGTTGTCCGACCTTGCCGAAATGGTGTAGACATGGAGTGGCTGAACCAGCGCACAAGGTCAACTTGGCTCTTCCCAAGTCCATTCCGCGGGAGGACACTCGGTTGATGCAGTGTAAGTTTACCAACAGATGCCCGACAATCGTCTTCGCTTCACTTCAGAAATCACAGACACCAGCCAGGAGCGGGAATGGCGAGGTTGTCGAGGTTTGACTTGGTCCAAACTCGGGCATCGAGGGGTCACTCGACCCTCCTTGCGCTTGCGGCGCTTTGCCCTAACGCTGTTCGCCCGGACGATTAATGTCGTGCTCGTGCGACTCCTCTTACGTTTAGACGCGCTTAGCATTCCGCCATTACTCGCTTACCTCAGAGTCGACAATCTGAGGAGCCCGTGTCAGATAGTCAACGACGATATACTTTCGATTGCACTCCAGAGAACAGGGCGAGGAGGTCATCTTGAACATCACTGCATTCTCTTGTCGAAGAGAATAATCGCCATGCAAGCAGTCTTCTCTCGGCAACGTCCCAGCCGAGGCATTCCGATTCTTCTGTATACTGTAGCCTGTAGGCTAGGTCTTGGACTGTCGCGGTAGCCTTATGCGCCGGTTGCGCGATGTTTCGAAATGCTCGAGGGGGGTCACGGCCGTAGCGGAAAGTAGGAGCCGCAGGCACGCGGTGGATGGCCGCATCAGGCGGCCGTTCGCATGTGCGCGCGGATAGATAGAGTCGACAAGAAGCGGCGCCTGTATATCATACAGGATCGTGTCTTTAGACCAGGCACACTTCCAGGTTGAAGTCGTCTCGCCAAGGGTATAAACAGGGATGTAGAAGCGAGTCCGAAACAAGGTCTTCCGAGCAACATGCGATGCATAGCACCTGTCGCAAATACATTGATTGATGGCGCGGGGCGCGTCTATTACTGGTAAAGGCTTAGCGCGAGCGCTTTGAAACCGAACGAGTTCGGCTTGGGGCGCGGCGGGCGTGGGTGCGTGGCGCATGAAGGGGTCTCCAGCTGGGCTGGCCGCAACCTTCGAGGTTGATGCCCGCCCATCCTGCATCCTGAGTGTGGCTGCGGTATGTCTTGTTCTGGGAAGGAATGGCTCTGGATCTTTTCGGCCAGCTCTGCCGGTGTGCCGGATCAGATTCAGACTCCAGATCGCGATGATTGTCGAGCTAGAGGCGCCTTGTACGAATTGCATCTCCCTCGGTTGTGCTGCCCCGGGACATGCAGAGACTGTCTCTGAGGAGAGCTACGGACAGCGAGAGTTAATATACTGGGGACCGCATGATCTACTGGTTCTGTCACGACTGTCACTGGGCCAGGCAACAGAGGCTACGGGGATACGGCAAGGATAAAGCACGTCGTCGAATGGGCGACAAATAGCTGAGGACGACCAAGCAGTCAGTAGTCTTGTGACCAGTTGATGACGCGGCGGAGCAAAACTGCAACCGAGGCAGGGGTGGACTGCGAGATCGGGACTAAGCACGTTCGTTAAATGTGCGATTGTCGATTGTCGGACAAGGCGGAGCTATTATTTGCGTGAAAGCTGCGAGCCCCGATAGGGCTGATGGCATCTGTGGATCAGGCAGGGAGTAGAAACTACAAGGAGGCATTCCCGGGGAGGGATGAGGACATGGGGGAAGGATACGACTTAAAGAGTCCGCAGGGTCGACCAGGGCTGAGCTCCATGGGCCGGCCGTCGCTTCGGGGCTACTCTACGATGGCCATGCAAAGCGCACACCGCAGCTTGCAGCTTGCAGGATGCCAAAGGCGACTACCGGCCGTCGAGTAGCTCCAGGGCGCCAGGGCACAACGTTGAAGGCACAGGTGGATATGGTGGAGATAAATATGGAGGTCCCAGGAACCACATAACCGGATGCTAAGACACGGGGCTTGCGCGCTGGTTAAGGGCTGAGGACGCAAGGACGCTAGGGGAGCGCCGAGTAATCGACGATTGAGTCTCAAGGATAAGGGCGAAAGGGGTGATTTCGGTCCAATCACACTTCGCTGTCAGCCCCTGGCGGCCTTGGCTCGCTTGCGGGCGAGCCGCGCTTCGCCTCTTCGCTCCATGCCTTGTACCCTTCGTCGTCAGTCGTTCGGTCTATACGCCCAGTCGGTGATGCGCCGCTAGCTGCCTTGCAATGCCTTGGCTGTCTACGGCATTCACTATATGACCGGTCCTTCGGTATCCCTGGCCGCCTCCTCTTTGCTCCGCCAGTCCACTAGCCTGCAATCTACCTTCGTATCTCGACTTCGCTAGTCTTTCTTTGCTATTCTCGAGTCCAGCCCACAAATTTATAAGCTCCCCCAGCCCACTCGCCTTTCCATACCTGTTCTTCTCGATTGCACTTACACTGCTCGAACGACATTCTTCCAGTGCCCACTCTGTCGTCCCCACCTCACTCGAACCTCGCCACCTCCAACAGTCCTTTCAAGCCCATGGAACCCCCGTTACATTCGCGCTCCCGCTCTTCCTCTTCGCACCTTCCTTTCAACCTTGGCAAGAATGGTTCGTTCGCCAGACTCGCTCGTTTGTGGGGTTGTCACCCAACACCCAGCCTGACAGTGAGTTGAGTGACGGCGACGAGCCCACAAGCGCCAGCACTAGCGATGCTGGTGAATTTTATGCCGACTACGATGACGAAGACGATGACGACGACGATTCGCACGACAATGACGGCCCCAGTGAAGAAGTCGATGAGCAGTCTCTGCTGTGGGACGCACAGGTGCGTTAAGGGGAACGCCGATCAGAAGGTTACATGACACTGATGCAACGTGCGCAGACTGCCTTGATCGCCCATCGGCCCTCGCTGGCAGCCAAGTACTACTCCACCGCAGCGCTCCCACCGTTTCGATCTGCTCCGGCTTGTCTGGCTCTAGGCAACTTGCTTGCTCGTGGCTCTGGTCTTTCGCAGTCCGAAACAGACAGCGTCGCTGCCAGCCCCGTCCGGGAGAACTTGGCGATCGAGTCGAATGCGCCCGCCTCCCCGACGTCATGGTTCTCTTCCTTGTTTCGATCAGCATCTCCACCACCCTCCCCAGCAACCGAAAAGCAGCCGCGCCGTCTAGTGACCAACGGATGGAGTCTGCCAACGGACGGGAAGAGAGTCGTCCGCGATGTAGAGGGGATGGGTCGTGCGGGTGGCTGGCTCATCCTGGGAGTCGGCTGGCTCATCGATGATGAAGTCGACCGCTCCGTCGTCACTCCTGCCCCTTATCGTGATCAGCACGTCCCGGCTCAGTCTCCAACAGTTGAAGATAATATGATCGTTTTCAGCTCAAAGGGTAAAGAGAGCGCTGACCGTCCGAGTCGCTCTCCAACTGCGCACGACCCTTCTGATCCTGACGGCCGTGTTCAAACCGCCCCCTCCGTCGCATCGTCAGTCACCGACTCCACTGATTACTCGACTGTACTGCGCACCCCTGGAGAAGGTTCGGGCGATAGGGCCAGCGATGAAAACACCATCAAGCTTATGGTACGTGGTCTTTTGGCCGTACACTGTGACTAGGTGAGCGCTAACGCACAGTACGACCTCATCATGACACTTCTGCAGCTCTACCGGCACGGCCACATTCAACGTCACGATCCAGTCGCTCTTCCACCAATCTCTTTCTCGCAGTTACCCCAAGCGCTCCGACCTCATGGGGATAAAGAGAAAGGACGCAATGTTTGGTATTTGGGAGGTGTTGTAGCCGCTCGCGTGCTCGAGTTGCCGCTTCTGCACATTACCACTCTCAGCACCGAGTCACGCCAGAAGCGCGACGGAGTCATTATCATGGCTCAATACATCGTAAGCCGATCACCGGAGCGATAAACTGACCCTTCCAGTTGGGAGCAACGTCTTCTCCGCGGGTGGCCGAGGAGTGCTTCAAGAACATAGTCAAGCAAGGTCCCTGCGGTCTCCCCATTCCGGACGACCTCATCCGCCAAGCCCTCCGCCGTGTTAACATCATGATCAAGAGCGCTGGTGGAACTCCTATGACGCAGGCGGAAATGGACGCTTACCCCTTCCCCTCTGGCCGTGCGCACCGAGCGTCCGTATCGTCGGCGGGCGCAGAGAGCTTCGCCCAGTCTTCGCTGAAGCTGATGACTCCCGTCAAGTCGTCTGCCTCACTCACCTCTCTAAGTTGTGACACCCCGCTCATCGACAACCCTCACGATTCAAGCGCCATCAATGCCTTACGGCGCGTCCAACGAAGACAGGACAAGCTGCGGCGCAACCTGAGTACAAATTCAGCCCCTGATGCTGGTCGATGGCCCGGTCTGAACCGCAGTGCGTCGCGGGTTACTGTTCCCTCGTCGCAGAAGAAGTTGTCTGCCCCTCCCAGTCCGGTGGAGACAAAGAAAACTCGTTCCCCATCCGTCGTTTCCACTCCGGAGATGCGTCGCCCATCTTCGACATCCCCTCTTGGGAGACGCCGGCTGCCATTCGAACCCACTGAGGCAGTTGCCTCTATCGATCCTGAGCTAGCTGCGCTTGAACTTTCCAGTGCTCTTACAAAGCATGTCACCTGCAGTGTTTGTGGAGCCGATGGCGTTAACTTCCCCAACTGTCGCAAGTGCGGACTGACATTCTGCTCGCGCCCGTGCAGAATTGACGGCGCTGGCAATGGAAAACGGTGAGTCTCCACGGCCGCAGTTGAGGTTGCGGATGTGAAGCTGACGTTCTCCAGTCACATCTGTGGTGCGTTCGAATCACGTAAGCTGTTAGACGTTCCCCCGTCTTCGCCGCACACCTCTACGACCGCCACCGCAACCAGCCTAGCTGCCCCTGTTCATTAGCATTAGCGCCGTTTTTTTTTTTCAAACACGGAGCGTATCAACATATAGACGTGAAGTTTGTTGTAAAATACCGTAACATGAAACCAATACGAATGCATCGTGACAAGCAACGGCGCTCACACCGATGAAGGGCGTACTCGAGCGAAGTCGAGAAGATGGCCATGGTTCTTCTGGCACTTGGCTGAGGGTGAAGTCAGGGCCAGGCACCCTAATCTTCCTTCACGTGACCGTGGCTTGAATCGGTCTCGATTTATTTTACGATGCGCTCAATACCAATCTTTCCTTCCCCCCGTCAACCACATCTAATTTTTGGTTACGTTCGCGACTCGAACGACCTTGACTTCGACTGATTGACGGGCGTGAAACTGCCTCTACTGGTGAGGACTATGATGATCATCAAAAAAATGTGGGCTTACGCCATTTCGTCACACAGAGCACTGCCCACTGAATTATCCACCTTTATAAATTCTTCACGACGTTGTCGAATCCTCGATTGCTTTGCTGTTTGCACGTAAGCAGCTTTGTTCAAAGGCTGAGTGCTGATTGTTTTTTAGTCTTCTTAGGACTGAAAGTGCTTTTAATCCTGTGCGTATGCTGTGCGAGTCCCAAACTCCGCTTCTGCTAGTGGCTGATCAACAGGTGCCGACATGGTTAAATACATTCTCGTCGCGGGTGGAGTTATCTCGTGAGTCATTGCTTGCGGCCATCTGCTGACGAGGTAGCGGTATTGGAAAGGGTGTTATCGGTTGGTATCAGACGCAAGTGGAAAGATCTAACGTGCAGCGTCCAGTACCGGTTTGCTGCTCAAGACCGCGGGCTACAAAGTCACTTCCATCAAGATCGATCCGTATATGAACATTGACGCAGGAACCATGGCTCCCACCGAGCATGGTGAAGTCTACGTGCTCAACGACGGTGGAGAGACTGATCTCGACTTGGGCAACTATGAGCGTTATCTTGATGTCTCCCTCGGCAAGGACAACAATATCACCACCGGCAAGGTTTATCAGCATGTCATCGAGCGCGAGCGTCGGGGAGATTACCTCGGAAAGACCGTTCAGATTGTCCCCCATCTCACCAACGCCATCCAGGAGTGGGTTGAACGCGTCTCGAAAATGTCGGCCGATGAGACCGGTGAGGAGCCAGACGTCTGCATTATCGAGCTCGGAGGAACGGTTGGCGATATCGAGTCGGCTCCATTTGTTGAGGCCATGCGCCAGTTCCAGTTCCGCGTTGGCCACGACAACTTTGCTCTCATTTACGTCTCCCTCATTCCATACCTGGGCGGTGAGCAGAAGACGAAGCCGACTCAGGCTGGTATTCGCGACCTGCGTGGCCTCGGTCTGGTTCCCGACTTTGTGAGTTTGTCCCGTCAGCCACGCCGCTAATATCCGTTGATCGCTTGTCGTTGTGAGGTCCCCCTTCTCCCGGCAACCACTGAGAAGATTTCGATGTTCTGTCATGTTTCCCCTCAGCAGGTTCTCGGCGTCCACAATGTTTCCTCCACCTACCATGTCCCTCTTCTCCTCCGCGAGCAGGGACTCATCCAGCTCCTGCAGAAGCGTCTCGCTCTTACCAGCATTGACGTTTCGCCAAAGCTCAAGGCCAAGGGAGAAGATCTCTACCAGCGATGGCGCGACATGACTGTAGGATCGGAGCGTTTCTTCGACACTGTCCCCATCGTCCTCGTCGGAAAGTACACTACCCTCGAGGATTCATACATGAGCGTCGTTAAGGCTTTGGAACATGCGTCCATGCGCGTTGGCCGCAAGCTCAAACTCAGCGTGAGTAAATTGTGCAGATGAGGACGTTGCCATTGACATCTAGTGGGTTGACTCTTCCTCGCTCGAGCCGGAGATGGAGACGGAGGATCCCGTTCGTTACCACAACGCGTGGCGCGACCTCTGCTCTGCCAAGGGTATCATTGTCCCTGGCGGCTTCGGTATCCGTGGCACTGAGGGCATGATCATCGCCGCGAAGTGGGCCCGTGAACAGAACGTCCCCTTCCTCGGCATTTGCCTTGGATTCCAAGTTGCTGTGATCGAGTGGGCTCGTAATGTTATTGGCTTGGAGAACGCGCACTCTGCGGAGCTCGTCAAGGACACCCCCCACCCTGTCATCTGCTTCATGCCTGAGATCTCAAAGACGCACATGGGCGGAACCATGCGTCTCGGTCTCCGTCCTACCGTCTTTGAGCCCAACACGGAGAACACCAAGCTTCGCCGTCTGTATGGCTCCAAGAACGTTGCCTGGGAGCGCCACCGTCACCGTTACGAGGTGGAGCCCAGGTATGTTGAGCAGTTGGAGTCCAAGGGTGGACTTCGTTTTACTGGAAAGGATGAGCGCGGGGAGCGCATGCAAATGCTTGAGCTCGATGGTAAGTCCACTAAGTGCTTGTTTCAGCATAAACTGACTCGATCAAGGTCACCCATACTTCGTTGGACTGCAAGCCCATCCTGAGTTCTGCTCGCGTCCCCTCAACCCCTCTCCTCCCTTCCTTGGCCTGATTGCAGCGGCGTGTGGTCAGGATGTTCTCCAGGAGCAGCTCGCTGCCAATGAGAACGGCGGGTACATGGACCCCCACCCCGAGAGCGCGAAGGTCGTGCCTGCCAGCGTTGCTGCTACGGAGGGCGCCAAAGGTCGCAAGCAGTCTGTCGAGGGTATCCGAGTCACTTGCGAGGATGCTGACGATCTTGCTGATGGCATTGAGGGCGTTAAGGTCGTCGCTTAGAGCTTTCTTAGTTATTTCTTAGATGTACTGTGATATCTTGGTTAACTGTCAGTAGCCGGCACGAGTGACGCCACATTTTGCAGGCCTTGTACATGACGAATATGAACACACGCCGTCGAGTGACACTAACTACGCTGCGTGACACCCGGCTGGCGTCGATATGAGTTACAAATAAGAGCGCGGGGAAGTTTAAAGCGAGCCGCCAATCTCTGATAATTATTAACCAAGGTTCATGTTGCAGTCACTCACGCTCCAGCAGAACCTCGATCACGTCGCCGTCCTCAAGCTCGAGGTCTTCAGCTGTCTGGTGGTCGGCAATACGCTCGCCGTCGAAGAGCAAACTGTTCACACTGTCAGCCTCATCAGCAAGCTCACTCACCGAATGGCACCAGGGTCCTGGCCAACACGATCAGCGTAAGCATTCTGACTCATCAGCACATCAGACATTATAGTGGTATGAACCTTCAGCTTATTCAGCTTGGTAGTCTTCTTGATCTTGAAGAAAACCTCGCTGCCATCGGTCGCGCGGATTTTGATGTTCAAAGCATTCTCTGGCACGTTAGCCACATCTCCGTTCGTTTCCCGGGAACTCACCACCACCGTCGGCCTTGGGCTTAACATCAGCGGGCGGGCTACCGTGCTCGGACATGTTGGGTGAGGAGAGGAATCGATGAAGAGTAGGAGTGCGTAAAGTGTGTAAAGCGACGATTCAAGTTGTCTGGCGGAGTTGACGTTGTTGTGGATTGTGGAGGGACCCGAGGGTTACGCGTGAAGGGGCGGTGCCTGACTCGAACATTGTGCCACGCTCGGGGTTTCAAAATTCCCTGAGCTATTAAGACCTGCCATTAATGAGCACGTGGAATTTCGATTAGTCGGTTTCTATTGATAGGCAATAGCAACACGTTTGTTGTTCAACACTCTTCCGCGACAGGTGACGGTCGACAGTTGCGACAATCACTCTCCACCAAGCTGAAGCACACACCAAACACCCTCTGACCGAGCATCCACAACTTCTACGATTGCTTCAACTGTTCCAGAGGCTCCCCGTGTGCACGTCGGTCAACCTCGTGCGTTGAACGGCTGACGCCTGATTCCATCGTCGACATCAGCAGCCGCACTTGTAGTCACCGACTACTTCGTCATTTATCGACTTTACCTGAGTGGCAGGTTGACCGCGTAGGGAGGCATCGAGACAGTGCAAATCCGGGTGATCATCGGACAGAGAGCTGCACGCTGCCGATCTTCTTCCCCCAACTCAATCCTTCTCTTGGCGCCGACGCTACCATATCATGCCAATCACCCGCCAGCGCTTCTAAACACGCGTACATTTCGAGACATCACACCTTTCACCGTGCCCTTGCGACGGCCAGCGTTTAGTAGCCGAATCTCTCGAAAGCGGCCACTGTTCCCTCCGCCCTTCACCTCGTTCCAATCGTTCAAGATTTGCATTCCATCTCACGCATCATGCCGCGTAAGGTGGTTCCATCCACTGTAGAGGGTCCAGTGCCTCCACCTCCTCCGTCTCCCGTCGTGCAACGCTTAAGGCAAGATTGGAGATGGGCTGGCATCAGCCAGTTTATCAACACTTTCTCCGACGCATTTGGCTTATCGGACTGGGAGATTGAGGTACGTCGCCTCTTTATAGGCCCATTCAACCCGTCCGGTGCTTACCAGTGATCTTGTGTCAAACGTGACATCCGCTGGACATGTGCAGACTCTCGAAAACGACTTTGACGGTTCGGAGCAAGCCGTCATCCCTGACCTCATCGCGAAGCTGCTTTACGCTCTCACATGGAACCGGCAGATTACGCAAGTATTCTTTTGAGAGTCTCAGCTAATCCCAGCCGCGGAAATATGTATGAACATCTGGTCCTTCAATATCGAAAACGTGCTTCAAATAACCGCATTCTTGGCACAGAGGAGGAGCCAGTGGCATGGGAGTCGTTGGGTTTGGACCAGAAAGTCCAGATCCTTTGGCAGCTATGCGAGTGGCAGCTAGATGATCCGGCGCGATTCCGCTCTCTGTTGACATCGGAGTCCGATGCTCCTTCATGGGTATGCTTTCCCCAGCGGTGTCGCTAATTGCAGCGCGTCGACCCGATAGGCTGGGATAAATTTGGCAACACTTACTATCTCTTCGACGGTAGGGCTTTGAGCACACATGTTTGCTCACGCGCAGACAACCGGCTCTGGGTACAGCGGGTGCGACCCCCGCCACCACGTCCTCTGAAGAAAACCTCTCAGAAGGCACTGCGGGCTAAGCGGGCGATGAATCGTTCGCATCCACCGTCCAAGTTGTCCAAGCAGAAGAGAAACCTCGAAACGAAGCCGAAGCTTGCCAACTCAAACCCCGTTGTTGACGAAGGTGAAACGGTGACAGGTCGACGGAAACGGAAACAGGTCGTATTCTATGGCAACGTGACCTCAACTGCGAAGGCTCTGAAGAGCGAGCCGATGACTGAGAGAGCTGGTCCGTCCTCAGTTCGATCAACGAGAACGTCGACACGGTCAATGGTTGGCACACCCTCCAAACCGGGCCCAGCTCCGCCGCTCCCTCGAGGGACGAGAGTCAGTCGTCGCTTACATGCAGTCGACGATGAATGGCAGCAGGTTCCTGAGGAGTGGCTTTCGGCAAATCAACAAGCAGAGAGCGAGCCTGCAGACGATGAGAGCGAGTTGAGTGACCTCTCAGAGGAGGAGCTTGCTACCGTTGCAAAACAGGACGAGCAGACGCCAACGGCTGGAACAGACGCCGACTCTAGCGACTCCGCCTTATCCGAAGCACCCTCAGCTGCTGAGAGTATTGAGACTGCGGACGGGGGCTTGGAAGGCAATGTTGATGCTAGCGATGAAGAGGCTGCAGAGCAAACAAATGGTGAAGAAGAGCACGAGGATGAATTCGAGCTCGGGGTGAGAGAAGCGGCCAATCTGCCTGAGGGTTTCATTGAGTGGGAAGCTGTAAGTGAATAAATATTTCCAGCTAATGGCCAGGTCTGCGTGACCTTGTACGACTGGAAGACATTTCCGAATCAGTTCGCAAAGTCAAAGCACCCCGATGAGAAGGCGTTCCACAAGTTGCTCTCTACGGAAATCGCCCCACAAATTGTGGAAGTTCTGGAGGTAATTGTTATACTTGAGCAACGCTGACAGGAAGGTTAAGGAGCAAGAGCGACTAAAGCAAGAAGCGATCAACAATCGCAAGCGTTCTTCGCGTATTGCCATGCGCGAATTGGAACGTGAGGAACTGCAGAAGCAGGAGCAAGCTCAACGAGAAATGGAAGAGCGCATGGAACGGCTTCGCCAAGAGGAAGCTCGAAAAGAGCGCGAAGAACAGGAGGTGCTCGCCAAGGAGCGAGCTCGGGAAGAACGGCTCCGTGAACGAGAAGAAAGGCTTGCTGCTAGGGAACGCGCCATTCATGAACGAGCTGAGTCTGAAGCCCGACAGCGTGAACAAGCCGAGCGCGCGCGAGAAAAGAGGAAGCGCAGGCGAGAGGGCGAAGAAGTCTCGGATGACGAGGGAACGGCTCCAACGTCACGCGCTGCCACTTCTGCTCCCAGCGAAAGTCAAGGGTCCTGGGAACTCAAGTGTGAAGTGTGCAAGCTGCATGGGTGGAATCTGAGCGACGAAACAGACGTCGTGTGCTGTGATGATTGTGGCCGTTGGCAGCATATGCCCTGTCATGATCGGCAGGACAGGGCAGCAGGACGAAAGCCGCGAGACTGGGACAGTGTCGATTTCAGGGTTGGTCACAGTATCGCGCTGTTACGTGCTAACAAAGTAGTGTCAAGAGTGCGAGCTGCGGGCCACTGCAACGAAGCGTCCAAAGACAGAGGAGAGTGACATCAAGCCAATGCAGCAGAAGGTGACTATCTCTATGAATGGGAACGCTGCCAACGTCGAGCCCACGGTCGATGTGGCTCATACTGGCAACGGTAGTCTTCATCGGGACGTCCCTCCACTCCAGTCCCATCAATTTGCCAACGGCTATCAGGCAGTACACCGCGACCACATCCCCGAGGGTCACCTTCAGCATCAAACCATAGCACGACATCACGCTCCTCCGCCTCCGCCGCACCCTCATCTTCACGTGCCCCCACAGGGTCACCAGTTTGCCCCTTCGCCATCGTATGCGCCGTCGTATGCTGCGCCGTCGTATGCCAACCCGTCAGGCCAGCACACTCATTCCGGGCATCGGCCTTTCCAATCGGTTCAAGCACACGGGGCGTTAGCTCATGACTACCACCGCCAGCAACACTATCATCCAGGACCTGTAGCGCATCGCGTAGGGCAGCCATCGTACGCTAACATCCTTCACCCAGCGCCATCCCACCTTGTCCACCAGCGCCACGGTACCTATGCTAGCAACTCCTCGACACTTTCATCACAGTACCCAGCTGAAGAGCATACTCACTTGCGACCAAGTGGCTTAGATGGTCAATCCTTCTCTGTGCCATCAGCTGAGCGGTGAATGCTAGGCGAGCATCGTCCCTTGTGAAGTCTCACCGTAACGTCGTCGCTTGTCCAGTCGGCAGAAGAGTTCACTAGAATGCATGCAGGCATTAATCCAGTCAATAAATATCGAGTACAAATCCTCATTTTCGATCTAACTATTTTCGGCCAATGGAGGTTCAGAGCTTGGCGTGTCCAGAGCCCTCAATCTCGTCATAAAGAGCGTCGATCTCAGCGCCAAAGTGCTTTGCGGCAACGTTACGCTTCACCTTTTGCGTCGGAGTGAGAAGGTGCTCGGGGAAGGGCTGAACAGTGGGGAAGACGCCCTTGATGAACTCGAAGCCGTTCAGTTTGTTCTGCTTGGCTACGCGGGCAAAGCCCTCGACAAGCTTAGCACGGACCTTCTTGTCCTTAACGGCACGGTCCAGAGCATCGACGTCGGTAGGGTCAATCTTCTCGCCAAGGACGTCCGAGACCAGCTTGGAAGCAAGAGCCGGTTCAAGAACGGCAATAGCAACAAGGGAGGAGCGGAGCGAGTCACCGTGAACGACAAGGGTAGCGTAGATGGGGTTGAGGGCGTAAACACCCTCAACCTTCTCCAGCGCAACGTACTCGCCCTGGCTGAGCTTGACGACGTTCTTCACGCGGTCAACGATCTTCAAACGGCCAGCGGCGTCGATCTCTCCGATGTCGCCAGTGTGCATCCATCCATCAGGGTCGATGGTCTTGGCGGTATTCTCGGGGTCGTGGAGGTAGCCCTTGAAAATGTTGGTGCCGCGGATGCAGACCTCACCGCGAGGGTTGGGCGAGTCCTTGTGGGTGTAGCCCATCTCAGCAACGTCGACGAGCTTGATCTCATTGCAGGGCTGGATCTGCCCGGTGGTGCCGATTGCATTGGGGTCCTCAGGGATACCCTTGGTGGCCGTACCGACAGTCTCAGTCAAGCCGTAGCCCTGGATAACGTCACAGCTGAAGCAAATCTTGAGCATCTCGTGCACGGAAGCGGACAGAGGAGCGGCACCAGAAGACATGTAAACGACCTCGCCACCAGTGAGAGCGCGCAGCTTGCGGAAGACGAGAGTGTCGTACAGGCGGTGAGTGATCGCTCCCGTGGCGCGGAAGTTGGCGAGCTTGGTCTGGACAGCCTTACGCAGGAGAGCTCCCTTGAGACCAGGCTCCTTCATTTGGATCATGACTGCAGCGTTGATGCGGTTCCAAACGCGAGGAACGCCGGGGAAGAAGTTGGGCTTGAAGATCTGGGCGTCCTCGAGAAGCTGCAGGGTGTTGCCAGTGGTGAGACAAATGATGCCGTTGCCGTAGATGACGAGAACTTGCAGGAAACGCTCATAGACGTGGCTAAGGGGAAGGTAGGAGAAGAACTTCCAGCCCTCCTTCTCGAAGAAGGGCGAGACACCGAGCGAGTTGGAAACGGTGGCCGAGGTCATGTTCCAGTTGGTAAGGATCACGCCCTTGGGGTTGCCAGTGGTTCCGCTGGTGTAGCTAATCGTGACAATACGGTCAATATCAAGCTGCTCCTCACCCTTGGGAGGACCAGGAGTGATGAAGTTCCCGGGTTGCACACCCCACTGCTCCATCTCGACCTGGTCGAGAAGGAGGATGCCAAGCGAACCAGCCCACTGCGTGAGAACATCGCGTTCAGCCGGCGCCAGAGTGTCCATGGTGACGATGACACGGAGCGAGGGGCACCGAGGAGCGATGCGGAGAAGGTCCGCCAGGTGGTTGGAAGAGGAGAAAATGAGAGGAAGGGGGCAGTGGTTGGTGCTGCACGGTTAACACAAAAGGCCGGTAAGCGCAATCCAGGTCACTCACATGTACTCGGCAGTGTCCGGACCAAGAGTCTCATACAAGCTCACACTAACAAGGCCGTAAGCTTGGCATGCGAGGTCGACGATCTGCCACTCCTCGCGGTTGCCACTCCAGATGCCAACGGCCCAACCGCGACGGGCTCCGGCGTTGAGACGGTCGCCGTACGACGGGATACCGTCCTGCTTGATCTCGGGCGGCGAGGGAAGGTCCGCCGGGACATTGGGGTCACGTAGGCGACCGAGACGCTCCAGGTTCAAGAGAGCAGAACCAACGGCGTTACGGCGCTGCTGCACCTGACCGTAGGTAGTGTCTTGCGTCTTGGTGCTGTACGACGGAGCCTCTCCGGGTTTGGTGGCGGGGTTGAGGATACGGCTACGGAACATAGCCTGGTTCGGATGACGAGCAACGGCTGTGGTAAGTCAGACACATCCACGGCCGCACGAAACGTACACTGTTCGAAAATCTGGTAAAGACTACCAGGCTGAGTGGTTCCATCGGGGGCGACGCGCAACTCCTTGGGACCCCAAATGGCTGTTGATCGTTAGACTGGCACACGCGCACAGCAATGAAACCTACAGTTCTTGTAGAAGGCTGGGGTAAGTCAGCGCTTGGAACCAGTTGTGACGCTTCACTCACCGCTCGCATCAGCGGACTCGGTACCGGGAATCGCCTGAATATCAGCTTCAAAGTCCATCGTGGCCCGTTGCCATGAGGAATGGCACCTACCTCGCCCTGGCGATTCAGGTCCAAGTTGTCTGGGAAAGGAGTCATAGTCATCTTGAGAGAGAGTGTAGCTAGGTGAACGGTGAGATGGGAGACGATGAGAAAACAAGAGCGGGACTGCGACTGCAGATGGGACAAGGGTTGTGATTGTTGCCGGTCGTGGCTCCATGGACGAAGCTTCGTCCAATTTACATAAGCACGGGTATTGATCGTGGGCCGTGTTCCAACGTGTTGCTGCCGGGTACGCGTTAGGGTTAACCGGTCGCCGATGATGCAGGACTGCTTTTCAGCTCTTGTCAGGGCCGAGCTCTCCGTATCTTGGATTTACGAAGCATCCAGTACTCCAGTGCAGCTTAAGTCGCGGCTGGGAACGAGCTTGGTACCATGCCTCAAAATCGTTAACCAACCGTGATCACCTCGCAATAGCCACTGGGAATGCCTGTACAAGGGCGCGCGGCAGCGATGCTCTGCTAGCAGCGCGAGCACAGCGTGGCATGCGGCACTTGTCCATTGGCCCTTTGTAACCGGGCGGGGGCGACCTGAGGTCACTAGCGCCAGTCCCCATGCTGGCCACTTGACACCTCGGAAACAAGTCGCCGGCCCCCGGCTGTTCCTGGAATTCTGCGCACGAACAACTCTTGGGACCTCCCTCTGCGCGCCGTCATTGAACTGAGCGCACCGAATGCATTAATGCCCGGACCCGTTCCCGGGTCTCACCCCACTTTGGCCCCACCCAGTACCACTCCCCTGACACCATCAGGACGGCCTGCGAAAATGCGTGAGCCGGCCATCGTCAGCCGTCTGCAAGTTCATAAGGAGCGCGCGGTACAATAAGAGCTTTGCATGACCTTGTTGAAACTGTTCGGGGTATCCTGTGCTGAGAAGCACCTGCAAGTGCGTTTGAGGTGTTTCTTGGAACGTATTGATTTCTATCAAGTTGTGCTGGTGAAAAGAGAAGAGGAATGAGGCGAGCTTGATGCGCAGAATAACGGTTGTTCTATTAACATATCCGACATAAAATCAATCCTTCGCTCCGCTTGCCTTAGAAGCGGAAGCAGAGGAGGAGGGGGTTGTCTCAGTGGTCGGCGCCTGAGCGGTGCCAGTTGCAGAACCGGAAGTAGCGCTAGCACTCGCACTCGCAGCCGGTTCAGTGGCGGCAGCTGTAGCGTCCGAGTCCTCTCCAGAGTCCATGTGAGAGTCACCATCGTCATCAACCAGGTCCAACTTCGCACCATGCTCGTCCTCGCTCAGGATAAGACCTTCTGCGGAAGAGGGGTCGACGATGTGAAGCTCGCCATCCTCATCGTCATCAGCAGTCTGGAATCGAATACCGGAGGCACCGAGAATGTTGACGATGTTGGCTAGACCGCCAGCGCCAGCGATACGGAAACCACCGCCACCACCACCAAAGCCACCACCAACGGGGGACTGAGATTGACCAAAGACATCGGGAATAGACTCAGGCGTATCGCGACCAACTGTTGAGTCAGTGACGATCAGCAGGAAATCGCTTACCTTTGTTGTCTACTCGCTCCTTGATCCACGCCTGCCACTCCTCAGTAGTACGGCCGTTGAGAAGAGCAATGATGACAACGGTCATGTTGTCGCAGCCGATTCCGCCGGTTTCCGAATCCGTCGCAAGACACTTGACCATCAGATCCTCGCAAATCTTGCCCATATCATCGCCATTGGCAACAGCACGGCGGACGAAGTCGATAACTTGCTGAGACGACAGACAATCCCAGATGCCGTCACAAGCAAGAACCAGGAACTCTTCCTCCCCATCTGCCTTATGGGTGATGATCTCGGGATCGGCAGTCACAATCTGCTGCTCCGGTTGCAGAGTGTAGTTCTGCTTGAACTCGAAATCGCCGATTGCACGAGACAGAGCCAGATTGCCTGGCAAGTCAGTGTCGAACGCGGAGCAAACATACCATTAACCCGACCAAACTCCACAAAACCGCCAGCAGCAGTGATGCGGGCGGTCTCCTCCTTGTTGGTGGGCTTGTGATCATTGGACATGGCCTTCGCCTCACCCTGATAGCCAAGAACCGCCCTCGAGTCACCAGAGTTGGCCTGCCGTTAAACATTGCGACTGCACTATGGAACTTACGACAATGATGCGTCCATCGGGGGTGATGAGACTGAGCACCGCCGTGCAGCCAGAAGGATCATTGAAGAAAGTGGGGTCGGCACGGAGGTCCTCATCGGTCTTCAGGAAAGCCTGCTTCAAGGCGGTCTCATAGTCCCCAGACTCTGGGGCAGGTTAGCAGGGTCCGCGCGAGAAGCTGGGCTCACTGTAGCTGTCAAGCGAGGCGAGGCGTGTGTGAAGAGTAGTGCCAGAGAACTTGGCGACCGTGGAGCCACCGTGGCCGTCAAATACGGCAGCCATAGCCACTCCCTTGTCCTCTCCTCCTTCATTGGAGACTGTTGAGCCCGCCGGCTGCTCAGGAATGTCCTCAGAGGGCTCGTTGGTGCCTCCACCAGGAGGGAGATAAAGATGAACCGAGTGCGAGTCTTCCATGCCTATCGCATCGTCAGCACCAATTGCTGATATCCACTCACTTATCCTCCAGCCTTGCATGTCAGAGAGACCGACCCAAAATTGCTTCGGACGGACGACGGTCGTCGTGTGCTTTTCGGTCACTGAAGATGTGAGAGTCGCGTGCCCAAATGGTAATAAGTTATGTCCACGTTCGTAAATCGACGATGGAGAAGGTAACGCGGTCATGGACAACGGGGGGATCAACGTCAGCATCGAGTACCGTTGATTGTAAGCTTCCAGGTTGGGTACGAACCTGGCTCGGACAATGTTTGACCCTAGAAAAGTCAGCTAAAGCGAAGATCGGCGGGTGATAGTGTAGGCAACCAGAGTGCTGCGAACGTCATGGCCAGCGTTCATCCCTGTCGTCTGGTACTCCATTCGCCCGCACGGATTACACGCACCATGTTGGATAATTAAGAGTGATGTAAACAGACAATCTATGTCGAACAGCTGGATATCGATGAGCGACTTCTACCGAGTTTCGAGTCGAGAGCGAATAGAAAAGGGAATCTTGATTCTCAAGCGCAAGTTGACGGACGTCGACAGGATGTAGAAATCAGGAAGCGTAGTCGGTGAGTTTGCAGCGAGGCAAACTGATACAATGCTTAGATGGTCGCTATTGCACAAGTGAAGAGAGGACACGCGGGGTGGAACAGGATCGCGGTGTGGGTGGCGGAGGGAGCGGGGGCAAAACGCAGATGAAAACGCGCCACCGCACTGGGTCGCGAGCTCGCGAATCGAGTCTGGCCCCTTCACTTGCAGGGCCACGGGCCACAGGGTCATAGGGCCTGGCAACGATGGTAGGAGGTACGTTCAGTCTTCCACCTACACCCAAACTCAAGGGATGACCGCACCCACTTGTTTGCCGATGGTATTTCGCGACACATCGCGCAGAGTCGTGGTCCATTGGTGGACGCGTTCCTCATTGTGTATGCTTCCTCGAGGGACTGCGCGTTCGGACCTGGTATCGACACGGCTCGTAGAGCAGTCCTGTCGATCCCCAGAGATCACGACAAAAACGATGGATATAAGGCTATTTCTTTCGCAGCGTCTGTGGCCCGTAGATGGATGCATAGAGGCTAGATGGACTCATTAGATGTGCCATTCATAGGCTCTTTGATATCAGGCTGTGGTACCTCGACCCTCACGTTGAACGGACTCCGTCACTGTCACATGTGTCGCCTCATACCTCGCCATGAATGGTTGTTGGCAGGGTCAAATCGCCACCCGAGTCTGGTACAGCGCGTTCTCCTGACGAGATTGGAGGGTGTAAGCCGGATCTTTGATGACATGAGCTCTGCCTGGCCCCGTGTGACAGCTTTCCCCATAGTGGGCAAGCAGACTTCACAACTCAACGTTATGTGCGCAGTACCTCATGAATCCAGTGCGACATGACCGCTACTGCCGCCCCCGAACGTTTGTCGATCACTACTCATCACCAATCCGTGACCAAATGCCTGCCAGGCACGTCCCTCTGACAGGGAGCGATGAAAAGCTTGGGTGGACCTCTTACAACGGCGATAAAGCCTTCTTACTGCCGTGCTGGAGCACAAAGCGCATCGTTGTACTCCCAGCCCATGGAGCCATGTCAGCGGACTTTCGCGGGCAGTTGATCCAGGACGGGGGAGGTGACTACTCGAACCGAAATCAACGGCGGCTCCTGGACCGTGGTTCTATCTCACACCTACCACAGTCCGTGCACGAATTTCCTCCCTTGTACTTCTGGGATGACGAAAACAGAAAACCCATAACGAGTGGATGGGATGTTCAGGAACACAAGCCACGTGGCGATGGCCGTAAAAGTCGGCTCTAAGCTGATCGCGCTCTAACGTCCGACGGTCTTGGCTGCCGGAGATTTTGTCGGTGGCCGTTGGTGGCGGCTGAAGTTTGGGTGCCCTGAGCCGCGGGCGGTCGCTGGTGACTGAGGTTGTCAATTCTTGGAGGCTGGTACTTACTTCCCATCCGTCAAGCTTGTGAGTCGCCCTGCACCTCGTCAACTCCAGAAACATCACTGACATCGACAGTCGCCATGTCTGCGCAGAACAAGAGTGAGCATCGATCCACCGACTACCGACACCGATACGAAAGCGAGCGGAAACGGACGGCTGGTTGCGGTTGTGACTCGGGAGAGGTGTCGAAGATTTTTGGAAAGCAGAATGTGCAGTTCGGTGGAAGGAGTTGAGCCATCGACAGAGCGGACGAGATTGGGAAAAGGATGACTGTGCTGGAGGTTGACAGGAACACCAGACAACAGGATCGGGAAGGAAACGGAACATTGAACTGGTGTTGTGATGATCGGAACCCTCTGTCACGAGTCATAACCGTCAAAGCCTTACCGACGACGACGCTTTATCGATGATGATGGACTGGACGCTGACTTTCTCAGGCGGCAAGACCCAGGAGGCCAAGGCCCGCGCGGCTAAGAAGGCTGCCCTCAAGGGCACCCAGTCTCACGCGACGAAGAAGGTCCGCACCTCGGCCACCTTCCACCGTCCCAAGACTCTCCGTCTTGCTCGTGCTCCCAAGTACCCCCGCAAGTCGATCCCTCACCTTCCCCGCATGGACCAGTTCCGCACTATCCAGTTCCCCGTCAGCACTGAGTCTGCCATGAAGAAGATTGAGGACCACAACACCCTTGTCTTCATTGTCGACCTCCGTGCTAACAAGCGCAACATCAAGGACGCGGTTAAGAAGCTTTACGACGTTGAGGCTGCCAAGATCAACACCCTCATCAGGCCCGACGGCAAGAAGAAGGCCTACGTCCGCCTCACTGCCGACTACGACGCTCTTGAGGTCGCCAACAAGGTAAGTTTCCCCCCTCTGTTGGCGAGGTACTGACTTCTCAGATCGGCCTCATCTAGGTTGTGACTTTGGGCTCGTAGCGGGGGGGTGATGCATACTTATACGATACATTCAACTATGTGGGACGACTATGCCGTGAAATTGGGGAGGGGGGGGGGGGGAAGGGCTCGTGTAATGATCGAATCGAGATACCTCGGTATGCCGTCGGCATTTGCGGTCTACAAACTGTCTCCTTGGAAGGCAACGCGCCTTTCCTTGTGACCTTGCTGCACCTGTCCGGAATGATCCAAGAGCGCGATGTCCCTCTCGACGAACAGAACGTGGCCATCATCACGAACGATGATGACAGTGGATACGCGTGTACCGTACCACCGGCCTCCCTCAGTCGGTCTGTCAGCTGGCGGTGCGTTGGGGTCAGGACCGATGATGACAGGTTGAACACGAGTTGCCCTAAACAAGTCCTTCGCCGATGTGACGGGCGGCGCCGGCCTAGGTGTCAGATACAGATTATGACGTGATGCACTCACGACAGCAGATCCAACATCCTGGTCACAAGATGTTCCTCATTGCGTCCCTCCATCGCCCAGGCCTCCAAAGTCTTGGCCATGCGTTCTTCACCTTCGGTAACCTTAGGGTACGGCTGATCCCAAGGAGAATTAGAGATGCCTTGACATGAATCGTTGTTGGGTGTCAGTTGAGTAGGTTCCGGTCGGTTGCTGAGGTATCCAACCTCTGCAGGGCTGCTCTGCAGATCGAATAGGAGAAGGTTGAAGCCGACGTAAGCTTTTGCGGGAATGTCTTTGAGAAAGTCTGACACAGAAACCTTCGCATCCGGCGCAGCAGACAGGAAGGACTTGAGAAGCATGCCTCGAGACGGCGGGTCGGGAGGAGTTGCAACGATAGGGTACCGAATGTTCGTGCTGCGGCGTCAGTACCCGGCATGTGGTGACGGCCCTTACACTGTACCGACTCTCAGATCCTTGGTAATACCCAGCCACGTTCCCTTCTCTGCAGTACCAAGGTCTCGCCCGCTAAGCACTTGGCTCGCAGGCGCCGCACCATCGAAGTCGTGCCACTCGGCAGGCGCAGTGGGCCTGTCAAGGAACTCATCGCGATTAGCTGCGAGGATTCTGTTCATCAGCTGAGTACAAGAGAGGTGCTCACAGCCTGTATCCAGGCTGTCCCAACGTGAAGAAAACGATGCACATTGACTAGCGCTGAGCTGGGTGGTTGTGATGGTGAGATGTCGACTGCCAAAGCCGCTCATCAGAAGGAGATTCGGGCGAGATTCAGTTCCGGCGAGCGCCGTCCACCGGGCAATGGACTTGCCGAATCGTGGATCAGGCACCAACGCTCCTGGCGGCCGCACCATGACATGACGACACGTGATGGGTGGCAGCATCATTCCCTATTCTCTGGCAGCGATGGGCGGCTCCAATCCACTGGGTATGAGTATATGAGGGCGCGGTCCCTTTCGCCCGATCCATTATGCAGCTGATGATGTGAGGGACAATATGTACATTTATACAACGTACTAGACAGTACTACCACTACTACGCATTGATTCTACAACTTGGTTACGCTTACGCTTCGTTCAGTACAATATCCGCCCACTGCCGGCCACGGTCGTCATTGACACCGATACCAGCCTTGTTGAGACGCTCCTCTCCCCATAACATCAGACGCACAAGACCCCCAAGTTTGGTCTCCATGCCTTGACCCTGGCTCTCCAGGATGGCAGCGTTGAGCTCCTTGGCTACCTTGACACGCTGCGTGCGTTTCATTAATTGAGTGATGGAGGCGAACGCAGGATCAGCCGGATGGTCGTCACGGGCTAGATGAGGAAAGGCCAGCAATGCCATAGTCTTCTCGAGATCAGCCAAGAACTCAGGATTCTGTGCGCCCCTCGGAGCCAGCTCGAGCGTCGCAAATTGCAATGCTTCGTCGACCTTATCCTCTCGAATAAGTTCAATAAGACGAAGAAGGAAAAGGTGAAATAAGAGCGGAGGGTTCGTGTCGAGTATCTACTTCGTCAGCGTCGTCGACGATGCACGTCTGAATCTGGTTTCCCCTCATATCAGGTCTGTGATAAGTTCGGTTTTTCCGCATGGCCTTGCCGAAGCCGGCTAAGCGTGGTGCATGAAGTTTTCTAATCATTGGGGAAACCAGCGCTGCGACTCACCTCGGGATCAAGTTCGTTCACACGACGAACAGCTTCCTCGACTCTTCCGTCTTCGACAGCCTGTCTAATCTCCATACGTTCCTGTATCATGTCCTGATCGATGGTGGTTGGGATTCCCGTCTCCCTAGCGAATTCAACAGCTGCATCGGAAAAGCCCTCGACCACAAGATAGTCAAAAACCAGGGCATTGAGATCACTGTCACGTCAGCCAATTGCGCTAAGAAACAGGTAGATAGAGAAGGCAGTTTCAGAGGTGCAAATATAAAGGGTGTCCTCAAGAAAGTTAGGAGAGATTCCCACTTGCAGATTGTGTCTCATCCGGGAGAAGCGTTGAGGGCGTGGGAAAAGACTTACCTCTTCGAAACCTCGGCCGCCTCGAGCTTACTCTCCCATGAAGAGTGGTCCGAGGCTTGCTGTAGAGTAACCCTGCTCGTAGCCATGTCGAGACAGGCATGCACGAGGGGAGTACGAGGATAAAATATGGTTGTCGATGGCAATATAAGAGTCGATCGAACTGTCAAGTCCTGTTCCAATGGTGCGAACGGCAATACGGCATCTGACAGAGTGGCACGTGTCTCTTTACGTAATACCTACGACATTGTTTACTCGTTGTCCACGGATGTCAACAACAATTACTCATACCATGGAGAGCTTTCAGTTCTCGGCCCTTCATGAAGCTACAGCGATAGCTTTCTCTCCCGGCTCGACCTTTGTTGCCACTGCGACGCAAAACACAATTCTTGTGCGCTCCGCGAAAACATTGCAAGTGGTGCGGCAATGGGATTGCGACACCAACGAGGCGTCGGGTCTCATCGTCATTGACGACATTAAATGGTCCGGTAACGGCACTCGACTCTTGGCTGCATCCAAACACTCAGACTGCGCGTGGGTGCTGGATTTGTCATGCGAGAAAGCGATAGCGCGCGTAGAGGCTCCCCATGTGCGAACGGACTGGGGCCTGGACGATATCCGTATCTGGACCGAGGCAGTACGTCCGTCGTTCAGTTTTTGGGCTGACTGCAAAAGTCTTTATCCATATACAACGTGGATTTGGGGGCCGCAAGATTGGTGCAGCAGGTTCTAACTTGTTAGTACCAGGCTGCAGGATCACAACTGATATCAAGCGAAGCACACATTCTCGCCAGACCATCGATACATGGCAATACCCGAGAGACATTCCGGCAAGGACTACCTTGGTATCTATGACAGCGTCTCCCTGGTGCGGGTAGGTGATCAAGACGAGTTCCGACTGACAGCAGCATTTTCCGATCCATGTGACAGAGGTCGAGTGCCTTTCCTGGAGCCCCTGCGGCAAGTGGATAGCAGTCGCGGACTGGAAGCTCTCGGTGAGTCAAATGTGCGTCCGCTGTTACTAACTCCCAACAGTACAACGTGCTAGTGTACTCTCCTGTTGGGGCCAAAGTTGGGACCTATCAGAGACCATCGTCCGTGTTGGGCGTCAAGTGCGTCTCGTGGTCTCCGAATGGTCGGCATCTGGCAGTCGGCGGTTACGATGGGGTCGTTCGCGTTCTTGAGTCCGAATACTGGCAGCCAATATCGGTTGTGAGGGGATTCGAAAATGGCGCGCTTGTGGAGCCAAGTACATCCGGGCTTGAAGAATTGGTGCATTGTAGGTCTTGACCGAGCAACCTTATGCGAGTCTAGCCTTGACTGACAACAGTCCAATGCGCGGCCGCGGCGCACAACAAGGGAGCTACGGAAGTCGATCAAGTCGGCTTCAGCAATGACGGCAAGCTTTTGTTCTTTACACAACGTCGTGCGCTGCATATGTACAGCTTCCTCCCCGAATCGTATGCCGCCACTCCGAATGTGACTCACGAAACCTCCGTGGTGTTCAATCGGGAGATCAGCGATGTCCGCCTTTGTCCCACGACACCCCGCTTCGTTGTCGTAAACGACGATTCCATGGTATTTCTCTGTGACGTGAAGGTAGTACAGGGTGCACGGGTTCCAGAGAGTAAGTTTGACTAGTCCAACAGAGGTCATTGACGTTCAGGTCGCCAATTCCGTCCTACTCGCGCAATCTGGGCTCCGGACGGAAAGGCGGTGGCTCTTTTCGACCAACAGTCGTTTTGTATTGTGTATGAAGATGTGGTTGGAGAAGCAGGAGAACAGTGGGAAGAAGAGTAGGTTGGCAAAGAATACGTGACGCCATAGCCCTTTTGTACAGCAGTCTAGCTTCTCCTCTCACATCCCGTGTTGTATCAGCTGAAGGCATGAATCGTGGTGAAACCATGCAAGCTGCTGTCGCAGCAACGGCGTTCCAACAAGTGTCAGTCAACATACACATTGCATCTAAGCTCAATCAACACAACAGTCTCTGCCGAAGAAGACCCTATCCCGGGTATCGGCTCAATCACTTCGCGGAAAATTATCGTGTCGCCCGGGGTACACGACGCCTTCTCGAAACGCAGAAGGCTGTCCAAGTTCTCGGGCAACTCAGCTGAACAACATCGATGCGGCCATGTCTACGTTTCCCCCGGCGGCAGCAAGGAGCTGTGCAGCTTGATCTGGAGAGGCGCCGAGGCCGACAAGCTGGTAGTCAGCGCATAAGAATCGACGGCAACGCACCGTTTCTATGTCACGACTGTTAGGAGAACCGCTGGAGCTCCCGGACGGCGCTGATCCCGAGGCTCCGGCGCTGGAACCATGGGTGGAAGACGTAGGTTGAGCGGGAGCACTCCCGGCCACGGAAGAAGGGCCGGCCTCAGGAGCGCGCATCCTCGCCTGCTCTGGGAGTTCATGTTCCGACAAGAATGGGATTTCCGTCTTTGCGATGCGCAAGGTATTGGTGGAGAGGTCGATGCACGCCTGGTGGCGCTTGAGCATGTCCAATCCAAAGAGCAAGTCGACAGATTGCCCCTCCAGCACAGAGAACGCCACCGGTAGGAACATGTCGCCGAGTTTGATCTGAGCCGAATGAATGCGACCTAGAATTTTTGCGGTGCCGACTCCTTGAGCGACACCGGAAAAGCGTTTGTCAAGGAGACGCATGATGCCGCACGCTTCAGCGCATTCAGGTGAAACTAGAGTCAATTTGTGAATGCTCCTCGAGCACTTACTGATGGTAGTCTGGGCGCCAGAATCAACAAAGGCCTTCACAGGATGACCGTTCACTTCCACATTGATGTAAAGCATCGTGACGTGTCCGAACGACTCGGGCTTGCGAGTTAGGATGCACGCGGATGGTGATTACGCACTGAGAATTCCATAGCGTGTTGCATGTTCTCCAGAACGGCTTCCATTCGAATAGCTTCCTCGATCTTCTTTTGGGCCTGCTTTGTCAGTCCAGCGACGCTACTTCCGCTAACCTCGATATCGTACGGGTCCGCGTTGAGCAACTAGATGGTCAGCTCCGCGCCGTGAAGGCCGAGTTACCTCGATCTGCCTCTCTTTCTCCTCAGCCGCCGCCCTCATGGTGGACTCCTGGCGTCGAATTATCTCTTTAAAACGTGATCCTCCGGCCTGTATCGCGGATGCGAACTCGGGGTTGGCCTGGGTCGTCAACATCGAATGTATCTTGCTGGCAGGAGCTATGAAACGTACCTGACGCAGTTGTGCCATGAGTCTAGGATCACCCAAAGCCTGAAGTCTCATCCTCTCGAAGTCTGCATCGCTGGAAACGGAGACGCCTTGGCTCGGAGTGTTGGAACCGGATGGCAACGGCCGAGGATCACTGCCATTAGGGCTGCGGAAGAGGGTACCACGCACCGGAAGGTAAGGAAGAGAGTTGCGCTTTCGCCATTCAAACCGTAGCTCGACAAAGGCTTGTCGTCCTCTGACAGAGCTACGCCAGCATCGGTCGAGAGGGTTTGGTCGGGTGCGGGCACGGCAGCCTGCCCGTCAGATGTTGATGTGGTCAGGTCCATACCTCGGCCTCAATGAGGGCTTTGACGTCGCGCACCACCATAGAAGGGTCTACTTCTTGATCGTATATGCTCTCTGGAGCTATAATGGTGAGTCTCATGCCGAATGTCGATTGTCGAGATAATGTGCTTGACTGTTGATGTACTCCTATGGACTTGCATCCAACTTGTGTTACGTCAGGAACCTCCACCTAGAGGCTGGCGTCCTACTCGCCACATAGATCTAATGACCGCTAATACCGATGATCGACGTTGAGCATCTTTTATAAGAAAAGTGCGTCGACTCCAGTCTCTTTAACAATACACCAGACGACGACGCCGTGTTCTCCCACCTTTGGCATGGCTGTCTCTCACCCAGCGAAACCACTTGTGGGTTGTTGGGAAATGTGTAGAAATCGATCATCTCGGGTCTTGAGTACGCCTTGTTCTAACGATTCGGTGGGCCGGGCGTAATTAGATCACGGAACATCATTTATTCATGCAAGGGTTATACCAAGATTGTCCATGAAATTCAGAGCAAGTGGCCCAAGGGTATTTCTTGCAGCGGGGCTTGCGGTGCCGATGGAACTCTATGATTTGGCTCATATCTGTACCGCCTGAGGGGTCTGGCCGCTGAGCTCTCCGCGTTCATGATAGCCACGTGTTGATTGATGCAGATCAAAGCAAGTGCAAGACCCGGTGAGGATAACTGACATAGCAATCGAGCAGGCAAATGGGTCACCGCGTCGCCATTGGACCACTGATAGCACTGCATCTCTGACATTGGACTACAGCACTAAAGCTTCTTCTTGACCTCTTCGTAGGCAGCGGCGATGTCGTCCCTGGAAAGCTGTCGTTGTCAGTGTCATCCTGATTATCTGTACCAACACCTTGAACTGTCGGTTAGCATTTGTCATCGCATGGGACATACCAGGCCAACCAACGACAAGACCGGACTTGTCACTAGCCTCTGGCTTCGGAATCATGTGGAAATGAACGTGATCGACTTCTTGGTGGGCAATGCGGCCGTTGTTCTGGGGAGTCAGCCATGCTCGCGACAATACACAGCGCGCCAAACGCAGTGAGGCATGTGCCTGCATTCCGTTTCCCCCATCGACTGCAACAACGCGGTAAACATAACCAGACGACTCAACTCGGTAGTACCTACCTGGAGGATATTGTAATTCTCAGCGCCGGAGGCCTGAGCCAGCTTCTTCGCCATGGGGAGGATGTCTCCCATCTGGTCATCGGGCAGATCCGTTAACTTGGCAGCATGATCTGATGTTAGCATACGGCTACATGAGCACCAACACTTGGGGATAACAAGACAGTGTCCACGAGCGATGGGACCGATGTCCATGAAAGCGAGGGCGGTGTCGCTTTCGAGGAGCTTGAAGCAAGGGATTTCGCCTGTCGTTAGCCTACAATCCCATGGGCGCGGTGGGCGCAGCCGCTGTGTGCACAACAGAACCCCACCACTAACCCTTGACAATCTTGCAGAAAATACAGTTGGCGAGCGACGACATCGTGTGGATGTGGATGAGCTTGCTGCGTGTGTGGTTGGAAGAGTAGCGTCTTGACAAGTAAGTGTCCTCGTTCACGACGTCAGAGGACAGGGGGCGAGATGGCAACCGTGGGATAGCTGAGATTATTCCCAGGTCTGTCGGGCCCGACCACCCGAAGGTATCGGCCGAACAGCAGCCAGCGCCTTGACTCGCTGTAGATAAAACGCGCAGCCGGACGCTCACTCTCTTGCACGCATCCCCTCCATGACATCGCCCACCGCCGCCCAGCCCGCACTAGCTAACCACACGTCCCAGAACTACAACGAGCATGCCTCGTTCGTTTACTCGGACAAGAATACGGCTCCCATTCTCCGGCTTCTGAATGCACAGAGTGGGGAAAGTATTGTGGATCTGGGATGTGGCACAGGCCAATTGACTGAGAAGATCAAAGCGTTGGTAGGCGAAGGTGAAGTTTGGGGGGTGGACTCTAGCGAAGACATGGTTCGTTGGGATCAAACAGTCATGGCCTGACGCTCAGTTGTCCTTTGCCAGAGAAAACGGAAACGCCTTGGGCATCGAATACACTCGAGGTGACATTCAGGACTATAGAACGCTGGACGCTTCTCTTGAGGGCAGATTCGATGCTGTTTTCTCATCCGCTACGTTCCACTGGTGCAAAGCGAACCCTGGTGGTGTTGTTGAGACCATCAAGTGGCTGCTGAAGCCTGGGGGCCGAGCGGTTTTCGAGTTTGGTGGCTTCCAGAACACGTGAGTTTCTCAATGGGAGCCGCGGGACAGTCACGTCCACTGACATCAGTGTCGGCGTACGTGGTGCCTTGCATGACTGTCTTCGTCGACGCGGCTACGATCCGGCGAAAGCGGACCCCTGGTACTTCCCTACAGCCGAGCAGTACTCTGCAGTAAGCCAGCCACCTCTGCTTCTGAGAACTAATTCACATAGCTACTGCAATTGCACGGCATGAGTCCAAGTGATGTTGAACTCCACCAACGGCCCACGCCCCTGACCACCGACCTCTTCGGCTGGTTGAAGACTTTTGCACGCAGAACGTTTTTCGCTGAGTTCTCCGATCTGGAGGCTAATTCGATGATGGAGGAAGTAGTGGAGAGCTGCCGTCCAGACAACTACTGGTGTGACGCCATGCCTGGTCTTGGGATCAAGCCTCCCGTAGGCGCCACTGGCAATGAGGGCTGGAACGTTCACTACGTCCGCCTTCGCGGTAGTGCAACTGCTCCTAGCTGCTGAAGATGATGCATTGCTTCGGACCTACATCTTGGCCGCCTTGGCCTTGCGCAAAGCTTGACGGGCACCGATGGCGCGACCCACTTTGCTCTCGTTCTTAACTTCAATGGTCTCACTGAGCCAGTTGCCGGATTCCACGAGCTTGTCGAGATCTACACCAGTCTGGAATCCGAGCTTGTGCAGAGCATACACGACGTCCTCGGTCGCGACATTGCCGGTAGCACCTGGGGAGTAGGGACAACCTCCAAGACCAGCAAGAGAAGAGTCAACGATGCGCAGTCCCAGCGGAAGAAGCGCAAGAATGCTGGGAAGGGCCATGGAAAAGGTGTCATGGCAATGAGCCTGTTTCTTGTCAGTTCAGGGAACCCCGAGCAACAAGTACTCACGGCCATTTTCTCCACAGGAACTCCAGCATCGATGAGGGCTTGCCACAAGGAAACCCAAGCCTTCGGATTTCCCTCGCCGGTCGTGTCCCCCAGGGAGACCTCGTAACATCCCATATCGAGAAGCCTTTGCGCGACCTTTACAACATCCTCGGGAGCGGTAGGTCCGGCATACGGATCCGTCATAACGCAGGACACATAACCACGAACTCGGTAGCCGTTGGCGGTGGCTTTCTCGATGACATTCGGCAGACCGCTCAGGACCTTCTCAACGGTAGCGTTGTTGTTTGCCATGGAGAAGGGCTTTCGTTAACACAACGTCGCTTCTGGAACATGCTTCTGGAACATACCTCTGTAGCTGAAACAAACACCGCCACCTCGTTCGTAAGCGGCACGCCGCTGCGAGACGATTGCTCCTTCTCCTCCAAGGCGAGAAGCCCCTCCAAACCCCTCATGTTCGGGACCAGAACAGGGTAGTGAATCGGCTCACCCTCGACCTTCGCATTCAGAGATGGAAGTGAGGGAAGGAGCTGCGGCGTGTCTGCCATTTGGGGAACGCGGTCCGGACGGACGAAACTGCCCACCTCGACAGTTCGGAGACCACAGTTGAGAAGTCGTTCCACCAGTTCCTTCTTGACTGCGGTAGGAATGGCCGGGGGAGGAATGTTCTGTAGTCCGTCACGGGGTGCAACCTCTACGATTCTGCGCGGCGGTCAGCTCTCGAGTCGATCCCGCAGACCCACCTCACGAAGTTGTCTCCAGACGGGTTGACGGCGGTGCTGAGAGGGCGCAGTGCCCGGGATAAGGGGATGCTGCCTCTAACACTCAAAAGAGCATGTCGTCCCGTAGTAGCTCGCACAGCAGGGAACATCATCGTTGTTGATGAAGATGATGACGGAGATGGTGGTAAGATGTGAGATGTGGACTGATTGAAAGGACGGGCAACAGGCATCAAGTACATGTATGAATTGGACCAAGGCCGAATGCCGGCAAGCCTGCCATGCCTGGCAGACCGAACTCGGCTAGGCCGAGAGCCGACCGACTGAAATATCCGGAACTTGCCTCCGATGTCGGACACCTGGCTCAGAGCCAGGGTCAGATTACACTGCACCCTATGAGGAAGTACATATTTCGGCAAACGACCGCCCAGCTGTGTAAGATAAGATCAGCCTCCACCATCGCGTATTGCGGTGGCCGTTCGTTCGGCTTTCATGGCTCACTCTTGACACTCTGTTCCATTTGATCCTCTGCTCCGTTTTCCCCCCATGAATAGCCTTTGCTTCCCGTCGGCAAAGTCAACAGCCAATCTCTCACTTCGGACCCATCACTTCTGTATTTCGGTTTTCTGTCTCTGGGCAGAACTAAGAGATAAGCTGATGTCAGTCGACACGCACTTGGGACGACAAGTGTGTCTCGGTGTACGGCATTTCTTACACGCTTTCACGCATATGAACTGACAATTATTCATGATCTGGTCTGAGTCACGATCCCCTCATCAGGTACTCACCTTCCTGCCACTATGAAGAACAAAGTGAAATGCGTGCCGTTGGCCGTTGTTGATTTGGGACAGTGCCCATCGAAGTTTCTCCTCGTCGAACGCCCCAGAACTGTGGCAGCGTCAAGGTCTACTCATATGATGCTAACCAGCCCACCCCTGCTCGTCGTCATGCTCCGGAGTCTCCTCACGACCCCCTTCTTGGATAGTGTATCTGCCTACGTCCCACAGCACTGGGGATCACATGAGCTTCTTGTGACGTCGAGTGTGCTCACAGGTGCCTTTGCCGCTGCCTGGGTGGCCTTCAGGACCTTCTCTGACAGCGTCTCTCAGATGATGCAACGGTGTTTCCACAGCGAGGTGTTCCCGATCTTGCTCTGTGAAACCCAAAACGCCTTTAGGAATAGCCCACGACACGAGACACCCGTCCAAGTGTAGGCGCAGGTCATAGTGATGAGCTGCAAACGGTGTTAAGTCCTACAATCGGTCACAAACCTTACCAGTTGCTTGATGACGTTGAATGCACCAGAAGTTGCGACTTCGCAGAACCGGAAACGTGGTAACATCTTGAAGGGGGTAAACGCTTTGGGAGTGTTCTCGGAGTCGATGGAGCGTGAACATACTCTGCCGATATGATAGCTAACCAATGGGTCCAGGAAACTGAGCGACGTCAAAATGCGCGCAGCCGCCCAGACCGTGACCTCGACGGGTTGAAATACGAGAAGGATGTGGACTGGTGTTTTTCACTCTGCACCGGTGAGCACATCGACTTACGAGGTGAACTCAGGTGGGAGTCACATGATGGAGAGTGGCGGTGGAGGTTGTCAGCTGAGGTGGAGGTGGTCCCTGCGGTGGCTGCCCGTGGGAAACTGAGGTCACTCGAAGTTTCTCACGGTAGGCAAGCATCAGATCACGTGATTGCCCATTTTCAGCTGAAGGGCAAACAATTTCTGCTTAACCAGGCCGCCGAGGATTATCGACCGTGGGCAAGTTGTGAACGAGCTGAGCCTTCCTCGGAGGCCTGCGCCGTATTTCTGGATGGAGGCAACCGTGGGAAACTTTGAATCTGGCACATGCCTCCTCCGACCTCGATCACTGTTAGCACGCTTCTGAGTGGCGCACCTTCACTGTAGGAGACTTTGAGGCTCACGGAAGCTCTTGAGGCCGCTGTTGGAAGGTTTGCACCGTCCCCTCATGAATTCTGAGTACGCTGTCTAAAGGAAATGTGTGTCTCACTCATTCCTGCTTCCTCTTCGCTGATTCTGGTGTTAGCTATATCAGAAAACGCTGCTCTGTTCATTTATCTTATTGCGGTAAATCTGCTCTGCTTATTATGCAAGATGTAGGAGCCTCACAAGTTCTGAGCACGCTACCTCAGAAAGAAATTGTGTCTTGTTCATTCCTGCTTCGTTTTCGCTGATTCCGGTGTTACCTATATCACAAGACGCAGCTCTGTTCATTCATCCCATTGTGGTAACCCTGTTCTGCTTATTGTGCGAGGTTGAAGCTGCTAAATTGTCCTCTTCTTCATGACGTTCCTCTTTCCTATGAGGGATCGTGGGTCGTCCTGGTAACTAGGGCTCCAGTTGAAGCTCCTCTCTCCCCACCTTGATACTAGTTTGCTGCGCGATCGGGGCGCGAGCTGCTCTTGCCCGATTTAGCAGGTCGAGGCGCCTCAAGCTCACAAAGATAACGCGACTTTTGCCATGCATGCATGCTCCTTTGGGCATAGTGCACGGCAACTGCCTAGTCATAGGGCTCTTCCTGTTTGTGCGACACACGTGCACAGCGACGATTCTCCTCCCCCATTCCTGCTCCTTTTGTCCACTGAAAACTCTCTTGGACACGGTGTCATGAGAGAAGTTGCTGAAAGAGAAGCGGGTTGATGCACTACTACTTGGCTCAATCCTCGAATTTCCAAGTTGCCTCGCTGTTACTGCACACACTGGTGTTCTTGGACATGCAGTGCAAGCCCTTGGGTCTGTCTGCTGCTCGAGTCCCCCGATGGTGAGATCGACCGGCATGACAGTTGAGCACCTCAAGTGAGCGTACGCACCTTCGCTGATCTCTTTGACAGACGAGCGATCTTCCCCCGCCTATTTGCTGTAACAAGTCGACATCTGGCTGAGCAACGCGAACTGTAAGAAGGCGTTTCCTAGGCCGGTTGATCTTCGAGTGAGGCAAGCAAGCTGGCGTACCTGACATCTCCAATTGAAAACTTTGGGCGTTGGGTAGGTGACTCCAGCCCACGGTCTGAGCTCTCGCACGCTCGTTTAAACGGTCCTGAAAACCGCCGGGATAGTAAAACTTTTAAAGGATGCTACCCTCCACACAGCGGTAGATTATGGCGTGCATGGCTTTGGAGGCACTGAATGCATGCTGCATGCCACCGAACTTCGTGACTATGTACATGAGGTACAACACGGACCGCATCGTTTCTTGTCCAGGCGCAGGCAATCCTCGCTCACTTCGCCTAACTCGCTACTCCAGCAGGAGCTTCTTCATGCTACACCACCTGGTCTAGAGTGGAACGTTGGGAGCGTTGGTGGGTGGATGAGCTCAAGGATGTGCCGCATGCGAGGAAAGCAACCCGAAGCAGATAGGTGCCATCCCCCTGGGCGCTCAGACTTCGTCGTAGTGAAGAAAGAAACATCTACATTTCGTCTTTAGCTGCCAGACTATCGAAGGAATCTGGAGGGTGGAGCGAGGAATGACCAGTGTACCAAGAGTGAAGGAGGAGGTATCAAACACCCTTAGGTTCTTTCTGCCTTCGGATGTGTGCCAAGTAGCCTGCGTCACCGACCATACGCCCGTTGCCAGGAACCCGCTACTGCTTCCGCAGCCTTTGTGTATATGTACGCGAGTCTAAGAGGTGCTTATTATCTGTGAATTGGAAATCTCTGGTAAAAATCTCTTATAACTTGTCACTGGGAATTGTTACAGCACTTTCGAAGCCACGAGCGTGAAGATCGGCATCTGCTCTTCTTGCTCGTCCAAGAATGATAAGGAACGGAGGAGAATTGGGGGAGCTATGACCTCTTTCAGTTGAACCTCTTATGTGGCCGAGTGATGGATCAAACATGTAACACGCGCGCAAGAAACACAGGGATCCACGTCAGACACAGTGTTCCCCGACTCGTCTTCATTGTTTTTCATTAAGTTGCACCATAACTGTCTTTATCCTTCATGAGATGTCGGCGGTAGCCGTCCCTAGATTCATACATTCCCACGGTGGACCCTCTGGGTCATTTCGTCATCCAGCGGTCGCCACCGTGGGAATCCATGAATCTGGCAGCCGGCCTCCTCACACTCGTTCGAAAGCGAGAAGTCATACTATGTCTATCCCTGGCGAGCGTGGGATACTTGCAGTGGCGACCGTGGGAGACACCCATTCTATAGCTGGTCACCCCATATGTTCCAACTGCGCCACCCTAGCCGTCCCTAGTACACCCTCGGGAGCTGATGTCGGCGGCAGTGCCTAACGTGTATCAAAGTTCGAGTGGGCGTCAGTGATGCCTCGCAGCGGAGGGCTGAGTGCAGCGTTTGCCAACCGTGGGGAAGCTGATGGAATCGACGGTTGGCACCTAGCTGAAGGTGCGGGCTCGCGCGGCGGTCAACCTGGCACGTAAATGAGATACACATGCATTTCTCCACCTCTACGACCAAACTATCGCGGTGCGCACGCGTGGCAATCTCAACCCAGATGAAAGGACATGCGTTTCAGCGGACCTCGGCCCAGTTCCAAGACCGCTAGGAGCTTTCCACCCGGCTCAGGGCTTGGTCAAGATGCCATACGAGTGAGGCGTTGTGGACCACCAGGGAGCGTCGGTGGGCATGGCAAGGTCGATCTCCTTCCAGGGCCCAGCAGCGCGGAGCGACTTGCCTGTGTCGCGACACAATTCGCAACCTCCCAAGCACAGCGGCCAGACGACATTCAGAAGTTCTGCGGTCAGAAGTAGCGGAAGGGGTCGACCTACTTTGGTACCACCTCATGAAATTGCCTTGGGAGGCATAGCACTTTACGTGCTCATACACGAACCACCGTCCGCCAGGCTTGAGGTATTCGTAGAGTTCGCGGATGTTCTTCTCCGGCTCTGGAATCGAGCACAGGCAAAGAACCGTAACAATGGCGTCCACCGAGCCCTTCGGGATCAACCCGGTCGATCCAATATCCTCGATCCCGACTGGAACGATGGTGTAACTTCCGTCCAGACCCGCTTCCGAGATCCTACTCTGCAGAGCGGCGTGATGGGTTGCGTTCGGTTCGATACCAAACACCTTTTCGACTCTTGTCCGTTTGCCGGGGATCGACTTGTCGACAGTGTCTGAAAGAGTCGCGTACTGGTCTCCGTAGATGCTAACCCACATGCCACTTCCCGGGCCCACTTCGATGACGGTTCCACCTACTCCAGGAGGCAGGCCACGGCTATCACCATCAGGAGGAACAGCGGTACCCAGCCGTACCCGGCCTTGCAGAAGTGGGACTACGCGAGCCTCTGCTCCATCTCTCACCATGGGACCCACAGTCCGCCAAAAGTTGCCAAACCAGAGAAACTGGAACTGATCCCAGGAGACAAGTCGGCGTTCACGGAAAACTTGAGAGATCGTCGATGGGACATACGACAAAGAAAGGCCGATGAACAACAGTGGTTCTATCAGGCCGTTCAGAGTCTCGAGGAAAGGCATGGTGGAAGAAGTGATGGATGACATTGAAGTGAAACAGACAGTTGCACGCACGTCAATCGAGCAGGCTCGTTCGGCAAACGCCGAAACCTTTACATTCAGGCTAAACTAATCATCTTATGAAGCGTATTTCAGACTTAGAGGCCCAGCACCAGAACTGTGCGCGCAGGGATGTACACCTGCAGCCAGTTCTTGCGGCCGTTCCATTCCATGGGCGTAGTGAAGTACTCGCCACTGTTATCGATCCGATCATGTCCACCGAACCTCTTTTCGTCACTGTTCAAAACGACGTGATACTTGCCCGGAACATCGACACCGACGCGATAGTCGCTAAAGGATTGATTGGGGTGGACTGGTGTCAGCATTCACTCCTCCCAAAGCTCACAGTTGAAAATGAACAGCAAGCCCGCCCGTTCGAAGACGATGACCTTGTCGCCTTCGTGCTTGAGGGACACGAACGCCTTCAGTGTTAGCATGCCCTTCCCTCCCACTATTGGACTCACTTGCGGCGCACTCAGCCACTTGTACTTGCTCTCAAGATTGTTCATCTCTGCGTCAAAGGCGTTGAGATACTTGTAGCGAAGCAAGTGGTCGTCCACCAAGTTGAACTGGCGACGCGCGTGGTCGAAAGAGTTGCCGTTGCCCTCACGGGGGAAGTCCATCCACCTGTTATTGTCAGCCTCGGGTTAATGCCATCCACGCACTCGGGGTGTCCAAACTCGTTGCCTTCGAAATTGAGATACGCTTCGCCACCAAGTGAGTGGACGAGGAACCTGTTCGAGTCAGCACGACGTCACAGCGTGCATTCACCTGATCATCTTGTGCAGGGAGATTCCGCGATCGATGATGGGCGTCAGAGGCGAGAGGTCAGACATGTAGTCGTCTGCTGTCAGCTTGACCCCGACATTGTCTCGTACACATCTCCTTATCCATGAGCCAGAACGCAAGCGTCTTGTCTCCGACCAAGGCTTGATCGTGACTTTCGGCGTACGACACGCTGCGCTCCAAGTGCCGACGGTTGGTAAGCGTATGGACAATGTTACCCATGTCCCATTCTTCATCCTGCTTTTCCTTGAGAATTTTGATCCACATGTCGGGAATCGCCATGGACAAGCGGTAATCGAATCCGACGCCACCCTCGTCGACAGGCCGACAGAGCGTAGGCATACCAGACACATCCTCTGCGATAGTGATAGCGTTCGGATACAGGTCATGGATCATTTTGTTAGCCTGCGGACAGTCAGCGACGGATGGGGTACCGCGGTACCGACCAGCATGAGGTAAACCATGGCCTCTTGATCGACAGAGTCACCAAAGTACTCGTGGTAGTCACCTGATGTCAATGGCGAATCACCGCGGCAGCCCTACCGGAGAATCCAAAGCCCATACCGTGGTGCTTGTACATCATACTCGTGACGCCATCGAACCGGAAGCCGTCAAAGTTATATTCGTCCATCCAGAAACGAAGATTAGACAGGAGGAATCGTTGGACTTCGGGATGACCGTAGTTAAACAGGCGAGAGTCCCAGAGGTCGTGGCGTCCACGACTGCCTTCATGGAAGTACAAGTGGTCGGTGCCGTCAAACATGTTCAATCTGCATGTTCAGCATGCGCGTCGCCAATATTCACTGACCCATCCAAGACGTTCTTGCACGCGTGAGAATGCACAACGTCCAACAGCACTGTGATACCCATGCCATGAGCGGTGTCAATGAGACTTTTGAGGTCCTCGGGGGTGCCTATCGTCAGATCGCAAAGAACCATTCAACAAACCGTAGCGCGACGAGGCCGCGAAAAAGCTGGTGACCTGGTAACCAAACGCTGGCTTCAGCAAAATCCGACATCCCACGATTCTTACAAGCATAGTAGGCGTGCTCCATGATGGCCATCCTGGATAATCAGCTCCGGCAGTACGAAAGGGCTCACATTTGGATGGTATTGTAACCGAGATCCTTGATCCGAGGCAAGACGTCTCTCTCAAACTCTTTGTACGTGGTCACGCGCTTCTCGGGACTGGAGATCCCCACTTTGGTAAGCCAGATGTCAAAATTAACGTTGAAACGAACCGTGAGCTTCATAGATCTTGAGGCCCTCAATCGAGTTGGTCGAGTGGCCGTTCTTGAATTCGTAACGGTCCTCGGCAGGAGGGTTCCAGAACCTAGCGTCATACACGGGCGAAACGTCCAAGTCTTGGGTCACGCGGGTGATCCAGGCCGGGAGACGGTCAATGGACTCGCCGTCGGCAGTAGTCATGGAGATTTTGACCATGGAGTCGTGAGGGATGGCGCACTTGCCATCCGCGGTGGGAGGGACGTAGCACTCCCATACTCCAAACTCATTCTTCGTCATGGGATTCGCCGTGTGTGACCAGTTGTCTGCAAGTCAGTTGTGGATACGTGGCGGTGCGTCGCTCACTGAAATCGCCAATCAGCCTGGCCGCGACGGCGCCTGCGGCCCACTCCCGATACGTAACACCGCCCTTGTCGTCGATTTGGAAGCCCATCTTCTTGTGGCCCTGGGTAAAGCGGTCCAGACCACCCTCATGGGTGTCAATGAACTGTAAGGCCTTTTGGTATGCCGAGTACCGATCACGGAGGGCTCCGGAATAGGGCTCAAGCCTGTCATTAGCCAGTTGCGATCTCGACACTACATACCAGGGATCGACCTGCACGACACCAGTACCTGGTCATTAGCAAGGAAGCTGCCAAGCAGTGCTCACCGTCTTTGGACATGGCTGGGGCTTTGGATGTTTGCTGGGACATGACCGATGCTGAAAGAGGAAGATAGTTTTGGGGATAAGGGACTGTCGGTGTGAAGCTGTCCGCTCTATGTACGATGTCATCGGATGTCGATCCCCAGCCATTGCGGTCCGGGGACCCCGTAGTCACGTGATGCGGCAATGGCCGTGCACTGGTTAACTGTTTTTCACTAGAGCGAATGTTCGTTCCGCCACCCTTATCAACACCATGGTCTCCTACTACGACGAGCTCGAGATCGAAGATTTCACCTGGGACGAAGACGCCAAGGTCTTTCACTATCCTTGCCCTTGCGGCGACCGATTCGAGATTTCTAAGGGGCAGCTGCGGGATGGAGAGGAAATTGCCACCTGCCCGAGTTGCAGCTTGATCGTCCGAGTAATTTATGACTACGTGAGTGCACCGGAGCTCAGCTGTGATGCTAACAAGGAACAGCTTGATTGGGAGGACTATGAGAGCTCAGACGAGGAGGAAGAAGCGGGAGCCGAGGAGGCCGAGACTCCGGCCACGACGGCCCCGCCATCCCCATCCAATGTGAACAGCGTTGACAAGGTTGACACTCCGGCAGACCTGGCTTCAGCGTTGGAGAAGGTTTCTGTTTCGGAGGGTGACCGCGACTCGTCATGACCACCACCGTGTATACATTACTTGTACATATAACTTTGTTGATGCAATTACGTCTCTTCGTCACTTGTTGGGCTACCACGTTTCTGGGCAGTGTGCCATCCGTAGCAGCTGCGAACAACTTCGCCCCATTCGAACATCAAGCCACACTCTGGGCACTGAACCGCTCGGGGCAACAGGGCTTGCACCTGTCCGGAAGTCTGAGCCGACAACGCCAAGCATCGCAAGTGGGTAACGCACAGACAGTCGAGCTTTGACGACGGACAAAGTGCAACAGTCAGGGGCTCCTAAGCGTCAGCATACCAACGGCGAGACTCGTACTTTGGTGTCAACCTCTGCAGCGCATAGATAGCAACGTCGCTGCCCAGATGTCTGTTGGAGACGCTTCCACTTTTCCCCTGATCGATCACCATTCCTGAAGCCGTCATCTTTGAGATCGAGCTGGTCGTCACTCTCTATCCTTCCCCGTTTGAACGAGGCAGCGTACCCGGACGGATTGAAGGTCACTTGCACTCTAGGGTCAAGTTCGGGCAATGCTTTGACACCCGCAATGATAGCCGCAGGGGTGCTTTTGAACAGCGCAGGAGCTCCATTATCGGGTTGGGCCAGGGCGGTAAAACTTTGGTGCACATCTTTGCGGAAGCACCTGACATGAAGGGGCAGAGAGCGAAACGGATGCGATCGCAAGAGGGCGAGAGCGACACTAAGAGTCAATCAGATGTCTGCAAGACAGTGAAAGCGTACATGGTCTTCCTTTCCACTTGGTTCCTCTTGCTGTCCTTGGGGAACAACGGCCTCGACGCACTTTCACCGGCACCCACCCGCAGATGCCTTGAAAGCTCGGGGTGCTGCCATGCCCATTCGAACTGGATTCAGCAGCGTATTCAGATGTCTCGGCTTACCTGCAGGGCAGTCAGCTTGCTCGGAAATCTGTTCACTCAGCAAATCGCTCATGCTCTCTTCCTACCCATAAACAATCATCTGTTCCTCCTGCGTTGATCAGTGTCTGAACTTGCATTGAGCATACCCATGGCCTGTGCAGGGATGTCTTCCAGGCGCCCTGCGTGATCTCGCCGTTATGTTGCCGAAGGCGACGCGGTGGGTCGGGCGTTGAGCCAATCTAAGTGCACGTCAGCTTGCATGTCGTCGGCTTGCTCACATAAGTTCGCTGCGACCCGGGTTTGGCCTTTGATCTCAGAAGATAGCACGCATAGAACGGGGGAAACACGTGTCGATCTGCTCCCAAAGTTGACTTTGTGTCCAATGCCGACATTTGGGGGTGTGCAGAGTTAAAGAGCAAAACAAACATTAAGACACCGATCACCGACGTATCAGGGTCCGTCGCCCCGGCTGTTGCCCTAACACGACGAACATGGAATGCATTGCGGCGACGAGACTATAAAACCTTTAGAAGTCGGCAAACAGGTGATCGTATTGACTTTGCCCAGGCTTTCCATAGGCGGACACATCAGCCTCCTGGTAACGATCGAATCTAGCGTCAGAGGAGCCTTCTAGGGAGTTACTCACTGACTGGCGTCGCCTTCACCCTCAATCTTGGGAACATAGGGCGCGGGAATCTCTCGCCTGTAGAGCTTGTCCCAGTCCACCTCAGCAAACCACCCATGGGCAAAAATGTCTGCCGAGCCAGCTCGCAAGTTGCCGTAACGCTTTGTGAGATCTCCCACGAGCAGATTCTTGAGAAGTTCCTTTGCGAGGGCATCGAAATAAGTAGGATACCTCACCTTTCCGGCGATGATCTGTTGGTCAGTGTTGACCACCTGACGACGCACCTTCTCATACAGTTTCATAGGGTTTCCATCCTCCGTGAAGAACGGAGGGTAGCCAGCCTGCTTTGTCAGTGCCATTTCGCCCTTGGTGCACTCACAAGCATCTCGAAAATCAGCACACCAAGGGCATACCAATCCACGCTCTTGTTGTAGCCCTTGGATTGCACGACTTCAGGCGCCACTAAAGTGTCAGCCGAAACAAGCGATGCAGAACCTACGGTAGTCGGGAGTTCCACACAGCGTCCAAGTGATGTCCGGGACGTGTTTGGCAAAGCCGAAATCGGTTACCTTGACATGCCCGTCCGCTCCGAGCAGGATGTTCTCCGGTTTGAGGTCTCGATAGATGATATCCAGAGAATGAAGGTAATCAAGCGCAAGGGCAACTTCGGCGGCGTAAAACTTTGCAACAGAATTAGGGAATCGCTGCAGTGTCAGTTCGACTCGGTGCCCATACTCACTTGACTCTTTCGGAGCAAACTAAACAGCTCGCCTCCAGCCACAAAGTCCATCACCATGTACAGGTTGTTGACGTCCTGGAACGTTCCCCAGAGATTGACCAAGAAGGGGTGTCGGACCCGTACCAGCATTTCTCGTTCCGAGTTTGTATGCTCAACTTGCTTCATCTTGACCACTTTCTCTTTATTGAGAACTTTGATAGCGTAAAATCTGCTGTTGTGTTTGGAGCGAACCAAGTGAACCCGTCCAAATGAACCAGTTCCAAGTCTGAAGATATCAGCATCGGACCAGTCATTCTCACCCACGTTCTTTCGATATGGAAATCCCCCAGAGCGTAGCGACCGGCCGTCTTCCGGAGAGCTTGGCCTCGTCCTGACACTGGCGTTTTGGATCCCGTGCTTGGGTTAGTCGCTGTGTCCAGAGCTGCCTGCGTTGCAGCTGCATTGATCGCGGCAACACGTGCCTGCTGGGTGGCGTGATGAAGGTTGGCTTGGGCCTGAACAGACTGATACGTCAGCCACGAGCGTTCGGCAACTCACCTGCTCTTGGGCAGACCTGGCTTTCTCCCTCATTCGCTCCTCCTCTACACTACCCTGGCGAGTCTCGGTTGGCGTCTGCAGCGAGAGGTTGGACACGTCTGCCATCTCGATACTCATGGTACGGTTGACCTCGTAGGGCTGACCCCCAGCCGGACCAGCCATAGATTGGGGCGAAGCCACGCTCGGGTGTTGTTGGCTTGTTGTCAGACTCCTCTTCAAAGCAGGGATACGTACCTCTCGACCCCCTCCATACCAGGCTGGGCGGGGGCAGACATGGAAGCGACGGGCTGCGGAGGCTGAACAGATTGAGTTGCACCTGGTGATGGGGCTGCGCCCTGGTTCATGCTCTGCGGGAGAGTAGTCGAATTGGTGGGAGAAACGGCAGACCCGGGTGAGACGGCGTTGGCAGGCGGGCTCTGGGGGCTCTTCAGAGGCGATGCCTGCTGCTTTCTGTTATGGAACTTGTCTGAGACGCGAGCGAACATGATGATGCGATTGATGCTAGGTAGCACTCAAGCAGTCATCGGATTCGAAGGGGCTGGGAATCGGATCAGGGCCAACCAGTGGAGAGGGCGGAGCGCGGTAGATCGAGAATCGACGAGACGCAGTGCAAGCGGGTTGGACAGGAAGCAGACGTTGTACCAGAGTGAAGACGTGTAGGTGGATGGATGGCTGATGAGTAACGAGAGAACGCAGGCGATAGTTGGATGGGAGGATGAGCCCAAGGCAATCCTCAAGAGCAAGGTGGTGTGCAGCCGAGTGACGTCTCTAACCATCCGTGATTATGGCGCGAATTTCCGGAAACGGCAATTTCCTCCGTCATTGGAATATTGATCTCATTGGAACAACGGTGCACGCACCTGATCCACCTGATGGCGTACACGCCCCACACAGCTATCCTTACACCCTGCATAGGTCGATCGGTCAGTCAAGCAGCTACTTGGGCGGCACCCGTTTCGACGTTTCTTTGACGAGTGGAACAAGAGCGATGTTGGTGAGAGAAGGAGATGCGGTGGACCGCCGCGGCCCCACCCCCGCGCGGCCCCACGTCTTCTACCATGCAGTGAATGGCACCTGGTGGGGCTCGCTCAGCTTCCGCCCACAGAGTACTGAATCACGCGGTATCTATCCGCCGACGAACCCAAAGCTTGACACATGCGGACAACGCCCGACCACTGTATAGCAGTGTCTGTTATTCTTCTGGGAAGCGGCTGGAACCGCCATTGGATAAAGAATGCATTAGGCCTCAGCCTCTACTAATGCGGCGGCGATGTACGGGCCGACGATCCCAAGTCAGGATCCACTGAAGGGCGGGAGCGATTCATTGTGGTCACGTGCTTCCGGTATATACGTGGCGAATACGGGGGGGACGTACTCAGGAACTTGATAAGAGCAGTGCGGGGTCGGTTAACAAAGGCACTTTCGGCGTACTGCGATCAGATGCATCGGTCCGGAACTTGACATGTCCGCCGATGCACCGGACCTCAGATAATGGCTCGGCACTCAGCAGACCAAGGCGGCCGTCAGAGGTGGACGTATAACTCTCTCCTCCTAACTCTACACCATCGACCACAACCAGACTGAGAATGCGTGCGTCTATGCTTAGCGTGACCCGATCGACGGCTCGTCCCGGACTCGCCTTGCGACCCGTGGGAGGACTTCAGCGTCGCTTCCAAACATCTTTGGACGATCCGTCTCAAGCTCGAGTTCCAAGGGACGGCGTTGCCGCACGGTCGGCTCCCAGCCCGCCTTCGCAGGACGTGGAGCCTTCCCTTGGTTCTAGCAACCTTCTCAAGTCCACAAAGGAGGAGGTAGGGCATAGACCTGTAAAGCGAGCTGACAACGCAGGCTCTTGCAACCGAAGGCCTCGTGTTCGCTGACGGTCATGGCCTTCGTGGGCCGACGGGCAAGGGGCGCGAGACCCGCAAGATGAACCTTCACCAGGCTATCCGCGACGCTCTGCGGTGAGGTGGTATCATATGCACGCATGGCTAATGTCAGGACGGCGCTCATCTCAAACCCGCGCTCCTTTGTCTTTGGAGAAGACGTCAAAGCTCACGGTGTCTTGTGAGTTAGATGTTGCACGCCGTTTTACTGACTAGCAGCCGTTGCACTATGGGTCTTGCGGAAGAGTTTGGTGAGCACAGAGTTGTTTGCAAGACGCTGACGAGAAGGCTCTAAGCGTGTCTTCAACACGCCCTTGACCGAGCAGGGTATCGCGGGCTTTGGAATTGGGTTAGCCAGCGTCGGATCCACTGCGATTGCAGAGATTCAGTTTGGTGACTATGTAGGTGATGGCGACTTCATTGTCTGACTCGACAGATCTTCCCCGCGTTTGACCAGCTCGTCAATGAAGCGGCCAAGCAGCATTACGCCAGTGGAGGATCCTACCCGCTCCCCGGTGGATCCTTTACTGTTCGCGCGCCGTCCATGAGCGTCGGCCACGGTGGCTTGTACCATTCGCAGAGCCCCGAGGGCTTCTTCCTCGGAGCGGCGGGCCTCAAGGTCGCTGTCGTTCGGTCGCCGATTCAGGCCAAGGGCCTTTTGCTCGGTGCCATCAGGGACCCTAACCCTACGATCATCTTCGAGCCCAAGGTTCTCTACCGTGCTGCAGGTTGGTAACGACATCCAGGAGTAGAACTGACTGTCAGTTGAGGAGGTTCCAGTTGACGACTTTACCCTGCCTCTAGGCACTACCGATGAGATCCGCCCGGGTACCGATCTCACTGTTGTATCATACGGAACACCGCTTTACACGACCCGTACGTTCTGCGCTCGCTCACGCTGACAAGCGAGTCCGGGCTATTGAGCTCCTGACAAACCCTCCGCCTAGCCTGGTTCAGTACCTTCCTGAGAAGCTTCGGCCCCCTCACCCCGCTCCGTCGATCCAGCTGATCGACCTTCGCACCATCAACCCCCTGCCTATCGGCGAAATCACCGACGCCGTTCGCAAGACTGGACGGCTTGTCGTGGTGCACGAAGCCGGAAAGAGCGGAGGTGTCGGCAACAATTTGGCTGGTGAAGTCGGCCGTCGTGCATTCGAGTACCTGGAGGCCCCCATCGGCCTTGTCAGCGGCTGGGAGTGAGTTGTCATCGTCTGCTGAGAGCTGACCCAACCCAGCGTCCCTGTACCGCTTGCATACGAAAAGTTCTACCAGCCGGACGTCATCCGTGTCTTTGACAAGCTGGTTGAGACTCTGAGCTATTAAACATCTGGATCGAGATAAGCATTTTTTGTAATAGGTAGAAGAGCATCAGCATTAGAGATGAACACATTATCCCAACGCGTTCAGGCACGTCGCGACCCTGGCGACACGTTTCGAATGGATGACACGTTTCGTTGGACTAATTACCGCCGCCATTGACGTTTGGCACTCCTCACTATCCGCGCCCATGTTCGAGCCACATCTCGACCACCAACATCTGCACGATAGCGACCGCGCTCGGAGCGAAGGCAGCAGCATTTTGGAGGAGCTGGACAAACTCGCGCCCATCAAGAGCTTTGACGCGTTCCCAAAGGTCCAGTCCTCCTACACCATCCGGTCACGACGCGGAGGTGTTTTGACCGCACTCGTCGGCCTTGTCATTTTTCTTCTCGTTCTGGTGAGCCCTACGCTACGTGTTCTCTGACATAGAATGACCTGGGCGAATACCTTTACGGCAGCACCAGCCTGTCGGTCAAAGTCGACCCCACCATTGAAAGCAATCTCCAGCTCAATGTAGATGTCACAGTCGCCATGCCCTGTAGATGTGAGTCGGCAGTGGATATCAATCGCTGATGGTAAAAGATCTTTCCATCGATCTCCGTGACGGTGTGGGCGACCGCATTCACTTGGACAAGGAGTTTGCCAAGGAAGGTACTGTTTTCGAGACTGGAAAGGCAGTGACCAAGAAGTGAGTGACCGACTGTGCAACTGGCTGATTCTCCAGGCTGGAGGCTTCTGCAAAGCCCGTTGGGGCTTCCAAGATGATCTCAGAGTCGCGCCGTTCCACTCCCAATCAGCGCAAGTCGCTCTCAGGACTCCGAGCTCTGTTTACCAGGACGTCTCCAGCGCGCCATGCTGATTTCCGCCTCACGCACAATAGAGTACATGAGGGCCCGGCATGCAGGGTGTACGGCAGCGTTCAAGTGCGCAAGGTGGCCGCAAACCTCCACATCACCACCCTCGGACATGTGTACCGGGCAAGGGAGCACACCGACCACCATTGTAAGTTTACGGTCAAGAGGCTTGGCTGATCTCAGTGATGAACCTTTCACACGTTATCCACGAGTTTTCCTTTGGACCATACTTTCCAGCCATTTCTCAGCCGCTGGACATGAGCTTGGAGACAACGGAAGAACGTAAGCCGCGTGTCTGAGGTGACGACTGACAGCAAGCGTTCACTGCCTTCCAGTATTATCTTCGGGTTGTTCCGACAACGTATATCGATGCCAGTCGCAGGTGGCTGTCGACCTCACAGGTGCGCCGCTGACGTCTCGACTGCTAACCGTCGCAGTATGCTGTGACGGATTACGTTCGCAGTTTCCCTCACGGAGGAGGTGTACCCGGCATCTTTTTCAAGTACGAGTTGGAACCCATGTCTATCACCATCCGTGAACGCACCACGACTCTTTATCAATTCCTGATTCGGCTCGTTGGTGTGGTTGGTGAGTCTATTCTGCACTGCAGCTGCTGACTTGCAAGGCGGAGTGTGGACGGTGGCAGCCTTTGCTCTGCGGATTGCCAATCGCGCCCAGCGGGAGGTAGTCAGAGTCACTGGAACGGAAAAGGACGTCATCCCCTCATCCATTCAGACGCGCCGGCCGAGCGCCATGTCGAGGGCCGCGAGCTGGATGTCATCTGACGGAGACAAGAGACGGTGATGAGGGAAGAGTATTGTAGACTATGATGCACAGACTGTGTGACTTGTGTGCTGTAGAGGGGCGCAGCAGCTGATCCTCGTGCCCTTGCTCCCAGACCATGACACTTCCACGTACACGCACCTTTGAACCATCTAATGTCTTCACCATCCATCTTTCACACCTAGCAGTCTCAAGAAATTGTGGCTGCACTCACTCCGCGAATGTCTGAGCAACAGCGCAAGCTGGAGCGGGACCGCCACTACGCGGACCTCGCGGCTAAAGCTCGACTGAACATGACCTACGTGACCAACTTTGGTCAGCCTTCCCAAGCGGCGCCAGGTAAGAAAAGGGCCATCCATGACATGTTGACACCAGCCATGGCGCCGCCGGGGATAAACGACTCTGCGCACACGGCTCTGGCTCAGCCACAGCCTCAGTCGCATGCACTGTACTCGGGCGACGCGCGCGCTCTCCTGTAAGCTTCCCTTGGTGGACCATGCGCTGACTGTTGCAGCCACCGGTCGCTAGAAGTGAGTGGCCGCCACACTGACCAGCAGGCTGATGCCCAGTTCCCCGCCGGTGAGCGTTGGGATCCTGACCCGGCCAAGCATATCAATTTTCTGCTGGCGGAGGTGAACAAACTGGAAAAGCAGAAGGACGAGGCCGTCGAAAACGCAAAGCACTGGCATGGATTTTCTCAAAACGCCAACGAGCAACACTCTGCGCTGGAGAGGGACAAGGCTGCTCTTGAGCAGAGGATCAACAGCCTCGAACGTCAGCTGAATGAGGAGCAGGCTTCCAAGCTTGCCCTCAAACGCCGCGTGAGCATCCTCTTTGTGTGCATACCTGACTGTCAAAGCTTGACGAGTACCGCGAACCGCAGGGCCGAAGCAGTCTGACCGAGACGTTGGACTTGAAAGAGGTGAGACAACCAGGCCGCAAGTGCTGAACAGCAATCGGAGCTTTTGAACCTGCAAGGCAAGATGAAGGAGCTTCGCTTCCACAACAGTGCTCTCAAGTCGCAAATCGAAGAGCTCCGCCACGAGGTAACGAGCTGCATGAGATCCCGCTAACTTTAGAAAGGGCCCCAGACCGACTTGGAGCTGGCCCGTGAAGTCCAGTACCTCCGTTCGGTGCGTGTCGTGGAGGAAAAAAAATTAACAGGCAGGAAGTGGAGAGGCTCTCAACGCAGAATGAGATCCTCCAGAAGCAACTTGTGAGCGTCCAGCATTTAGTGGAGGCTGATCCCGCAGGCAAACCAGGAGATTCGTAGCCACGAGCTTTGGACGTTGCAAGAGGGTGCTGGCGAAAAGGACGACCCCCTATGTACGCCTCGGATGGTATCGTCGCTGACACCCAGGCCCTTCTCGACGCGGCGTTCAAGTGAGCTAGGCTGCATGCATAAAGTTGGTCCTTCTCCAGACCGCTACAACTGATTTTCTCTCTAGTCGGCTTGGGTGTAGTTGCCGGGGAAAATACCCTGCCTGCCGTTCAAGCGACCAGTCCACCAGTCCTCGGCAGAGTCTGTGCGCTCAATAATCTCGATCCTGTCACCTGCGCTGAAGGACAAGTCGCCCTCGGCCTGTCTGTCAGTGGCGTCGGATGTCCCGACTCACCTGAGCTTCGTAATCGAAAATGGCGGTGCAGTACTGCTTAGGAGCAGCCCCCGGCTTTGGCTTCAGAGGAGGAGGAGGGGGCGGCGCCTTCTTTCCGACGACCGATGCACCCGACGAGGGACTGTAGGGCGGAGGAGCCGCAGGTTCCGGCGATCGGCCGGCATAAGAACCAGAGGACACTTTGCGGTCAAGGCCGCCCTTGGAGTACGACGATTTCCGGTCAAGATCCGCCTTGGAGGAGTGTGAGGCGGTGCGCGACACTCCCCCGTTCGCACGAGCTTGCTGGAGGATCTTGGCTGATGGGTCAGCCATCTTGACGCGCGGGAACGACTCACCAGTCGAGGCAGTACGCTGAGTGATGTGAAGCTCGTCGAGCTGCTCGGCAGCATCGCCACGTTGCTCGAGGTAAATGTCTTCAATGTCGCGCCTTTCCAAGTCGTACTTGCCGTCGGCAAAGGACTGGAGCTTCTCGAGCATAATGTAGTACACGTTCAGCTGCATGTAGTAGAACGAGTGGAAGAGGGGATCGATGAACCTCGAGGCGAGCTCAAGGAACTGCGGCAGCTCCTCCTTGAGCAGGTTGTTGTAATGCTCGTACTCGCCCGAAGCAACTTCAAACTGCTGCTCAACCTGCTCGTCAGATGATGCGACCTCACGCCATGCTCACCTTGAAGAGATTCTTCTCGTCACTCAGACTCTTCTCCTTCTTGCCGCGCAGCTTGTTCAAGCTGTTGTTGTGGCGGTCATAGTCGACAAGCTTGTGGTCGCGCTTCGTGCACGTCTTGCGAATCTTCTTGCAAATCTCGACAAGCTCCTTGCTCGGCTCAACGATGCGAGAGTCGATGAGATCCAACTCGGGCGCAAGGGTTTCTGCCCTGTCAGCGCGCGCGGCACCTCGATCATGGACGCACCCTGAAGCTCCTCCATCAGGCGCTGGTACACGGCGATGTTCTTCACAGTGAGTTCAGAATTGGGAAACTTGGTCGCCAAGTTGTACTCGGCGCCAAGGGGCTGGAAGAGTGTCGACAATGACGCGCCAAAGCTCGATCCCGAATTAAGCAGTGCTAGAAATTGTTAGTCCGTCGCGGTCGGGGGACGCTCACTGTTGACGCCATCACGGAACACGACCGCGTCCTTGTGCATTTTCTGGCAAGCCGACTCAACCGCTGCAAACTTGCGTTCCCTGCTGTCAGCATGGCACTTTTCCTACAGCTCACCAGTCATTATACTCGGCATCTGTCGATTCTGACAGAGTCAGCCAATGTCGCCGCCATCAGTCTTACTCTTCGACATGCCAATGCGGCTGGTAATGTTGTGCGGAGTTCTTGTGGTTAGACTGAGCCCCAAGCGAATAGCTTACCGCTGCAGAGCCTTGGTGAAGCCTTTCATCGTGTTGCGATGATTGTGAAGAGGGTAATCGTGAGGTCAGATCGACGATGACGACGGTGCCCAGGGCACGAGCCATTGTAGCGGAACCAAATCGAATCGGCCGCCGGGCCTAGCACTCATTCAGGTGGATGCATATCGCGCAAGAAACAGTATTAATTTAGAAAAAGGTATATCTACTGCGAAATGAAGGAAGCCTCGTTGTAAACCCAGCCCTTGACGGGGACCGTCTTGTCGCCGAGGTCCACCTGGAGGGTGGCCGGGTTGTGGTACTGGAAGATGAAGGGCTTGGTGCCCGAGATGGCGGCGTAGCCCTTGCGAATGACGTACGGAATTTCGGCAAGCACATCGACCTTTTCGATGAAGCCCTTGGTAACGTCGTCAATGACAAGCTCCGCCTTGGCAGGGGCCTTGTTGTCCTCACGCACACCACCAAAGACAAACGCCAGTCCCTTCGGGGCCATGTAACCGGTGTCGTCCTTGTAAGTGTTCAGGTGGGTGGCGGTGGAAACGTCCTGGTTGGGGACGGGGAAAACAGAGGTAGGCTCAGGCGTGTGAGTCTGGCCGACGACTAGCAGAGGCGCGGACAGGTTCGAGGCGTAAATGACGCCAATGTTGACCTTGACGTGACCCGATCCCTTTCCGGCGGGACCGTAATCGTCCTGCAAAAGTTAGTCTCGCGCGCGCTGAGAGGCTTACGGTGGTTTCAAACTCCATCTGGATCGCCCGGACGCTTCCGAGCTCGGACTCGGGTTCGCCGCCACCCGTGGTGAAGAAAGCAAAGTTCCAGTTTGAGGCAATCTGCTCCGTTAGCGCCAATGGGAGGAATCGGGACTGACCAGGTTGGGGCGCATGCCTCCCTGAATGGCATCCACAAACATGGCGTTGCCAGTGGCATCAATGGCCTTGCCGTCAATGACAACCTGGCCACTGCTGACGACGAGAGGATGGAAGCGGCTGTAGAATGAGCATAGGGAAGCATTGAGATCTTACTGGACCACGAGAGCATCGCGCTTGTCCTCCGACTTGTCCTTGCCAAAGTACGAGAACCCTCCGTCTTCGCCTGTGCCGTACTTGCAGCCGGGAGCAGAGGCAGGCCTGGTCCAGACAGTGTCAATCTGGACGTTCTTATCGAGGTTTGCAGTGATGTGGTAAGCCTCCTCGCCACTGGCCGAACCCGAGTGCTTGATCTCCTGGCGGAACGTCAGTCACGGCCGAGACAACGATTGCTCTCACGAAAGAGTCTGACTTGCAGTTGCGGCCGTCATGCTTAAAGTTGGAAACGTTGACCGACTTCCAGGTGGTCGTCTTGGTCGTCGGGTTGAACAGCTTGAAGGTCATCTGAGCCGTGGCAGGGATGAGGAACACGCCGAGGTAGCTCCAAATGACCTGAACCATGAGGATGCTCCCATCGGCCAACACCGAGTACCACGTCTGGGTCTCAGTCTGGAAGCCCTTGTTGCTGACACACGACCACTGAGATGTCAACTTGGTCCCACAACCGGCCGCACTCACCTCGGTGTCCTTGTCTGTGAGCTGTCCGTAGCCGCTGTTGTAGGACGTCACGGGCCAAAAGTTCTGGTGGTGGGAACCACCAGAGTGGCCGGCGCCCGACTTGGCCTTTGAGTCTTTGCCGCTGAAAGTTAGGTATACCTCTGCAACGGACTCACTGGAACCAAGACATTGCTACTGTGTGTGTGTGGAGATATAACACAATGGCAAGATGAGTTAACTGCTGGAGGGTGAAGGGTTCGTGGGTCCGAGCGGGGACGGTCACGTGACGTTGATGACGTCGGTCCCTGCCCCGTGATTTCGATCATGACATACTAGGCATCATCATCTACAACCCTATAGTTATGCGGTGACCGAGAGCGAGGCGCACGGTCTCTGCGATCTCGGTCACGACCTTCTCGCTCTCGACGATCCGAGGGGCTACGTTCTCTACCTCTTGAGGAGCGACCTTTGGTCCTGTGCCTCCTCTCGTAGCGTTCCTCACGTCGCAACTGCCTGTCAAGTCGCTTCTGAGCCCTTTCCTCCTTTCGTTGTCTGGCGTTAGGGGCTCAACACGGTTGACACTTACATTTTCTCCTGTCGCCTCCTCTCCTTGTCGTCACCGCTAACCGGAATGCTGTTTGCGCCTGATCCCTCTCCAGAAGACTTGGCTGGAGCAAAACCCAGGGCAGCAGACAAGGCCTCTTCCTCTTGCTCCTTGAGTTTCCGGATCTCTTCTCTGCGCCGTTCGGCCTCAGCCTTTGAATCCGTATCCACGTCTCGTGAATACCAATGAACGTCGCGATTGTTCTGCCACCGACCGACGGGCGCGTTGACGGTAGCACCGAGATAGTTTTCTGTTCCGTTAGATTCACCACCATCTCGACCTCACCTCGGTGCTTCGAGTTCTTCACGTCTTCCCACCTGCGGTTAGTTGCATATACTCGACGCCATACGAACCGGAAATCGCCTTGGCCGCCGCGGCTCCCTGAAGAGTCAACATCATGCACACCTTTGCGCTCACCTCCTCTGACGGGTCCGTCGTACATGTTGATAGGTGTAAAGTGTCTCAAGCGAGTTGTTATTGAAAGTGCTTTCGTGACGCCACCCGGCGGTATTTGCCTCCGCTCCCAGGGCCCAAGGGGTCTGAGCGCGATGGCCGGCAGGCGTCGTTAGGCCCCGCTACTTGACGCTACCATCATGCATCACACCGGGGAGGGCTTCCCTCGACGATTACCCATCCACAACACACGCTCTCTTCCCCGTCCCACTCAGTCCATCCTAGTCTCCGTCACTGGCAACCATCGTCACACGACGCTTCTCGGCGTCGCTCGAGTGCTACCTGAATCATCGCCACTACCTTCCCTCGTATCCGACCATGGGTGGTGTGTGCAGCACATGCTGCGGCCAGCGCCGCAAGAACAACTATGAGCCCCTTTTGCTCGAGAATGAACGCGAGGCTGTCGCAGACCTCTTGCAGTATCTGGAAAGTGAGTGTAGGGGTATTGGTCGGTTTAACTGACTGAGAGACCGGAGCACGACAAACTTCTTCCAAGGCTCACCCCTCGCGGCGCTCACAACTCTGTCCTTTTCCGATAACGTCGACCTTCAACGTTCGGCTGCGTTAGCCTTCGCAGAGATTACTGAGAAGGAGGTCCACGAAGTCGGCCGCGACACTCTGGACCCCGTCCTCTATCTCTTAACCAGCCATGACAGCGAGGTGCAGCGCGCTGCCAGCGCCGCGCTCGGCAATCTGGCCGTCAATGGTGAGCATCCATACGAGGCATGCTGACGCGTAGCCGAGAACAAGCTACTCATTGTCTCCCTCGGAGGCCTTGAACCGTTGATCAGGCAAATGCTGAGCCCCAATGTCGAGGTTCAGTGCAATGCTGTCGGATGCGTGACCAACCTGGCTACTCATGGTGAGTTTTTCTGTCAAGAGGCTCGTGCTCATGCCCTAGATGAAAACAAGACTGCTATCGCCAAGTCTGGCGCTCTTGTTCCACTCACGCGTCTGGCCAAGTCAAAGGACATGCGCGTTCAGCGTAATGCCACCGGTGCTCTCCTCAACATGACTCACTCTGGTGCGTGCCGCGAGCTTTCCACCTCCTGACGTCAGACGAGAACAGGCAGCAGCTCGTCAATGCGGGAGCGATTCCTGTGCTGGTTAGTCTCCTCAATTCACCCGACACCGATGTTCAATACTATTGCACAACTGCTCTGAGTAACATTGCCGTGGACTGTATGTTTTGATTCCTGTCCTCCGTCTGACGGCAGCTACCAATCGCAAAAAGCTCGCCATGACCGAGCCTAAACTTGTGCAGAGCCTCGTGGCTCTGATGGACAGCCAGAGCCTCAAGGTTCAGTGCCAGGCAGCTCTTGCTCTGAGAAACCTCGCGAGCGATGGTGAGTTGTGGGGCAGTCGTTCACTAACCCGCAGAAAAGTACCAGGTGGAGATTGTCAAGGCCGATGGCCTGAAGCCTCTGCTGCGCCTCCTGCACTCGTCGTATCTCCCTCTTGTTCTCTCTGCAGCGGCTTGTGTCCGCAACGTGTCGATTCACCCCGCCAACGAGTCGCCCATCATCGAGGCTGGCTTCCTCCAGCCGCTCATTGGTCTGTTGTCGTTTGACGAGAACGAGGAGGTGCAGTGCCATGCGATTTCGACGCTGCGCAACCTTGCTGCCAGCAGTGAGAGCAACAAGGGCGCCATTGTCGAAGCTGGAGCCGTCGATCGTATTCAGGAGCTGGTTCTTCAAGTTCCGCTTGCCGTGCAGAGCGAGATGACTGCCTGCGTTGCAGTTCTTGCGCTTAGCGGTGAGTTGAGCATTTTCCGGCGTTGAGCTGACTGCAGACAACCTCAAGCCTCAGCTCCTTGAAATGGGCATTTGCGAGGTGCTCATTCCTCTCACCAACTCGCCCAGTGTGGAAGTGCAGGGCAACAGTGCGGCCGCTCTCGGAAACCTATCCAGCAAGGCTGCCGAGGACTATGCCCCGTTCAATGCCGTGTGGAACAAGCCTGACGGAGGACTACACGCGTATCTCGTCCGATTCCTTAGCAGCGCAGACACGACGTTCCAGCACATCGCCGTGTGGACGATTGTTCAGCTGCTGGAGGCTAAGGACCCCCAACTGACGAGCAACATTCGCAACTCTACGATTCTCATCTCCTCGATTCGCCAGCTGGCCGACTCTGCACCCTCAGACAGTCAACCGAAGCTTCACTCGGACGACGAATTTGACGAGGACGGAATGTTTGAGGACGGAGAGGGGGAGATCTATGGGCTTGCGAAGCGCATCTTGGAGCTGGTGGACGGAGACGGCGAAGACAAGCAAGGTGCCCAGCAAGGCGAAGACGGTGAGGAGGATCACGCAGCCCTGAGGGCCAGCGTTCACAAGGCCTTACGGGGGCAGTAATTCGTAATTATTCTATGTCACATGTTTAGTACTATCTACCCGCACTCATGAAAAAGTCATTGACGCGCTTCAGAGCGGCTCGAGGTGGGTTGCCGTCGGGCCAGAGAGCCACGAGACGGTGGAGACGGTCAGCAATGACGCTCTTGTCCACCACACTGTCATCCCTGCACATCAACGTGACGGCAACGGGGATGATCACTTTCCGAGCTTGTGACAGGGCTGCTGGGTCAAGCTTGGCCGTCGGAGGTTTAGGCAGTCCTTCCAAGTCACCCTGCATTGCGGGAGCAAGGAGGACGCCCCTGTCAGAAGTCGCAACGTGGGAATGAAGCTGACGCAGAGCCACAACATAGGCCTTGGGCTCAGCCCTGGGGCATGGGACTGCGAAAAAGGCGTCCCCGTTGCTCAGAGGGACAATCGTCGGGCCACTGTACGGCTTTCGAACTTCTGCGACCCACACTGTTACCCACACCTGTGGCGGCTCGAAGGCAAGCTTGCCAGTAGTCTTGCCGAGATCGAGCGCAATTGCTTCGTCGACCTGGGTAGCGCGCGCCCAAGAGTCCTCGCTGAGATCCAGAGCCTGCAGGGGCGCACAGACACTCTCGTCCTGGACAAGATTGTCGACCAGCGGTGGCAGCTCGTCTCGACTGGCGGATAGCAAGTCCTTTTTGTGTCGGTGGTACAGTGCAGGCTTTAGCCCCTGCTTGTCAGCGCCGTCAGGCTCTTAGCATTTACCCTTCCCCAGAGCTCGTCGTCATCACCTGCTCCCGGAACGTAATCAAAGGCTACGGTTCGGGAAAACATACCACTACCGAGACGCGTAGCGGTGGGTAACACATCACCTCGGCCGTCGTCGCCGTTCACCCAACGGGAAGCCGAGAGACAAATGATGGGCGTGTAAGGCGGGTCGAGAGGAATCTCGGGAGCCCTGCTAGTCGCCGGATGAATGAAGAAGGGCCGCAGGGGTTTTGTCAGTTTGGGGAGAGGCAGAACCGACCCCTGCTGTCAGTGCTTGTCTGATGTAAAACATACTTCGAGCTTTTCCGCCCAATCGTCGAGTTTCGCTTCAATTTGGGAGCGCTCCGAGGGCGATACAATGGCAGGGAGATAGATATTTTCGTCCCAATCGTCCAGATCACGACGGAGAGCGATGGCTCGGTTGACAACAGAGCACCAGATGGGAACGGTTTTTGACAGGCCATCAGGCATGCGCTGGCGTCAGCCGTGAGGGATGTGCGCCACGCACCTTTCCTCGCCGCGTTGAATCGACGAGGATGAACCTGAGCGTTAGACGAGAGTATGACGGCGCACGCACCCAGCGTTCCTCTCTGCCCATTCTGCCAGCGGCAGGTTTGACCTTCTCAAGTTGAAGTCCCAATTCTGCACAGGTCAGGATCCGTCCGATATGCCAGCCCACCAAGGTGTGCCCGTCGGTAGATTTGAAGTATGCGTATACGCTTGAGCTTGTCTGCGCTGTCAGACCAACGTGCGCATAGCTTTGTCTCACCGAGGGATCACAGTACCACGTCCCACAACGTTGGTTGGCTAAGGCATCAGTGAACACCCGGGTAGCCACGCTCACCGACGACTTTGAACCTGTTGTTGAACCACCTCTCAGCCACGTTGCGGACAAACTGTTCGTCTGAGGCTATTGAGTGTATCCGGTTGAACAAGTCATGTTGCGCGGCGTGCTTCTTGACGGCTTTCAGATCGCTCATAGTATGTACGGTTGTAAGAAAGTGGAGGTGTCCAAAGTTTCAGCTAGGCACATGTTGACATTTGACACATGCCGAACAATGAAGCCAAGACCCCGCCCTGGCAAGCCAATTTCGAAGACGGTGGAGATGCTCCGCTCCAACGAGCAGCTCAAGCGTGCTGGCAAGGGCAAGGAGAAGGCTGTGTTACGAGGCTTGAGCGACGTTGTGCAGGGTATGAGTCATGCTGAGTTACGCTAACATACAGTCCATGGCAACCTTCCCGGGGCCGTTCAGGTCGAGCGCTTTGCTGAGGTAGGGGCATTCGCTAGGTAGTGCTAATCTCCCCAGGCTCGAGCTCTCGAGGTGGCCGCTCTTCAGACGGCCGCCAAGGTAGCAGCGTGAGTTCCAACGTTGAGCATTGCTAACGTCAGAGCTAGCAACACTTCCCGCGCTTTCCAGTCGCTCCCACGGCATTTGAGGAGGAGGGCCGCCAGTCACAATCCACGGCGCGTGCCAAAGTACTTGAAGGAGAGGGCGGCTGCAGAGGTTGGTCTGTCGTTTGATGGGTTTCTGACGGTAGATTGATCTCGGAGACAACATTGTGAAGTTGCAGAGACGAAAGGCCAAGCTTCGCGCTCGCGGCAACTCCAAGGGTCAAAGCAGGACCCAACAGCTGCGTCTTCGGCAACGCGGAAAGGCTTGGCTGGCAACGCACATGTTTCATGCGAAACGCTTCCACATGACCAACGTGTGGGGGTACCGCCTCCCTCAAACCCCGACACTCAAATCATTCCGCTCTTCCTATCGCGCGGCCCGCCGCCGAGTGTGCCTCCGGGATACGAGCTATTTCGGCGTGATTGAGCTCGAGGCGGCCCGTGAGCAAATACTGGAGCTGCTGAGTTTGGTCGTGGGCGGAGCGGTCTTTGCCGGTCCAAGGTGAGTCGGTCGTTTGTGCTGCAGCTGAACGTGTCAGGTTTGAGGACGGGTCTCGTTCAGCTCATGTCAACGTTTACGGGCGAGGTCAGTTTCCTCGTGGTCTGATCGGGCCAGCAGAGCTGCTCTGGGTACCGTCAGAGACTGCCCCAGCCGCGGTCTGGATCCGCGTTCACCCCTCCATCTTCCGGGAAACCTGGGACGCTCTGGCCAGTCCGTCTGTCCGACTGAGGGATCTGCGCACAGAGCTAGAGTCTTTTGATCTGATGGGTCCTTTGTCCGGGAGCACCATCCTGCGGTCGCTTCCCTTCAGTCCATCTGAGCCGGAAGAGAACCGCCAGGCAATCATTGATGCTCTCACGTGCGATGCTGCTGCGCTTCCAGACGGTCTGACGCTCAACTTCACCGCTGTCGACCCCCGTTTATCGTAGGTCTAGTGGCGAGGATCGGTGCTCACGGCAGGTATCCACCACGCCACCAGTACACCACGACTCGGAGTGAATGTCAGTCCTCCCAGCCAAGGCTGTGGTCCAGGGCGTGCCGCCTTCAGCTATCAAAGCCTGCTTTCAAGAAGGCTGAGCTCGACGAGCGACGACGTCAGTCCGGGCTTCCGGGGAAGAGGTTGGCGCCTACCGACAAGGATGACTACATTCCAATTATGATCATTAAGCGGCAGGTGGGAACGAACGAGGAGCGTAATGCCATGTTTCACGGATTCTCGATCGTCTTCCCGAAAGGCTGGTCCATGGCGCTGCTTCCCTCTTTCGCCTATTGCGGGGCCAAGCTCACGGGTATCTTTGAAGCGCAGGTCCAACATCGTGAAGCGGGCGTTCCGTCCTTTCCAGAGCACTATGGTGCTGTGTGCCAAGCTGCTACAGAGTACGAAGACGCGCAGGCCAAGGACGCGGAGCGACGGTGGATCCGCAAACCCCCCGGTAAGCGCATCGATTTCACTGCTTTGAATGTGGATCATCCTTTCAAGCCAGACTGGAACGCGATCGTTCGCGTGAGTACGACATTGCGAGGATGAGACTGATGACAGGATGAACCTTGGCTACTGGAATCATCCCTCGTTGCGTTGCTGGAGCGTCTGTCGCGTTCGAATGATCCTGCTGCCTCTCTGCTGTCCGCGCTCAACACGATCCGCAACCGTAGGGGTATGGACCCCGTCCCAGAGGAGAGCGCGGCATCCCTTTTCCAGACGTGTGTGTGCCACATGGAAGTCGATGTCCTGGGACGTGGTTCCCCTTTGGACATGGCTATGATATACAAGGTTGGCGCAGAGCAGGTAAGTATTCCACAAGGTTAGAGCTGACGATCAAGCCGATCGGGTTCGTGTCGACTGGTAACATTTCCCTCACTCGTGGCAAGGGTCACGGCCTCGCAACGGTCTCTTTGTCCGCCTACCTTGACCTGATGCGCGCAGGTGAACCCAACGTGCTGGTCCGCAACCAAAACAGCCTTACGAGTCGTCTAGCAGCTCTCCGTCCTGTAGTGAATCATGCATAGAGGCGTGCCTGACACCACGTGATCTGATTTACCTCCGTGCCGACCGCGGTCCAAGCTGGAGCGCGAGTTCACCTTCCATCAGCGACTTACACGACGTTGCTTTCTCAGCATACGCGACATGCCCATTCCACAGATTATTGCGGCCCCCATCGCCCAGTTGGTTCGCCGGCGCTCCTTTCCAAAATCTGCCAGCTCGACGGGATTCGTCACTCCCATCAAGCTAGCCTTGACGGCGGGTGTGCAGCGCCTAGACCTGTCACGAGATCCTCGTGAGGTGTGGGCGCGTGTGCGATCATGGCAGGCGACGCCAGCGCGCCTCGCTCAGCTGGGCATCATGCTAGCGGTTTGGATCTATGCGATATGGATCATGACTACGCCGACGTTCCTGTGGTCGTTGCTGATTCCGGCCGTCTTCATCCTGGCCTGCTCGTTCCCAATCACCAACCAGCTGATCTGGCCTGCGGCTCCTATCTTTACCTGGGTGCTTCTCTTCTTCTCGGCTCGCTACATTCCGACAGATTCGCGGCCTGCCATCCACGTCGCGCTCCTGCCAGCGCTCGAGTCGGTTCTCTACGGTGCCAACATTTCCGATCTACAGACCCGTTTGACCCACCCCCTCTTGGACGTCCTCGCCTGGCTCCCGTACGGCGTTCTTCATTTTGCGCTCCCCTTTGTCGTTGCGGTTCTGCTGTGGCTGTTTGGACCAAAGGGATCCGTTCAATACTGGGGCAAGGCCTTTGGCTTTATGAACCTGTTCGGTGTCATTACTCAAATCGTCCTCCCCTGCGCGGCGCCTTGTGAGTGAAATGAGCGGCACCGTTCTGACAGCCAGGGTACGAGATTATCCACGGCTTAACGCCTGCCGACTATGCGATGAAGGGCTCACCGGGAGGTCTCTTGCGTATTGACCGCGTGTTCCACTCCTCTGGATACACCAACGCCTTTGGGTCGGCGCCTCTGGTCTTTGGCGCCTTTCCCTCGCTCCACTCTGGAAGCGCTGTCATGGAGGCGCTGTTCCTCGCGCACTTTTTCCCTTTCCTGAAGCCAGTGTACTGGACCTATGTCGGCATCCTGTGGTGGGCCACCATGTATCTGTCGCACCACTACCTGGTCGACCTCACGGGTGGCGCCTGTCTCAGCGTCCTCGTCTTTTACCTGTTCATGCCCGCCGAGTTCAAGGACAGCGACAACATCAAGTGGCCTAACAGCGCCGAGTACGAGATGCTCAACAACGGCGGCGGCGGTGCAAACGATGTTGATTTCGACGAGGAGATTCGCCGCCTCGAGGAGAGCGAGGGTATCCCTCCCGGAGACGAGGAGAGCCGGATCGAGGTTCCCGAGAGCAATCTCGGCCCGCCCTCCGGAGCGCCGAGAACCAAGCGCTCGGTGAGCTGGGGTGAGACCCAGGTACTGGGCGAGGAGCGCCCAGAGTAGCTTTCGCCGCAATTGAGATGTCATGCATACAATGATTAGCCTAGATGAGTTACTGTTACGTGCGGCGCGCAAAGTCGCGGTCGCCGAGCCCGCCGGGCCGGGGCTGAGCGGCCCACTTGGGGATGATGCCCATGTGACGCGCGCGGCGGATCATCTTGCCGACACGGCGCTGGCTCTTCCACGTGAGACCGGTCAAGTTGCGGCCCTTGATCATGCCGAGGGGGTTGAGGAAGGCGTAGGACATGAGCGGGTTGTTGATGTGGTCCATCGGGTTCTCGCCACGGAGGAAGAAGGGGTCGATCTGCTTGGCAACCTTGCGCCGCGGGCCGACCAGTGGACGCTTCACCCTGATCTCAGCCTCGGGGTAGAGGTCCTTCGAGGTAAAGTTGTGCGGCTGGGTGATCTGGTGTCAGCGTACTAAGGCAGTGGTTGCACACCTTTCCGGGCAGGAACGGTCTCCTCCTCTCGTCCGTGACATCGCGGAGGCCGACAGAGTCGATCATTGAGCGCGCGGCGCTATTCGTGCTGGCGGCCGAGGCGGCGCCAGAGTTGCGTCCTGCGGTCAGGCGCGCAAGAAAGTCGGACGTTGCCTTGCGCGTGTCCTCGGATGCCGCCCGGGCAGAGGTGTGCAGCGCGCGCGAGCGAAAGAGGGAGGCCATGGTGGAGTTGGAGGTTGATACGACTGCAACGAAAGGAAAGCATCATCACCCTGGACTTTTTTCGGAGGTGATAGGCGGAAACAAACCTAAACACGTGGCTACCTCGCAATCATGCATTTCTCAATGGATACGCAAGATGCATAGCATCTACATAATTTTGTATAAAATCTTCCGTACATTCTGCTTCTTCTAGTCCCTGTACTCGAGCTCAGTGTTGTAGTTGAGGGCAGTGTCAACGGGCGAGAAAATGTCGCCGCCGCGCTTCTTGTAGAAGTCGACAACCTTTTGGGCGTTCGAGGCGATGCCCTCGGGGGTGAGGCCAAACTTCTTGTAGGCGTCCTGGTAAGGAGCCGAGGCGCCCCAGGCGCGGAGACCGACGGCCTCCTGAGCGTACTTGTACCAGGGGAGGGTGTTGTAGGCCTCGACGGCCATGATGGGGGCACCCGAGGGGAGGACCGAGAGACGGTACTCCTTGGGCTGCTCGTCAAAGACCTCGAAGCAGGGGAGCGACGAGATGCGGACCTTGAGACCCTTCTCGCGGAGAATCTTGGCGGCGTCGACGACGATGGAGACCTCGGAACCGGTCGAGACGATCGTAATGTCGGCCTTGTCCTCCTCCTCGAGAACGTAACCACCCTTGCGGGCCTTGTCGACGGAAGATCCCTTGAGCTGGGGGAGGTTCTGGCGCGAGAGAGCCAGGGTGGACGGGGTGTGGGCCGAGGAGATGGCAGCGTAGTACGAGGCAGAGGTCTCGTTGCCGTCGGCAGGGCGCCAGAACTGCATGTTGGGGGTAGCACGGAGCCAGGCAGCGGTCTCGACCGGCTGGTGGGTGGGGCCGTCCTCGCCGAGACCAATCGAGTCGTGGGTGGCAATGTTGATGACGCGCAGCTTGGAGAGAGCGGAGAGACGGACGGCACCGGCAGCGTACGAGACAAAGTTGAGGAAGGTGGCGTCAAAGGGGATCAGACCGCCGTAGGCAGCGATACCGTTCGAGATGGCAACCATGCCGTGCTCACGAACACCGTAGCGGATGTAGCGACCCTTGTACGAGCCGAGGCCGGACGAGGGAGGCTGGAAGTCCTCGGCGCCCTTCCAGCGGGTGAGGTTGGAGCCGGTAAGGTCGGCCGATCCACCGATGAGCTCGGGAATGACGGGGGCAATGGCGTTGAGCACAGTCTCGGAGAGCTTGCGCGAGGCAATAGCAGGCTGGTCGGGGGTGTAGGTGGGGAGGTGCTTCTCCCAGCCCTCGGGGAGGCGGCCAGAGACGCGACGGAGGAGCTCGGCGGCGTCCTCGGGATACTTTTCCTGGTACTTCTTGAAAAGGGCGTCCCAGTCGCGCTCCTTCTGCTCACCCTTGTCGCGGACCTTGTCAAAGACGGCCTGGACGTCCTGGGGAATGACGAACGACTCGTCGGGGTTGAAGCCCCACTTCTCCTTGAGCTGCTTGATGTCGTCGGCCTTGAGGGGAGAGCCGTGGACATCGTGGCCGCCCTGCTTGAGCGAACCGTAGCCAATGGTGGTGCGGAGGTTGATGATGGTGGGCTTGGTCTGGCAGTCGCGAGCCTGGGCAATGGCACCCGAGATGGCATCGAGGTCAGTGTCACCGGCGTCAACGTGGAGAACGTCCCAGCCGTAGGCGCGGAAGCGGCCCTCGACGTCCTCGGTGAAGGAGACGTCAGTGTCACCGTCAATGGTGATGCGGTTGTCGTCCCAGATGGCAATCAGGTTGTTAAGCTGAAGGTGGCCAGCGAGCGAGCACGCCTCGGAGGCGACACCCTCCTGGAGACAGCCGTCACCGAGGAAGACGTAGGTCTTGTTGTTGATAAGGTCAAAGCCGTCCTTGTTGAAGACAGCGCCCTGGTGGGCCTGAGCAATAGCGAGACCGACAGCGTTCGAGATACCCTGGCCAAGGGGGCCGGTGGTGACCTCAATTCCGGGGGTGTGGTCGACCTCGGGGTGGCCGGGGGTCTTGGAGTCGAGCTGACGGAACGACTTGAGGTCCTCCATCGAGACGTCGTAGCCCGTAAGGTGGAGGAGGACGTACTGGAGGGCACAGCTGGGCAAGTCAGAAAAAAAAACAAAGTGCAGCAACTCACGCGTGGCCGTTGGAGAGGACGAAGCGGTCACGGTTGTACCACTTGGGGTCCTTGGGGTTGTAGTTCATGTACCTGGTCCAGAGGACGTAGGCAACAGGGGCCATACCCTGGGGTTAGAAGGGATAATCGAATTGCTCACCATGGGGGCACCGGGGTGACCAGAGTTGGCCTGGCGTCAGCACTATATTTTGCATGGACTCACCTTGGCGACAACATCCGCCGCGAGGGTACGGATGGTGCTGCAAAGTTAGTGTTCTGCAAGACGTCATGGAAGGTCATGGTAAAAGACCGATGCCGAGACTTACTTGACGGCCTTTGTGTCAATGTCGGAGAAGGAGGACATGCTGGTGGTGGTGAGCTAGACGGATCGAGCAAAGCACAAGAGTCTGGCTCACTTTAAGAGGAAGGGGGATGGAGAGGTGAGAGAAGGGTGCCGAGCCTGATTTTGGGGGAACCCGTGTGTGGGAGCTGTTCGCTGAGAAATCCCGAGTGTGAGTCGTTTCTCCCGCCATGCGCCCGCCATGTCTGCCTTCCCTGCCACCGCACGTCATTCCAGAACAGGCGGAGATATGCCTCCGCTCCACTCTGCCCCGGCCCGGTCACCGATCATGACACCTGCGTCGTGTCCCCGGCTGTCACCCGGCTGTCAGCGAGCTCGGCGACGTAATGTTGATGCAGCAGCGCTCCCATGCATCAGTCAGCGTTCTCCCAGCAGAGGAAGGATCTTTCAAAATCGTTCTAGACCCGGCTTCACGTGGTTCCGCTATCCCTGCATGCCCTGCAGGCAGGCAGGCAGGCAGCATGACAACGGGCATCAGTCGCAGCCTGGCACGTTTATCGTGATGCAATGAGGCGGGGTATCGTTCAGCAGAACGTGAGCGAGGCGGGCTGTAGATCCGCTTTCAATCCCCGACCCGCACTTCGGACGACACCCACATAGCCGATCTCTACAGGCACACAAGCGCCGGTCCCCCGGGGCCGTTATTTATCATCGCTCCCGTCTGATCGCGTCTGAGCATGCCGAGGCGCCGGGTAGCGTTTCGAGCATTCGGAGGGTCCATTTGATGGCAGATTCCAGCAGCTGCAGCATTATCTTGATAAACAGCAGTCTTTTGATCGTTGCTTTCATTGACAAACACTGACCAGGGGACGCAATAACCCCCCTTCGTGCATCGTGTACATGCTTCAGAAACCAAGAGTAAATCGCGCAGCGCGATATCTGCCGACTACCACCCGACATGTCTCCGTCCGCATATCATCGAAGCACCTCCTGCCTCGCGCTTGCTGCCTACTCGTTCTCTACGACGAGCCTCTGCGTGCCCTTGTACATCTCGCTGATCTGTCCCTGGCGTTCGATCGGGCCAAACTCGCTCTGGGCGAGCTTCCACCAGCTCTCGAGCTTATCTTCCTTGAGGACGCCATTGTCGTTCACAAGATCCGGCAGGTGGTGGGGAGCGCCATACCCGTTCTGCGCCGCCTGCGCTGCAGCGCCTGCCGCCTTGAGAGCGTCAGGCGGGGTCGTCGTCTTGTCGCCGAGCAGCGCCAGGGCCGGCGCAAAGGTCTCGTCCGTGTGTTGCAAAAAGTACTTGCGAAAGTTGTACGAGGCGTAGCGCTGCGACGCCTGGCGCGTCGCGTTGTAGAGCGCCTGCACCTGCGCGAGAGTGGGCTTGGTCGACATGATGGATGATGAATGGTTGAGAGTGGAGTGTGGCAATGATGCAATAAGTGTAGTGGTATTTGCTTCCGTCGTCGATTCAATGCATATTAATCTATAGCACTTAGGCAGAGACACCCTGGCCGGCGAGATAGCGCTTGAGGTCGCCCATGAGGGTGACCTGCTCATCGAGCGTAAGCGACGTGACCACGGTCTGGATGATGGATCCGACAGTGACGTTCTGAATACGGATGAGCGACGAGTAGTAGACATAGGCAAAGATGCCCATGAGGAACTGGCAGTCCATACGGTCAGTCATACCGCCGTGACCGGGAATGGAGTGACCAAAGTCCTTGATGTTAAAGGCACGCTTGAAGCCAGAGGCGAAGAAGCCGCCGAAAGGAGCGATGAGAGAGGCAAAGGTCGCCATGACGAGCAGGTGAAGCTGGTAAGGTACGTAAGGGATCGCAGGAGGCTCGCGACCAAGGATGGTTGTCAACAGGGCACGGAGCGCGCCGGTAAACTCAAAGTTGCGCCAGACAAAGACGGGGTTCAACTTGCACGACACGTTGGACAGCGCATTGACCCCCAGGTCCTTGGCGGGGCAAATCATGTACGGGAAGCGCATGAAGAAGGAGCCCCACGCAAGACTGAACAGTAGGGTAAGAATGAAGGCGCCAACAAAGCCCTCGACAGTCTTCTTGGGAGAGAGCTTGATCAAAGGCGTGCGGCCGAAAAGCTTGCCACAAACGTAGGCCATGACGTCGTTGCAGATAACGAGCGAGGCAGGGACGAAGAACCAGATGAGGCCCTCGAGAATATTGTTGACAATAAAGTGGCTTGCGGTCAGCACTGTCTGCCTCCAGTGACTTACCTGGAGACCACGACGAGAAGGAGGGTGATGTGGACCCAGCAGAAGAGAGCAAACTGCTGGCGGAGATACTGGCGCTTGAGGTTGGCCACGAAGCCGACGAAACCGAGCACATACAGCATAAAGCTGATGAAGCGGTGGTTCTTGGCAAAGGGAATAAAGTAGGCATCGACAAACACAATGTGCTTAAAGTAGTAGATGATCGACTCGCCATAGAGAAAGTAGTTGGTGACAACGAAGAAATACCTACGAGTTAGTGGAGAACGAGTCGTGACGTACCAGTTGAGCGTCTTGCTCCAGGGGTCCTTGACGTTGCCGCCCTCGGGAGTGATACCGTGGTCACGAAGGTCAAAGAGAGCAGTGACCTCCTTGTAGACGAGCGCCTGACAGATCAACACGAGCACAATCATGTATGGGTGTCCCATGCACAAGAGACCTGTGGTGAGCGGCGTCAGAACCATAACGCACCGATGAAACCGAAAATCATGATAAACGTCCAGACGGTGCGCTCAATAAAGTTTTGCTTCTTGGGAGGGGCGGCGACCTCGGCAGCCTTCACAGTGATCGTCTTCTCGCCCTCGGCGCCCTCACCGGGAACAACACCGTCCTCAAACTTGACAGAGTTCTTGCTGGGGCTCGTCGGCGTCAGGGCGTTACCTGGACCAGAGGGGCTAAAGTCGACCGGCGTCTTGCGCTTGCGGTTGGCTGGCAGCTCCTCAGCGGTCCGGGTGGGGAGATCAGCGGGGAGGTCGGGCTTGAAAGAGGACGTCGGGGGCGAATGCTTGACCGGGGTCTGATCCGCCTTTGCAGGAGCAGCCTTGGTGTCAGGCGAAGCAGCCTGGACCTTCGCGTCGGACGAATCGACCTTGGTCTCCGCCTTGGACGGCTGCGCCTCTGACTTTCGCTTGGCTCCGCTGCTCCAGACGACTTGCCGTTGGTCTTCTCCTCGGCCTCGGCAGCGAGACGAGCAGCACGAGCTGCACGCTTTTTCGCAGACTTTGACACGGGCGCAGATTCCGCTGCAACCGGTTGGGTCTCTTCCGGGATTCTGCCATTAGCGCGGCGCGACGGAAAACATACTCTTCAACGACCTCCTCGTAGTCGGGTCCGTCCTCGATGTCGAGGACGTCAAACATGTTGCGCTGGCTAAACGACGGCATGGTTGCGGTCGTGAAAAGAGTGGTTGGATGAATCCAAAGTTGATTGTTGCGTAACGTCCACGATGGACAAGCGCGAACTCGTGAAAGCGTAATAGCGCGTGCTTCCCACGAGGCAATATTACGTAAAAAGACAATCGCGATCGCCCACGATTGCCCCAAAGCTCAGGCGCGGTCCAGCTCGGATGATACGGCAATGCGCGTCAGAGTTGTCCGGGTCATCCGATATTTATTGACGCTTCTACTGTTTTCCTTCTTCTCTCATCTGCAACTCACCATGTCTGCCGACCTCGCCCAGAAACTCCAGCCTCACGCCAAGGAGATCGTCATTGCCCTTGGCGTGATCCTCCTTGCCCTCGTACTGCTCGCCGGCAAGAAGAAGGAGAAGCCTGTCCTCGACCCCGTCGAGTTCCGCCCCTTCAAGCTTATCAAGAAGACTCAGCTTTCCAAGAACACTTACCGGTGAGTTTGCGCGTGTCGCATCCCATAGTCCTGGGCACGGACTCCCCGGATCATTTAGTGCGAGTTCTACGTGGGAGCGGCGTGCCGTATGCCTTCAGCACGACGTCCCATGGTGCACTGCGCCCGGGTTGGTACATCTGTCGTGGCCAAGAATTCCGGTGATAGCGATTAGATTTGGGAGGATCTCCCCACTGCCATTGACATCCATCGTTCCAGTGCTTCCCGGCAAGTTCGCACAGTGGTGCTCGGTTGACACCTCACCGATGTAGCATCACATGACGTGAACGGGATTACCAAGTTTACCCGCACATCTTATCGCTGACCGCAGATACCGCTTCGCGCTCCCCTCGCCGACTGCCAGCCTCGGCTTGCCGATCGGCCAGCACATCTCGATCATGGCCAACATTGATGGCAAGCAGGTCGTGCGCTCTTACACTCCGACCTCGCTTGACAACGACAAGGGCTACTTTGAGCTCGTCGTCAAGGCGTACGAGCAGGGCAACATTTCCAAGTACCTGTCCAAGCTCAACGAGGGCGACAGCATCATGGTCAAGGGCCCCAAGGGCAAGTTCAACTACACCAAGGACCTCTCGCCCCACCTCCTCATGATCGCTGGTGGCACCGGTATCACGCCGATGTACCAGATCATCAAGAGCTCCGTCATGGACCCCACCGACAAGACCGAGATTGAGCTCATCTACGCCAACGTTGACGAGGGCGATATTCGTGAGTCCCGAGGCCCAGGAGACAGCTTACACTTAGTTTTGCGTGAGGAGCTCGAGCGCCTCTCTGCCGACTCGAACAACCGTTTCAAGCTCTACGTAAGTCATTCATGCTGCTGCCCACTGACTCCCAGTACACGCTCAACAACCCTCCCGAGTCGTGGTCGCACGGTGTCGGCTTTGTTTCGCAGGACATGATCAAGGAGCGAATGCACAAGGCCGGCGTCTCTTCCGGCTCCAAGGTCCTCCTTTGCGGTCCCCCTCCCATGATGACCGCCATGAAGGGCCACCTCAAGGAGCTCGGCTACCCCGCGCCCCGCACCGTCTCCAAGCTCGAGGACCAGGTCTTCCTGTTCTAAGGGAAACTCGTTATAAAATAGATGCAGACATTAACAACTACACTCATCCTGGTTTCGGAGTCTTTCCTGTGTCGTGACGTAACCGCCCACGCTCGGCGCTCCAGTTGCGCCAAGGGACACTCTCGAGCTGTTCTTCAGCATCATAGTGAAGCTCGGCTTGCGGTTGAGCGGCGGGTCGCGGTTCATGCTTGCTGCCCGCGCACCGGGCTCTGTGAGGTCCTCCTTGTGATCAGACGCCGTCCGCTCCCTTTGCTCGAGGCGCTCTTGCAAGCTGACCCGGCGTTCCCGCGACGTCTCGGACGAAACTCGGATGTAGGGCTCCTTGACGGGCGAGCTCGTGCCGGAGCGGACACTGTTCGCCGAGCGAGGGCGAGGAATTTTCCATGGGTTCTCGGCTGGAGCAGGGGGAGGGCTCGATGCCTTGATGTACGGCAGTCTGTTATCGTTCTTTCTCGGGGACGACAACGACGTCACACTAGCGCCGGGGTCGTCCTTTTCTCTGGCAGACTTGATAGATGGCGCGGAGCTGGGCACCGTGGGGTTCGGCAGGTGGTGCCACCCCTCTTCGTGCGTGACGCGGCCAATGATGCGACTTTGCTGGCTCCGCTGCGAATGTATGCTCGCACGCGCCGACTCTGGTGGCGAAGGCGTGACGGGTCGCTTCCGGTCGAGGCAGCCTTTGCCACGCCACCAGAAAATGGCAAAGGCAATGATGAACGCTCCCACGACACTGCCCACGACTGCGCCAATGATGACGCCGGGGCGCTTCCGGTCGTGACGGGCAACGACGTCGGGGACAGGCCGGCCTGATTCTTCTGTCAGTGATTCTTCTTCTGTTGTACTCACCGACAGGAGCGCTCTGGGCGAATGTAAGGAGTGTTAGAATGATGGCCAGCATCATGTGTGGATTGTGAAAGAGAAACGCTCGAGTTGTGAATGAACGTCATGTGTGACGATGACAGATCTCGCCCATCATTGATCTCGTCGGTTCCGATGTGTCTGGTCGGAGGGGTTCGAAGCGGGCGTCGGGGGCGCAAGTGAGTGGCGCCGTGGCGTGTCTGTGCCCACCGGCAAGGGCCGGCACTGCTCTCGACTAAGTCCTGCAGCGCCGTGCATCTGCATAGCTGGCACGTAGAGTCCCTTGTTTTGGTAACGAGGAGTCTCTGGCTTCATGTGTCATACGGCGCCCTTGAGTAAACGAAATGCATCCAAAATCTAATGTTAATGCCAGGGAGCCTTCCAACCATCACTCTTGCCTTGAATTTCGTTCGTGATGGCCTTGTGCGCGCTCATGAGGAAGTCGGTGTAGCTGAGCGCATCATTGTTGCTGTCCTCGACCAGTTGGTTTGCGTACTCAATCTCGAGGCCGTCGCGGTCCTGTCTCACGATCAGTACAGGCAGCGTGTGACCCGTCAGGCGCTCGAGATGCGTGAGCATGTTGCGGACCTGCGTCGACAACAGCGTGGGGAGCTTTGGCAACCGGGTGATGCGCGTGTCGAGCTCCTCCAGCGACTGGACTCCGTACAGATCGTCGAGGATCTGGGGCGATACGGCACCGCCAAACCACAACATGGCGATTTCGCCATTCGTGAGGAGGTATGCTCCCTCAGCGACCATGTACGCGTAGCTGGCACGTTGGAATCGCGGAATACGGAGACGACCGTTGGATCCGGGGAAACCAAACGAGTCGGCGAGATCGTGAATGGCGAGGATGCGGGGGTACAAGAGCGTCATGACGGCCGTGACCGAGGCGCTCTTGGCTGCCCGCATGTAGTGCACGCGCACATCGGGCACGACGTTTCCGCCCTTGAGCGGCTTCGACTTGATCATGCACAGCGTGTACAGCGGCAACAGCTTGAAGCCTTCGGGCAAGATGAGCTGGCCGGCCTGCACAGCGGGAGCGCAGTGTTTGCGGTAGTTGAGCAAGATGCGGTTTGCACGCTCAATCGTCAGGCGGCGAATGTCGCGCAGCTTGCGGTGTGGCAGCTCGCTGACAGCGGCCTTGTAGATGATGGAGACGACAGCGTCAAAGTCGGCGAACCGGAAGACGTTGCCGATCATGCTCGACACGGGCAGAGCGAGGTTCAAAAGACGAACGCGACGGTCGCCGTTGGCCGAAGTGTAGAGCGTGGCGACCTGGATGTACGAGGTCTGACGGTCGTCCAGGCGGTGGCCCTCATGCTTGACCGTGGCAGTGAACGCTCGGTTGGGGTCCATGGTGCCAAACTCAATGTCGGTGAGCGAGCGCTGCAAAAAGTTGCCACCATACTCCGCAACGCGCAGGCCGTTGGAGCAACGGATACGAACAGTCGCATTGTAGGCGACTTCGCTGCAGACGACGCGTTGCAGTTCCGCCTGCAGCGTGTTGCGGTCCCTTACTGGCTGGAACTTGGGGTGGAAGAACGTTTCGCCGCCAGAGACAGCAGAGACAAAGCCGACGTTTGCAAGGTCCATCGACTGGTCCGGGAAGACAAACGAATTGACTCCAACGCCACTCTCGGCCATTTCGTCTGCAGTCTTCCGCCAAAAGTCGTCCGTCGGCGTGAAGAGGGCCTTTTCCTTGTCCGTTCCGGCCAGCGACGGGTCGTCGCGGGCCTTGAGATGTCCGGGGCCGAGCACGGGCAAGCCGGACAGGAACATGTTGATCTGTCCGCCCACGCCGCGGATACCATCCAGAGCCCCCTTGAGAGCCGATCCGATGGCGCACTGCACTCCGTCGGGCTGGGCCTCGTAGGTGCTGGGAATCATGGTGAGCAAGCTCTCGATCTGCGTACGCGACGCTGCCGGGTCGGCAAGGAATCCCCCGATAATGGGGCAGAACATGTCGTCAAGGTCAGAAACAACGAGCAGCTGGGGTTGAGACAAAGCGGCGCCAATGTTCCAGAACCCAACAGTTTGCCCGACAGTCACAAAGGCGACACGCTCGCCCATGCCAATGACCTCTTCGTCGTCCTCCCCCTCGCCATACAGGGCTTTGCGGATACCCTCGCAGACCTCTCGCACAATGCCCTTCTGCACACTCGGAGCAGACACATCAATGACGAAAACACGGCCAAGGGGCATCGGGCGACGCAGACGACGCTGATCTTGCTGGTTCTGGTTCTTGCTGTTATGACTGGGCGTGGGCGTCGGTCCTCGCGTCGGCGTCTGTCCCAGGCTGGATTGCAGCGCGCCAAGCAAGTCGTGCCCAGTCGTGGCAAGAGCGTCTCCGGCGGCCGCCAAGTTGGCCAGGCTCGCGTCGTCCGCATCCAGGAGAGAGCCCTTTGGCTGCTCGGCCCAGTACTCGCGAGGAACGGGAAAGTCGACGGTGCCACACTGCAGCTCGGGGCGCTCGTTGTGGTCGAGACGCTGTCCCATCGGGGTGAGGGGCGAAAAGTAGGCGGAGGGTACATTTGTCTCGTGGCCGCAGAGGTTGCACTGCCAGCGGTGGCCGCCTTGCGTGAAGCGGACCCACGGGTTGATGTAGCCGCGGCACTTATCACAACGCGGCGGTCCAGGCTCCTCGTCGCCCGAGGCAGGAGGCGGGGCATCGAACGCGCTCTCCCCGGCAACCCAGTTGGTGACCAAGGGAACGGGTGCCTCGTCGTAACGAAGGGGAGCGAATGGCTGCACTACCAGGCCAAACGGCAAGCCCGTAGTGTCGAGCAGCTGAGATGTCGAGGGAATCGTGGGCAGGGTCGTTCGCAAATGACGCGGGAGCGAGTTGCCTGGCGTTAGCAGTGAACACCCCATAGCATACCTTGGTCAATGCCGCGATAGTCTGTCACGGCCAGAGGGATCAGTCCCTTGGTGTCGCAACTGAGGAAGTCCTCGTCGTCGTACAGGTTCTGATCCAGTTCCTGAGCCTCGATAGGGTCCGGAACCTGCGAGGGGTCGATGCGAACACGAGGGCCAGTCAACGTCGGTCCAGCTGCATGAGGAGGAGGAGGAATGTGATTCTGCGGGGGATAGTTGTACTGGTGCGGCTGGGGAGCCGGCGCCGGCTGCTGGACGTGAGGCTGGTGCTGTCCGGCAACGGGGGCGTACGGACCCGTCGGGGCGGCACGATGCCTGTCGTCGGGGACGTTGTGCAGCTGTGGACCCTTGGGGTTCACGTATGGCTGCTGGTACCCAGGCTGCTGGAAATCAGGCTGCTGGCCATGCTGCTGGCCATACTGCTGCCCGTATTGCTGAGGCGGAGGTGACGTCTGGCCAAATCCGGGAGCGAACGTAGGGTCCTGCTGGTGGTGAGGCGGCTGGGGCTGACCCCACTGCTGTGCCAGGTTGGCCTGAGCCGTGAGGGAGGGGTCGACGGCGTAGCGTGACCTCGGGGGCATGCCAGGCGGGTCAGAGGTAGTGGTGTCGATGCTAATGACAGTGAACACGTCGAACACGCGACCCTCATCACAAGCGCCCAACATTTAAGAAAGGGGACCGTTTAAGGTTCCGGCTACTACAACGTCATGATCGGCCCCGGATCAGTGGCTACTTCACGAACGACGCGCACTCGCCTGGTCATACAAACTTACCGTTTGTGCATCTTTCACTCACCGCAGCCCTCAGGCGAAGACTCGGTTTCTATCATTTCAGTGTACCCACCATGACGAGAACCGACAGGCCGGTGAGTACTAAATCGGGTGTCGCCACCCGTGGCTGACCGCTCAGTTGCCTACCAGACGAAAGTCATCGGACAGCTTTGAGCATGTTCCCAGCTATGCGACCACCCCAGAGCGAAAAGCGCGGTTAATATATTGCAAGTCCCATGTCGCCATTCATCCCACGCAGCTGCGACGCGACAACATTTCTGGGCTCCTCGGACTTGTGGAGGTCGACAAGGAGGTGCCGCGTGTTCCTGAAAGTTCTGGCTCCAACTCTACGAGCGGGAAGGAGGTCCTCGTCGTTTGGGTCCCCGACGAGCTCTTCATGCGAATGTCTGAAGAGGACCGACGCAACTACAAGCGTGTAGAGGATAGGCCGAACGGAGCTGCAGCCGAGGAAGAAGGTAACGTTTGGGTTCCCCGTCACGCTGACAGTAGGGTTTGTGTTTGTATCGCTTCCAGCACCTCGGGGAGAGAAATACGCCTTTTCCATTCCTGTGTCAGATCTGTACAGCTTGCTAGTCTATCCGGTGAGTGCACGGCAAAACACTTCTATTGACATGACAGCCTAGTCTTCAGCATTGGTACGGTTCGGTCACCTTCAACCTCGCCGGCGGCGTGTCCCTACCCACACTCTTCTTCCACGACGACCAGACACCGCTTGTGACGACACCTCGCTCTTCTGACCCACCTACTCCACCATGGGGCTTTCCCCCCTTCCTCGCCGTGCTCCGACAGCATGCAACCGTCATTCGTTCGCGTTTGGTGATGAACGGCAGCGGAGAGGAGCTCTGGCTAGTGAACCCTAGCAAAGCCGACAGGGAAGTTCACGAAGCCGGCTACGAGGAGGCCAAGCGGACTGGCGACTCGACTCCAGTTTCGTACCCACCGCAAGCGCCACACATGCAGTATCCGAGTCTGCAGGCCATGAACCAGGCGTCACCGAGGGACTCGCTACTCGTCGGGCTGTCCAACGTCACTAACATTGCTAGACATGCCGCTCAGAATGTCCTCAACCATCCTCTCGCCAAGCCTGTTGTCCCTCACTTGCCCCCCGCATTCCGCACATTGGTGAACGCGCCGGGAGAGTGGGAAAGCACGCTGCGGCCCAAGCTGGGCTCCGAGCGCAGTCCCGATGTGGCCACAGAGTTTGAAGCCGCGCGACTCTATCTCGCGCGTTGGGCCCGTGTAGTTGCCGAAGAGGGCGAACGCTCCCGCCGTAGCGAACTAGCAGCGCAGGCCGGCCAAGCGGGCCAGAGCGAAGATGACCTCACCGACCTCGGCGTGTTCTCTCTGGTTTCACGTTCAAAGCAGCCGGCGCCAAAGCCGACCAGAGATCCGCACCACCCGATCACCGTTTCCGACTGGCAGGCATTCATTGCTGGCGACATGGACGAAGAGTTTGTCAGAGGCGAAATCTTCCGACGAGGCTTCTCCGATGAGCCCTCTCAGTCTCAAGCGCGCCGGCAAGGATGGGAGGTGCTACTGGGAGTCGTGCCTTGGAATGTGGGTGACTCGTCTGGTGACGCGGACAAACGAGGCGCCGCTCGTGAGAGTGTATTGCGCGAGAAGCGTTCAGAATATTACAAGCTTCTCACTGGGTGGCAAGACCGAGCGCGCAAAGGCGAAACCCCGCCAGATTGGCGCGAAGAGTGGCACCGCATTGACGTGAGTGGACATTTTGGGCGCGACCTGACGCGTACAGGTTGATTGTCGACGCACGGACCGTAATCACGAGCTCTACGCTGTCGAGCCAGAGTATCTCGGGAACGAGGAAAAGGAGGCAGGTGGATCCGGAACAAGTCTATGGGGCGAGGGCAACGACAAGGAGGAAGAAGGCGGACACGCTGCGTTGAACCGTATGTCGGCACTCTCCGCTTCCCACTGACTCGCAGCTCATGTTTCTGCGCTTCGCCGCATCCTGATGACTTACCATGTGCATGCGCCCGATCTCGGCTATGTCCAAGGTGGGTTCTCTCGCGAGCTAGTCTCGCTGACAACAGGCATGTCCGACTTGCTGAGTCCCATCTACTTTGTTGCCGATGCCAACGAGGCCGATGCCTTCTGGGGTCTTTGTGGCGTTATGCGTATGATGGTGAGGCTCTTCGAGTCGCCCATGCTGACCCTTTAGGAGTCCAACTTTTTGCGTGACCAGAGTGGCATGCGCAAGCAGCTGAGCACACTGCAGCAGCTGATTCAGTTGATGGACCCCGAACTTTACGAGCACCTTGAAAAGACGGGTTCCCTGAACCTCTTCTTCTGTTTCCGATGGATCCTCATTAGCTTCAAGCGCGAATTTTCCTTTGAGAACGTCGTCAAGCTGTGGGAGGTCCTGTGGACAAACTTTTACTCGAACAACTTTGTTCTCTTTGTCGCCTTGGCCGTTCTTCAGAGCCATCGCGACGTCATCATGCGATATCTCAGCGAGTTTGACGAGGTGCTCAAGTATGCCAACGACCTGAGTGGAACGGTGAGCTTTCTTCGCGAGGCGTGCTGACGCCAGATTGATCTTGACACGACACTGGCACAGGCCGAGGTGTTATTCTTGTCCTTCAAGCAAGTCGTTCAGGAAATTGACAAGGAATCTGCCGAGTCTGCCTCACAGCTGAGGCAGCGCCGCAAGAACCAGGCAGCCAGACGAACCGTCCCGGCAGAGCTGCGCGAGCTACTTGTCTGTTGGAAACCCGAGGACAGTGAGCAAGCAGCGTTGGCGGCGTCCATCGACGCTCTCAAGATTGACAACGGTGATTTGATAGATCTTTGATATGTAGCCCTATGTTTACGTTCTCCTGATCATCATCAGCACCAGCGGCCAGGCAACCTCAAACTGTCTGTCGTTGCCTAGCCCTAGGCCAATCTTGTGGATGACACGGTCCACAATGTCACCATCCTCTCCGTTACCCCGCTTCGCCTTGTCCTCGGGGTTGGCTTCGTGGTATGCGTGCACAGCGCTGGCACTCCGCAGATACCCCTCGAGGTGCGCAAGGTCCCACGTCTTCTTCAGATACCACGTCCCGTCGTCTCCGGCCTTGATCCTGACGGCACTGGAAGAGTCAAACCCCTCCACTCCCGTTGCTGGGGGCTCAGCGATACGATCGGGCTTAGGATGGCCGTTGCCGTTGAGATCGGGCAGCGCACTGGCGAGCTCGGTGTCGGGCTTCGCATCAACCGGGAATGGCACACGGTCAAGCAACCCCTCGACGATTCCTCGGCCCGGCTGCGACCAGTAAGGTCCGATACTATCCTCGCCGCCAGAGTACCTCGAGATCAATGCGGACAGCTCGCGCCGGCCCGGGAACATGACCTCACCGTATCCCTATTGTCAGCTCTGGCCCTGGAACCAAACCCACGACATAGGCCACCGTCCCCTTGGGGCGGAGCACGCGCCTGAGCTCTTTCCATGCCTTGCCGTGATCAAACCAGTGCGCCGCCTGGCCGGCAATCACGAGGTCGACGCTCTGGTCGGGCAGACCCGTCTTCTCGGCGTCGCCCACGGCGTATGTGATATTGTCCCTTGGCGACTGCAGGCCGACGTCGACCATCTTTTGCGAAGGATCGAGACCAGTCACCTTGTCGAATCGCTCGGCCAGGTTCAGCGCCATGAAACCCGGCCCGCAGCCGAGGTCCACGGCGTGGTCCCATCCTCCCGTGTGGTACGCGTAAACAACGTCGTACAGGCGAGAAGGGTAGGTGCTATCATCAGCGCAGGCCGAGAGAGCACTCACGGTCGAGAGGCGAGATATCCCGCCGCGTCAAAGGTCGATTTTGCAAACTGTGCCATGTTTGATGCGGAGAATCGCAGCTGCGATGCGCTTTTATATGTTAGGCAGCTTTAGAGCATCAGTGAGGTCATCTGTCGGCTCTAGGACCGATTTCGGAGATGGGCGTCCAGATGCTCACACCTGCATTGCCGAAAGTCGGCTTTCTTAGTGTCGACTTGGTGCCAAAGGCCACATTGAATTACCGGGGGCTTCAGAGGCCAGCAATGCCTTTTGGATCATTATGAAGCCGAGATACCAACGACCCCCGCAACGCTGCAAGTCTGTACAACGACTCGCGGTGGAGGTGAATTTCGGCCGAAGACTAACGTGTGACTAACCGTCATGGTGTCAGTGGACGCAAACCTTAGCAGTGAAGCCACGTCGCAAGCAGAGAACTGGCTAGCATGCGCAATCTAATCTAGCCATTGGGTGGCTTCCATGGAACAAGAGTGTACAACAGGTATGATACGTTTTCGTTTGAACATCAGCTCAGATGTCATCGCCGATGGAAATCTCGACCTTCTCTCCCGGCTTGAATGGCGGCAGGCCGAGATACGGGCACGATGCGCAGCGGAAGGCGTCGCCGAGGTAACAGCTCGAACAGCTGCTCGTCTTCTTGGCCTCGGCGCGGCGCTCCTGCGGCCACACGCCCTCAACGCCGATCGTTGCATTCTTGATGTGGTCCGGAATGTCGTCGTCTCCCTCGAGGAAGAACTGCTGCGCCTCCTTAACCGCACTCTGCGTGCGCGCCTCCTCCTCAGCCTCGAGCTCGGCGAGCCCACACGTGCAGTCCTTGCACGCGCGTCGACGCTTGACGGGCTTGCCATCTTCAGCGGGGAAGACACACTCGGGTCGCTGGCGGTCCTCAGGCGTGAGAAGCGAGCGGCCACCGTCCTCCATCATGGGCGAGTCGAGCGCCCAAATTGCAGCCTTGGCAGCCTTGTTTCGCCTCAGCGGGAGAGCGCGGGTGAGCGGGACAGTAGAAGAGGAAGCCGCGGGAGCGGACGCGGCAGCTGCGGGAGAGGTGTATGCAAGCACACCAGACGAAGCCTGCTCAGCCCCCTTGGAGTAGCCCGCAGCATCGAGCTCGGGAGCAGCGTCGGCATATACCCGCACAGCTGTGTTGGAGGGAATCGACTTGAGGAGCGCCTCGGGGATCGGGGAGGGGAGCACGAGGTGCACGGTGAGATTGCCTGAGGGGAACTTGGCAGCTACGTTTGTCAGCTTCCGAACTGCGGTCTATGCGCACTTACCATTGTCGAGAAGACGATCGACCATCTCGCCAGCGACCGAAGCGCCAGCGGACTGGAGCTCGGTCAGGACGCGCTGGTAGTCATCCGCGCGATCCAGAGAGCCGATGACGAGCTGCTGAGCGGGCGAAGCAGGAGACGCAGTGACGGTCATTGTCCTGTGTACAGCAATGGAGTGAAGGTAACTCGGAAGGAAGGATGCCGAAATCAAAGCTGCTGCAATCTGAGTCAGCGGCAAACTTGGGCCAGTACCCTGACTATGGTGCTGGTGACATCGCAGCTAATAGCGCCATCACTATTTGGAAGAGCCCAATAGGCCTGCGTAAGACGGATTCTATCACGTGACAAACCTATGCAGCCGGCGGCTCGGCCATGGCCGGGAGCTGCGTCACGCCCAGCCTTCGACCTACGAGGTTGACCGACGTTCGCCCTCGCAGCCTGCACTTCGCTGATCGCTGTAGTCTGTCAGCTGACACTGCAGAGCGATCGATCGCACTGTCCAATGAGGAGTGAGGTATTGCATGATGGGCGCTGTAGAAGCGGAGAAGCCTACCAGACGCAGATCCACGCCTCATCTTGGTGACCAGATCAGGCGAGCTTCTACCCCCGTGAACCTCAACGATTCTTGATTGCCGAAGATTCTTGAGACAACAGAGTGGACGCGTGTCCATAGTCCGAATATGATTCATGTGTGCGTAATACAACAGTACAATAATAGTTGATTATCTAGGGATGTTGGGTTTGTATCGATAGGATGCGGAGGGAGGGTTTGAAGAGCTTGAGCGGGTAAACCAAGTTTGCGATCTCCCACGGGGCCGCTGCACAGGGATTGCTGCCCGATCGCAGTAAGGCCAAGCTACCCGCATTACAGCGCATATTCGTGGGCGCCGAGTCGGGTCAGAGGGGTGACTGCCAGCCACGCTCGGCCGCTCAGTTGTGCTGACCAAACTCGGGGCGCTCCGTAATGGGCGTGTCGTGCCCCGAGCGAGAGGATGACGAGTCGCTGCCCCGGCGGATGCGGTACGCATTGTAGAGCGAGTGGACCAAGTCCGCAAAGTGCGGAGACGGGTGGCTCGAGGGTGGAGTGGTCGCGAGACCACGAGGAGGGCTCAGGCGCTGCTGGCCAGCGGTCTGCGGGATCGAGATGGCGGAGGCGGGAGACGACATTGTGGGTGCAGGGGATGCGGAATATCAAGATAGAGAGAGCGCTGCTGGGGAAGCCAGGAACACGGTGGGCTTTATATGATCGATGTGCAGCGAGGGAGAACGGCTAATGTCGGTGGCAAAGATACACTGATAGCACGTTGGGGGGCCAAGATAGCGTTACCTGATTGCGGCCGAAGCGTCAATGGGCGAGTGAGCATGTGTTCTGTGTGGGAATGAATTGGGTGCGTCGAACGATAGCGCGTAAGAAATGAGGGTGGTGTCCGAAGCGCAGTCGTTGATATATGCACCATGTCGTCGCGTCGTTCCACCTGTTCCCTTGGCTAACCGCGGTGTCCAAGATCCCCAACAACAAGGTCCATGAATGCTCCAGGCGGATTCCAGGCGGCCTGAGGCCCGAGCGGCGGAGCGGCGGTGCGGCCAGGCGCACCATGATCTGCCTCTCTCGCGTGATCTCGTGACTGCCCGCGACCGAATCACAGGCAGGAACCGGGTGAAGCATCGTCATATCGTCATTGATCCTCCGCTCGTGAAGCTCGTCTACCTCGATTCCGGCCCTGTCCGGTGACCTGACAAGTGTCCGATATCTCCCTTCCGAGATGGGCGAGATCAACGAGTCGTCTCGCAGCGCGTTCGAAACCGCCATCACACACAACATTTCAAGACCCACGTTCGATCAGTGGTAACCTCGTCACGCACCCCTCAGTGTGCATGCATTTGAGGGTGTGGAGCAACTTAGCGCGTTGGGGGCAGATCGAGGGTCTGTCACGCAACACGTGATGATCGGGCAAGTCGGACTCTTGACTGGACATGCCGGGTCAGGTCGCCGAGTGTCCCTACGGCGTGCCTATTGCGCCTTCTGGCGTGCCTGCTCCGGTGAGATGGCCTGCTTTTGCGCGCCTGACCTGCTCCACAAATCGTGCTGCTCGCGTGTTCTGACCCCAGTCGGTCTCGGTATATCCAAACTGCTCCTTCCGTTCTTCCTTCTGCAGGTCATACACTGCAAGAGGGACATGCTTCCTCAACAACAGTCTCTTGCAGCCGTCACGACGATTGGAAGAAGACATCGGGGCGAACGATAATCCACTTAACCGTTACTGACGGCAACTGTCTGCTGCGTTCTCCATGTTTGAACCAGCCCCTCCCTCCACAGCAAGCACAGCATGCAGATGTACGTGCACACCGACTGATGAGGCAATGACAAGTTGCAGATAACGACTGCCCGAACGATCTGAGACTGATGAACCCCAATCTACTGATTACTTGACGGAGATCGAGGGCTGTATTCATCTCGCGAAGACTGGACCTGCCGGGTCCTCCCGTTGGACATGGGTGACAGTCAACGAGCGCCTCTGGCGAGGAACACCCGGCGGTGACCACTACTCACGAATGATGATTGTGCCATGGAGAGCACCAACAGGTGCCAAAGCGACTCTCCGAAACACCGGACGGCGTTGGGGGATTATTTACATCGCTCAGCCCACCACTCGAGGCCGCCAACCCTGCGAGCTTCTGCCGGGGACCCGCTTATGGCTCTGGACCGATACTGTCGTCTCTGTCGTAACCTGGCCTTTCTCCAGCTCGTAGCAGAAGGCGAATTGCCAGGAGATGATAGGTCGGCACCTCGCAACACTGCACGGTTTTCGAGGCAGCCGCGACGACGCCAGACGTGTGCCAGCTGAGAGTTGACAGGAGCGCGAGTAAGGCGCCACCGCCATGCCAGGGCTTCCACACGACAAGCGCCGTCCGAACACCTTAGCTCCCCGTTCAGCTCTCCAGTGTGCCGTTGATAGGGCGCCTGCCCACAAGGCGGTGACATCGGTCGCGTCAACGGAGTTACCGCTCTGAGTCGCTTGGCGTCAGCATTAAGGCCGTTTCGCGGAAGACGATTCAGCATCGATCAAACACCACGGGCTGTTTTGACGTGCTCTCTAATTCTGACGGGGCTGTTGAACACGACTACTCTCCGTGCGTGCCGAGCTCCTTGCCGCGGTTGCAGAACAGCCTTCGGAAACTTCCTCTTACGCTCTCAAGGTGGAGAGCAAGTCGGGCATGTCGCCGCTGCTGCATGGGCGTTCGGAGACCCACCGAGAGTCTGAGCGCAGAAGACACGGGAGAGCTTGGGTCGGTGTCGGGCGTGCACCCCGTGCCTACGCAATCCCGCGCCCGTCGCGCCCCGAGCAATTCGATTCGACCGCCAGGCTGGACCGCCGGGATTGGATCATCGTTCGCTGGGTGCATAGCCCCTGTGGACTTTTCCGAAGGGTTGACTGACAGATGACATCTGAGGGGGGCCGCTGGGTAAGGTCGACGCATTGTGCACACCATTCTTCTGGCAGCGAATGCGCAGGATCGGAACAGTGATCGTCCGTCGGCTGATGTGAGTTAGCAAGCGCTCCAAAGTCGGCGATTATCTCCAGTCGACAGGCCTGTCACAGGACCCCACTGAGGAGGTTGCCTGAGCAGCAACAGGACAGGCGTCCTCGACATTCCAGACGGGAGTGTCCGTACGGCCGTAACTGCGACTTCGGAAACGATCACAGTTTGACCAGCGGAGCCGCTTAAAGTGTCTGGCCCGGAGACCGTGCCGATGGAGCAGGGCGCCAGTACCAGCGTTCGTGACTCTAGGGTCCGCTCCGCACTGTCCGAAAGTCTGGTCGTCAAAACGCAACTCTGATGAGCCGAAACAGGCCACAAAGAGTTGGGTGCACGCCAACCGTGACTTGGTGGGGCGACCGCACTATAGGGGAGCAGAAGACGTGCGCAGGATTGAAGAACATCGAGAAGGTCGTCTCGCCCATCGCGGTGCCGTTTGCGCCCGGGAAGGCATTGGCTCGGGAAGGCATTCATTGCAGGTCCCAGTTGTAGGACTGACCTTGACGCCCGATGACGACTATGTACACCGAGGCGCGATGTGATCTCCTGTGCAGTGGTCGAGCCCAACTCCATCGCTTGACGTCCCGAAGTGCAACACATACCTCTGGGGTCTCATGATCCGTGACCACAGTGGTCAACCTGGGTAGCTGAATGTCGAGACATAAATGCCTGTTGTCGAAAGGAGCAGGCCACAACCATATCGCCCGCCTTTACGGCCCACATCATGCGGCGGTGTCCGCACCCCTGTCGCGGCGGTTCCCAGGCTATCATCATCCCAACCACCCGCCCCACCCATCCCGCTGTTGCCGAAATCAAGATATCCCGCTGTCGAGAGCCGCGACTGTCCACAGCTGTCGCACTAGCTCACTCGTTAGATCACTTGGCGTTGCCGTGCCCTGGGAGCCAGCCCATCACACCGATGAGTCCCGTCCCAGAGCAAGGCGACGACTTAGGAAGACGTTCCTAGCTGGGGCGGAGATGTCGGAGCGTATATCCGCGGTGCGCGGTGTCCATGGCGATTCGCTGGAATCATCGCTCAACGCTGGTACCTGGAGTGAGAGGTGGGCATGAGCAGTAGCTCAGGGGATGTCTCACCTTATCACGGCATCCAAGTCCCCTTCTTAATCATGCACGGCCGCGAACGATAAGCGGCGACGTTTGCGTCACCAACGGCAGTGAGGCAGCCCGGTCATCACCGGTGGTCAAAGCATGGCCTTGGAGGTGACTAGTGGCGACGGTCTGTCGACTCTCCAAGATCCTTGGACGCCCCTGCTCTACCTGAACCGACAGGGCGAGAACTGTCGGCCATGCTTCACCGTACAAGCAAAGAACAATGGAGACTTCAGGAACGAGACTGGTATGCAACGACTGCAGAGCCGTGCGAAGCAGTCGCAAATGTTCCGCTGGGGCGAATGGGTCGTGACTCAGACTAGAGCAACTACCCTCCCATCTCTCCTACACTTACTCGTCTCAGGCATCCTCTTTCGCAACCGCAGCAGTTCCCGCTCGGGGTCGATTGCCTCGACGGACAGGGAGTCATCTCCGTATCCAGTGGCCGGAAGCGTCGACCTTCTGACAGGCTGTCACTGTTGAGATGAGTCGTGCTCCCTGTACCATGGAGCAACGAGGATGTCTTACGTCATGCGTGTGTAGGCTGTTCGTAAGCATGGTCGATCCTGTCGAAATGCAGAGCTGCTCTTCCTGACCTCGTATAGTGACGGCCGTAAGGGAATGATCTTTCTTGAAGCCTGCTTCAAATAGTCGAGATACCCCACGAGCAAACTATATTTTTCCTAGATTACCTGGATTATCGACGCTTGCGGCGCACAAAGTCGTGGGACGAGTAGCGAGAGGATGAAGAGCAGAGCAGGTGGCCCCTAGCATTGTCCTTGCAGCAACGACCTCAGAGCGCACCGTGATCTTACTGAGCTGCACCTCTGGAAAGCACCTCACTCCATCGTCCGAGCCGAATTTTTGCGAGGTTGTAACAAAATCTAGGTGAACATCATGGGGACAGGAAGACCCAGCGGAAAGCGAGTTCACCGGTTCCCTAGAAGTCTATGACACCCCTCGTGTTCATGAATTGCGCATAAGCTGTAGAGCACTTGATTAGTCAGTAAACGTTGGATCAGTGCTCTCTTATCTTCTGCGCGCGCCCCCCAAAGCCAGTCCTCAACCCAAGGTTGAACAACCATATCATAGCAAGACTCCCGAACACATTTTGCAGGCATTCCAACATCAGGAACACAGCTTCATTTTCGTGCTCAGCATCGTTCGCCACACGAGCGCATATGAGTTGAGCGACTGGGGCTTGTCTTCGCTAGCCAGCAGGTACAGCCGGGGACCGGTCAATGTCTCGGATCATGGCTGTGCGTACTCTCGCGTACGTGACTCCCGGCTGCAGCGAGCGCAGGGCCACAAGCTGCCGCTCGTGTGGGGCAAAGATGTTTCGGCGATGGTGCGTCCCTAGCTCGACGACGGTGACGCAGTCGATGTGTCTCAGTAGATTGGCAAGAGCAACGCCGTTACGAGGCAAGCGCTCACCATTGGACCGACGAATCACGTGACTTGAAGATGGATGCCTAACTTGCGGCCGCTGGCCCAAGTGCTCCGCACGCCTAGAATGTGCCCGAACATGCCTACTCACCGACCTAAACCCTGAGGTCACCGAGATCAACACGCACTTCAAACGAGACGATAACGCGTCCACCATCCTCACCACTCGCGGCGCTCGCCTGAGCGCCCTTGACAGATTTCCGATAGCGCTCACAAAGTTGACAGCAGAAGAGCTCCGCGAATACTCACGGCCGAGCACACGGCGCAGACTCACGTCAGATCACCGATAGGTCTTCGCATGGGAGGAGCGCTCCACAGCAGACTGTGCTTCGCCATGGTCGGCCAATGGGGACATCACGATGTTCACTCACACAGGAAGCGATCACGCTGGATCGTCATACACGGTGCATAGTTTGCATTTGCGGCCCGCGAGCGTGTCGCACCTTGGCGAGTCGAGGGTGAATGAGGTATAATGTCGAGCGCAGCTTTGGCTGCCAAGACACCGGAGTCTGTTGAAGGCGGGACCGGTGCCCAAGCGTGGATCGGTCGCCTCAATCACGTGGGGATCTGTCGAGGGGTTGGTCACTGCCCCGCAACGTCGTCCCGGAATCTTACCGAGATACCACAATCAACAAGCGCACTGGCGCTCACTTGCTGTTTTTTGTCCGCGAGGCTGACGCCGAGGCTAAATATGCACGACGACATGACGACAGGTGATCGACGCAACAACGCTAGGCGGTTGTTCGATCCAGTACATGTGCTAGCCGACGAAATTAGCGCCCGTGAATACGGCTATTCCTGCGCATATCTTGCGACTTAGCCGTCCTCATGGCCTCATCTTGTGCGGGGTGCGCCAAACGCAAGCTGTCGATCCTCAATCCCTGTAACAGCCGGCTTTCGCTGATATGCTTGTCCCGAAGCATTCACTTCTGGAACGTTCTTGTTCTCCATCCCCATCGCCACTTGCTGAGGGTCTTCAGAACACGTTCGCCAGACGGTCGCACCGGAGCCGCACTGGTGCAGACACGACCCTCCAGCGCATGCGGTTGTGGGGCGACGTTGACAGGGATCCCCCAGTGTGGATTAAGCAGCAACCATACAGGAGGCGCTTGCATGCGCAACTGATCTCGGCACTGGCTAGATGTCGTCTTCTTCCGAGGCTCCCTAAAGCTCTGGGGCGTCTCTGATGTCGAGAGGGCTAACTCAGGTCTGTAAAATATTGACAAGCGCGAGGCTGCACGAGGCTGCGGTAATCCTATCAGGTCAGCGTGGCCTTACTCATTAGTCACAGCATTCTCAGTCGGCGGTTTGCGCCCTGCCTCCCTCCTCGCCGCATCACCTAAAGGTCTCCCCCGACCACGTTGTGCGAAAGCTTTTCCTCCACGCCGACGAACCCCCAGCCTCAACCCTGTGGCGAGCACCCTGGCGTACCACAAATCGATTGGCCTGGTAGGGATCCCCGGTTGCGCGCAGGAATTGCGTGAGCATTTCGCAGCGGGGTGATCTTCCTCAAGAACGCAGCCTCGGCGAGTGCACAGGTGTGACACGATTCGTATCGACACCCACTTGCCCTTCGCCTTGGCGTTCAACCGGACCATGGTCACCTGCAACGCAGAGTGTGGATTTAACCAACAAGCTACGTGGCGGCTAGGGTTAGCAGACACTCTAGAGCGGAAGGACGGCGAATGGTGAAAGGGCAAGTGCTCGGAGCTGACATGGCAGGGATAGACAACGGTCTGCACTGTCATCAAGTGGCCGCTGAAGGGAACGCAGGAGAGCGCCGGCAAAGGATGGAAGGAGAAATTATCGCAGGGATGCTTAACGCAGGGTTGGCCGACGATTGGAGGTGGAGCGAAGAACGGCGATTGCAGAGCAGAAAACGACAAGGCAGACCCAGCAAAGGCGATCGTAGGGAGGAAAAATTGCAGAGTGCCCGAACCAGTCGTGCAGCTCCCGGAGGGGGTTCGATGTTGCGAGCAAACCGATGTGCCCACGGAGAATTGGAGTAACGGCGAGGGTCGGGCGGAGTTTGGAGCTGGCAGAAGCGGCGTTCGGAGAGTCAGCGGATTTGCATCTAACCAGCGGCGTATGTATATGTGAACGCTGGCAAGTCGTGTGAGAGTTGTGCTGGCGGGCTCGCCTTTCCGGTACTCTGGGGCAGCTGGTATCCGGGTGGTGGAGTAAAGGACCTTTGGAGCCTTCGGTGTGGTAAGGGGATCTGGAGATGGGCAGAACCAGCGAGGCGCTGGCCCGTTGTGGTCCAAGCGGTGCCTACCGCGGTTAATCACCTTCGGTGAGTGCGCTGGCTGTGATAAAGTCCACCTTATGAAAGGTCCACCTTATCACACGCGCCGTCCGCGAGCCGCTGGCCTTTGCCCTTTGCCATCATTACCCAGCCGACGTGTCAGGTCCCATCTTCCGCGTCCCAGTTCCGTTACCTCCTTTGGGATCCTTTCGTTCCTGGCCACCACGGGGTGCTCCAACTCACCTCTCTATGTGGCCATCAACCCAGCGAGGAGCATCCAGCTCGGCTGCAGTTCACAATCCACCGTTCCATGCGGTCCATGCGGTCCACCTCGGTCCGCCCGCTGCCTCCGTTCCACCCATCGCACCAGCCCCACTACTCCACCCTGTCACCACTACCCCGGGCAGGGCGTCACCATCTCACCGCCCAAGCTGTCAGCCCTGCCCGGCGACTTGTAAATTGCTTTGGCTGCGGGCTGTGCTACTACTGTCTCTGCCGCGATCGAAACCGGGACAACCAAAGGAGCACAGGAACCAAAAGGAACCAAAGGAAGCAAAGGACCCTCGAACCCAGAGTTGGGCTACCGTGGAACCCTGTGTGGGCCGTGCGGGGCTCTTCACAGTGACTGTGCTGGGCGTCGGGCGGCTTGTGCCGGGGATGTGTCGGGTTGTAGCATCCGGTCTACCCGGCCAACCCTCAGCTCTTCCCCTTCAGCCTGCGGGCAGCGCAGCGGACGGACCAATTCTGACCCGTGTTGCCCCCGCGACCCCTTCCAAAGTGGGGCGGGATGCACTGCACCCAGGGGACATTTTGGGTGGCGCTCATTATGCATAGCGGGACGGTGAGGGTGGATGTAAGAAAATGCATGAAAATATGAGACCACCACCACTCGGCATCTCGGCACGCCATGGCACAAGACGGCAATGGATGGAGCTAGAGTGTACCAGACGTTCCTGCAGTCGTGCTCTGTACCTATCTCGGAATGTAATCGAGTGATAAACAGGCAACGCCAGCGTCAGCCAGGCGTCGCCATTGCTCAGGGTGCGCGGCCGAGACTGGTCTTAACCTCCCCTGCGCGTGGTGGGCCCATGGCTGACAGCGGCTGCAACGGAGGCAAATTCCTCGGGTCTTATGCCTGCCACTGCACGGCCGGGGCAGCGGATGTCTGATCGCCGCACACGTCTGCCTTGATCGATGCCGGGCTCGGCATGTCAGGCACGGCCCGGCATCGTTCGGCATCGCGCCCAGAAACGTCACCCCGGGACCCCAGAACGCCCCCAGAAAGTTGCAGAAACAGAATCAAAATCCCTCACCATCCCCAAGTTCATCGACGAGGTGCTCGTCGATGATACCGCGGCCAGCCATGCATACCATCGCTCGGAACATGAACCCTCAGTACGGCGTATAGCGCCCGCTTGCACCTTCAATGGCCAGACCTTGCAATCAGCGGCGACAAAGAGAGCCGAGGCAAGCCAAGACACGGCTCTTCCATCGACGAGCGGACAGCGAGCGGAGCGGACAAGCGGAATAGAGGTGATCGCGCACTCATGGCGCTGTCGGCGGCGGTATTCAAGCGATTCAGACCAGCCATCGAGCCAAGCGGGTTCTCATTGCGGACTGTCAAGGCATAGTCAGCGGCGGGCGGAGCTGGATTGAGCCGGTTGAGAGGCGCGAGCGACGCAGGAAGAGACCGCATTTGGGTGAGCGGCACCAGCCGTCTTTGCAACGACGAGGAACACCCGGACGCTGACGAGTGTTTCCCCGCAGTCACACGGTGAACGCCATCTTAGGCAAACACTCATGGTCCCCGCAGAGGTCAGCGATTGGTGAGAGTCAACAGGTGAGCCGGTGAGCGGCCAAAAAGCAAGTCAAGTTTGGTGAAGAATGGGGGGCTTGGCAGCGAGCGACCTGGCCGATGTACCTTTATGAACTGACGAGTTCGCAGTATCGGCCACCTTGTTTCCGAGCTCGAGGCGGTTGCAGTCCCCCAAGCGGCTGGCTGATTACCTAATAGCGAATCAGGTCGTCTGGTGTGGACAGATCAACTGGGAGCAGAGGAAGAGTCGTGTGTCACCCACCCCACTCCACGCGTGGCCATTGATTCATCCGGGAACCATGTGCGCCTGAACGAGCCTGAACCAGCCGCACAGAACACCGCATTCCAGCCTCTAGCCGAGATAACAGGCTCGCGCACAGGGCACGCGGCAGGCTCCACGCACTCGCGAGACAGGGGTAGCGCGGG